ACAGATTTACTCTAAATGTATACTGTACTTGGTTATTTTTGATGCTTAACATTTGTGCACGCAATCACGATGACAACTTAATTTTCCATATTCTTTTGGGCAGCAGAAAAGTAATTGCAACATTCAAATAAATGTAGTGTAATAGTCTGCGAGAGTTTCATATTGCTCTAATTTTCTTCCCGACATTGAAACAAGAACCATTGAGATCAATTTTCGAGAGCGAGAGAAGAAAGTCTTTGTCCAACTCCCGCAAATAAACTGCTGAATTTTATTTAAGCAGGCCTTTAAAAGTTTCGATATCCCAACACTTGACCGTGGACAAATATTCTGCGCATAGTTTTGCTGAAATGTTGTAATCCAGGTGGAAATTGGCTTTGGAAGCAATGGGTGTATATAAGATCGGTTGATCAAATTTTGTAAATAGTTTGGAATATTCTGACAAATGAATAAAAAGATTCGGCTCTTAGGTCTCTACATATCATATCTCTTGTTAAGACAAATAAATTGCGCTGCGTCTCAGAGTAGACGGTGAGAAAATAAGCAAAATTGGTCTGCATTCAGTAAAATTACGTATTTTCGAGAAATATATTGCATGGTTGGAACAAATTCTCGATTTAATCAATTCGAGCTTTCTTCTGAGACTCGATCACGATGAATGCTTCCATGCAGTATTTCAAAATGTTGTTATGAAAGTTCCCCTGTATATTTATATTGCTTCCTGAGATCCCCGCGTAGAATTAAAAGCGAGTCAAAAGTTTTCCACAAAAAACCTACAAAAGTAAAAATATTCGAAAATCTAAAGGAATGCTTGACTCGCTATGAATCCCCGGGGGTTATATTGAGTACACTGTACTACTGTACCAAGTACCACACGTACTTGGAAAACCCTCTTCAGAGCTCGTGATCCGTCGAAAGAAGTATAGAAGACGATGAGAAGTACTGTTCCGCATTTTCCACGACGAATAGGTTTACATTTCTTCGATAAGTTCACCATGTTAAATACATTACTTTTACCTGCTCTTATAATACCTTGCGATTTCGTGTCGTCGTAAAAGAGTACTGAAGTACTTCAGAAACTACTCTCAAATTAACTCGACTTTGCGATGCCTTTGATATGAAAGTCACTACTACTTCGAACATACGTCTGAGGGAATTAAAATTGCGTAAAGGTTGAACTTCGTTTCATCAAATTTTAATTTTATACACGGTGGGCCAAAAAATTCAAACCAATTTTTGAATTAGGGTATCTTTATTACAAATTAAGCTACAACCATCAAAAACATAAAATAAAAGCTTATTCAATTCTCTCTTAAATAATTTTTTGTTTTATGCTCCTACCTTTCATCAAAAGGTCACAAAAACGGTACCCAACCAAAAGCCCCCCCCCCCCCACTTCTTTTGGATGCAAGTTTCATAACTTGCTCAGGGCCACCAGTGTTTGGTGGCCCTGAGAAGGGCTGCTTGGTTTCATTAGTCCTCAAAATGACTGTTGAATAATCATCTTCAAAATTACCTTCTGCAGCCTCTTCCTCAGTGTCACTGATGCTCTCAATGTCATTTTCTTCTCAATGTGGTCCTCTTATCTCATCTCCTTCTTCATTAGCACAATTCCAGCACCTAGTACTGGCATTTGTGCTCTTAACCATGAATAAATAGCCATTGTAGTATGCCTTTTCACCACCCTTCTGATTTTTGATGATCTGAAGTGCACCAGCCATTGGATCAACAAGGTGAACTGTAGATTTTGCAGAAGTCAGCAAGTGATGATGCTTTGACATTCAAAGAATCACTGATGACCACTGCAGGTGAGGAATCCCTTTATATACTCATCTTACAAACATATTGGTACTTGGCCTTGTGCTGAGTCTGCTGGGGAAAGGTGCAGCTTACCATCAAGAGTTTCAAGGAGACATGTAATCCGCAATTTTTCACCAAGGGGGGCTTTTGGCAGGAGGCTTTTGACCTAGGGGGCTTTCCGGGGGGCTTTTGGCAGGGGGGCTTTTGGACTACACCCAGGGTTAAGAGGGGTAAATTACCAAATCAGCAGGATGTTTTAAAGCGGATGCGTCATTAATTGGACCCGCCATAAAGCGGAGGATCACAATATGTCCGTTCATAAAATACAGCAGTTTTTGATTGATGGTCTGCATTCTGTAAACTTAATGCGTCAGTGTATACTTTGAATTCCAAAATTTGAAAGTATATATACTGTAATCGTACAGTATTTCGTATAAAAATGATTTTTGCAGATCGTATGAGTTCCATTGAATCACGTGTCCATGCGCGTTTGTGCGGGTGGAGTTGGCATATTTCTACGGTTGCTATTTATTGTTTTTCTCAGGTACTTGTGAGTTGAATCGATGCGAAGAATGCAAAGAAATATTTGCCAATAATTCGAGACTCGTCAGTTTGCACACTTCTTTTTTTGTTTTTAAATACATCGGATTCTTTCGCGTTCTCTGACCCAGACTGGCGTGTCGACGAGCGGCCAAATAACTCACTCGAGCATTTGACATTGCGTTTGCGTTTAATTTTACTCACAATAGCCGCACATTATTGGGATTCTTGCTAAGGGTTAACGGCTTTACTTTTGCTGGAAAAATGCAGAAAATGTCTGAAGAGAAATTGGGGTAAAAGAAAAAAATATTCCTTCTAATGAATCAGCATGTTTCCCTCAATATTATATACGTACGTATATTTAAAGGTGCGTGGGAAAACAGTTCAGCGGAAATTAAAATTATATGACCATGAGACAGGTTTATTTTGTCACCTTATATATATAAGGGTTTCTTGAACCTCACTCATGTTTTCTTTTTGGCTGCATCCGTAAATGATCAATTGAAGATTGCTTTGATTGCTGCACAAATGAGCATTCAACATTTTTCAGACTGATCCTGCAATTTTTTGTTCCAAAATGTGAGAATTTGGGAAAGTCATGCAGCTAACAAGTACATCAAAAGGCATATTGTGAGAATTTAAAATCATCCTGCCACATTCGCGTGTTTTAAAAACTATTTAGCTATTCGAAAAATAAAAGTTTTCAACTAACTTATTTTGGGAAAAATTTCATACAGTCGAAAATAATCTAAAAATATATCAGATGTTCCTATCCCAGAATTTTTTGCGCATTTCATACAAAATCGAAAGGTTGTTCAAAAACTTTTCATTGATGAACGAGAAACTTCATAAATCAAGGCTGTAATTTAAAAAAAAAAGTCATTAATAAATTCAGAGACTTTCTAACTATTTACAATCCCGTATTGTTTTCAGGGACTCCGACTGTTGAAATTCAGTTCCGTCGACGGATCTACAATTTCAAGATATTGATAATTTTCCGAAAATTTGTTTCGTATCTCGATTTGAAGGAATGCGACGCAACAGTATTGGGAATGCAATTTAAGATTCCCTTATCTTCTTGTACGAACTCAAATTGCTGAAGCATGCATGAGCAAAAATGGGAGAACGCCGATTTTGGGCTTGAAATTAAATCGTAAAATGTCAGAGAGAATTGCAATCCACTGGATATGTCTCGAGAGCGTTTCATTATTTCTTTTCATTTTGTTTCGGGAGTCTATTCGAAAAGAAAGAAACGGGGAAAATAAAGGAAATTAGTTTTCACCTTGGTGCTTTTGTGGAGCTAGGTTATTTAAATGATGAATTTTCGATTAAATAAAAATTTAAAACAGGTGAAAGGTGAAAAAGAATTTGCAATGAGTGAAATATTTCCTGAATTATACCTTAGCTAATTTGAAAAATGTAGAATTAATTCAATGTGACCTTTCTGTGTTGTTTCATCATTATATATATATATATATATATATATATATATATAGTGTAAATTGAAAAACTATTCTCGAACGAAGTTTTTACATGCTTTCATATCTTGGAATCTCAATTGAAATACCGTATTTATTTTTCTTTCGGAAGTTCGGATCTTGTTTTAGAAGTTAACCTTTTGTCTGAGACAATATGTTCAATGTCAGTTTCTTGTTCAAGTTCACGTTTGTAGTTTTTTTAATAGCTCTTGAACTTCAGAATTAGGCGACATTTCATGCATAGCCCACAGAATATGAATGATAGCACGACTTCAATAAGCATTTTATGAAAGACATTATTATTTATTTTTTATTCAATCACCCTAACTTACGTGAAGATGGTATTTTCAGCCGTTGACTAATTTATGATTTTCGAAATTCTCTTTTCAATTTCAAATGAAAAATAAAAAATGGATATAAAATCCATTTAAAAAGTCCGAAAGGTTATTCTGTGCAGCCACCATTAGTAATAGAAAAAATCGTTACAAATTATTTTAATTTGCCGAAATGATTTTTTTATTTCCAACAAATTTGTGAATGATTTTCAACAGTTCGATAAACTGACTTTTGAGGAATTTTCTTCGCACTCAATGGTTCCTTGATGACAATTTTTGACCGGTTTCTAAAGCGAATGACGAGACACGCTATACTTGGCAAGGTTTTTAATAATGTATCCATGTTTTTTCCAGAGGATAATTTTTATTACTCTTTTTACTGATTATTTGCAGGTTCAGAAACCTGAGACAGAAAAATGTTTCAGGAAAAGCGTTCAACTTTTCATTTAATCATATCATTTGACCTGAATCTTTCTCTCCTTCTATTTTTTATGATTTCAAGGATTTAAAGAAGAACGGCTATCGAACATAATTTTTCGGAGTCACGTCACCGCAGGTTTATAAGCCATAGACTCAAGGTGAAATAGAGAAAAAAAAAAATTTTTGTGATGATTTTTTCGACGCTGACGAGGAAATAATCAATGCCGAGAAGATTCTGCCCCATTATCGCGGTGCTGGCTTCGTGACATTGATCGATTTCCGCGACGACTTTGATTGGCATCAGTCTTCGGCTTCCTTCCGCAGTGTTCCCCTTCGTTTTTCTTTCTTTTTTCCCCCACTCTGTGTAATCCCCATCATGTTATTATCATGGGTTTCTTTCTGTTTTAATGAGTTATACTGGATTTTTCTTTTCTTTTTTTTTTGTCAAACAGGTACTTCGGTTGGAGATTTTTTTGAATCGGAATCGAGGTGTGTGTTTATTGCGAGTGTTGCAGAAAAAAAAGGAGTCAGGTGAAATAATTGAGCCACAAACGGGTTGAGAGGAGTTGAACAGGAAGCGAGTTTTTTTGGGGCGGAAGTATGTCCGCCAACCGAGAGGAAGTGCGTATTTTACGTATTTATTCCATCATTCGCGTATTTTTCAGTTTTCTTTCTGCTAATAGTTTTATCTAGTTGAAAACTAGATTATTATATCAATTCTGTTGATTTCACTAGTTATTTCAATTTTCGTGCCAATTAATCGACTACAGTATATACATCTAATTGAATTTAGAATCGAGTATTCGGCATGGAACGTTTCAACTTTTTTGATGTATTTTTTATAGATTGTCAAATTTTCGAGTTGACTTTTTGAAGCACTTTTTGATTTTTCCTGATCAGAACACGATCATTTTGGAGTGTTTTTGTATTTTACAGAGTGCTGAATTATTTTACAGTTTCTGTTTGGCGACTCGTTTTTGGCTCTTATATGGCCGAAATAAGATGGCCAATGAATTCTCTTGTGGAAATTCTTTGAAATATCACATTCGCTCTCTTTTTTTGTAATTTTTTCAGACAAATTGCCATCAGAACCCGTCATTCGTGCAAGATGAAGTTCCATCATACCAATCGACCGCAGGGCTCGATGAGGTAAGCAATGTTACGCAGTTGCTTATTTTGGTGAATTTTCAAAATATCTTCAGGGAAATGATAATGATACTTTTTGTATGCTTGCGTTATTTTTCACGCTAACTTTTCACATGCCCAAGAGTAATTTGGCATTATGAGAAATTGTACAGCTGTGATTTGTTTTCCGTAAACCGTTATTGCTGGGAGATCTGTATTTCGGATTAAAGTTGGAGCTTCAACAGACTGAAAAATTTGAAATTCGCTTCACGATCGCTGTTATATATGGGTGATATTTTGAATGCTATCAAGCTGGTACTTTTCGCGGTTGCATTCGGAATTACCTTTAATATATTTACTCAGCATGCACGTCAATATAAAAGGTCAATTGAGCAATACTCGAGAGATAAATATATATATACAGTATGACTTGGCTCATGAGGAAAACTGAAGATCTTATCTGGTTCGACATCGTTATCTTATCACCTTTTTCGGATCTCTATACAAGCATTTCACAATTTGCCCGAAAATTTTCAATAAATCCCCTCGCTCAGCAAGGCTATTACTGAAAATAATATACTTATGTTTAAATTATTCTCTCGTACTCAATCTTCCCTTCATCTGGAGGATCGAGAAAAGAATATTGTGATTTTGGAAAGCAGTACAGCATTTCTTGTCACACATCATTGTGGTGGATCAAGGCATCTCGGTATTCATTTAATGTTCATTCATCCTCAGGCTTGAAAGAATTTTTATAATTCTCGAACACCCATGTGCACGATATTCAACCATAATATGTAAATGTGTACAGTACATGAACGACGAAAAATACGGTAAAAAATTTACTGGCTTTTATTGTGATGCTTTTTTAAAAACAAAAAAGAACAATGTCCAAGTTGAGGATGCAGTATTTTATTGAGGATTTTTTATTTTTCTCCTTCAGAGTTTTTGGTAGGACAAAATAGGAAGTCACAATATTTTGCACAAGAATTTTTAAGCTTGAAAATTAAGATGGAATTTTTTAATATTACAGTATAGATGAAATAATTTTGTGGTTCTCATGGAAAATTTTGAGGCAATCAGAAGTTTAGGCTTGAATCCCCAGCTTTATTGCTTTGAAAAAAATTTCTGACCTAGGTGCATTATTGAACAAACCAAAATTTGTATAATTTGTCGGGGTTTGTAAGCCAGAGCAGCTGAGGCTGAACCAAAATTTTGTTAGCTGGAAAGTTTTTTAGCCAGGGCATTTGAAAGCCATGACCCTACTCATTTTTCTTGTGCAGTTGAACCTCTCTATTCAAATTTCACAAGATCAGCAACAACAAAAATTGATTTATCAGGGAGGTTTGGAGTTGGAAAGGTTTTGAGTCTGGGAAAAAAGCATTTTCCTTATGGAAAAGATTAAAGAATTTCCAGAAATTTCAATTTGTAAAATTCTGGGCATAGCTTCTTAAATGAGTTGACAAGATACTGCAATTTGAGGCAAGGGTTCACTTATTGGCACATACTAGTCTTTCACTTCCTTTAAAACAGCATCAAGGGGCATTTTCATGTTGCTTTTCACTTTTCTGCTGTGTCTATAAAATAATAGTCAAAATGCTCCAGAACATTCAAGTTATGGGAATTTGAGGAGAAAAGCCTTCCAGTTAAAGAGGTTTTTAATGCATTTTTTCTCAGGGAATTCAGACAGGAAGTTGAAAAAAGTTTGACTCATTCTGGAGGTTCAACTTATTATTATTGAGGTTCAACTGTACATATATATGTACTCACTCAATTTTTTCTCATTTTTATGTGCTGTTCAATGTTCAGAAACCGAGTAAAAAGCTGTGTCTATAAAACAATAGTCAAAATTCTCCAGAACATTCAAGTTATGGGAATTTGAGGAGAAAAGCCTTCCAGTTAAAGAGGTTTTTAATGCATTTTTTCTCAAGGAATTCAGACAAGGAGTTGAAAAAAGTTTGACGCATTATGGAGATTCAACTTATTATTTTTGAGGTTCAACTGTACACATACTGTATGTACTCACTCAAATTTTTCTCATTTTTATGTGCTGTCCAATGTTCAGAAACCAAGTAAAAAGCTGTCTCTATAAAATAATAGTCAAAATTCTCCAGAGCATTCAAGTTATGGGAATTTGAGGAGAAAAGCCTTCCAGTTAAAGAGGTTTTTAATGCATTTTTTCTCAGGGAATTCAGACAGGAAGTTGAAAAAAATGTGACTCAATATGGAGGTTCATCTTATTATTATTGAGGTTCAACTGTACATACAGTGGGCCCCCATCTTACGTCATCAATCCGTTCCAGGATGTACATCATAACATGGGGCCGTCGTATGTTGAAACCCTATTTCCCTTAAGGTTACATTATAGAAAAATTAATTAGTTCCAGAAAAAAAATATTAAACTAAAATTACCTTTATATTTCAACTTTTTAATTCCTCCTAAACAAATTTATTCAGCTATAATTAAATGCACAGGGCAGTACAGAACAAACAAAACTCAAAATCCCTCCTAAACACAGTAATTCAGCAATAATGAAATGAACTGTACAGCACACACACAATTTAAAAACTGCTCCAAACACAGCAATTTCCAAACTTAAGGATGATTTATTTCCTGTGCATGGCACCATCTCACACTGTTAACAGTTTAATCTTGCTAGGAATGAACCTTTGCACAAAAAAAACTCACTTCCTCCTGGGAAAACCTTTTGTGCATGCATGGCACCAAAAAAATTGCTGGTGGGAGGGAGCTTAAAAACCTCAGAAGCTGTCGTATCATGAAACCAAGACGTAAGTTGGGGGTTTTTTTAATGCAAAGAAAGCATCGTAAGTTGAAACCGACGTAACATGGGCCCGTCGTAAGTCGGGGGCCCACTGTATACTGTATGTACTCACTCAAATTTTTCTCATTTTTATGTGCTGTTCAATGTTTAGAAACCGAGTAAAAAGCTGTGTCTATAAAATAATAGTCAAAATTCTCCAGAAAATTCAAGTTAGGGTGATTTGAGGAGAAAAGCCTTCCAGTTTAAAAAGGTTTTTAATGCATTGTTTCCTATTGAATTCAGACAAGGAGTTGAAAAGAAGTTGACTCATTATGGAGGTTCAACTCATAATTGAGGTTCAACTCATTATTGAGGTTCAACTGTACATATATGTACTCACTCAAATTTTTCTCATTTTTATGTGCTGTTCAATATGTTTAGAAACCGAGTAAAAATCCTCAATGGTCGACACCCACCGCGGAGAATGGGACAGAGCCAGTTGGGTCAAGTGCCGACCTAGAGGGCGGCGATGGTCCCAAGCGAGAGCAATGGAGCAACCAGACCGAGTTCCTTTTGTCGTGCATAGCCATGAGTGTGGGCCTGGGCAACATTTGGCGGTTCCCGTTCACGGCCTACGAAAACGGCGGCGGCGCCTTTCTCATCCCCTACCTCATAGTGCTGTTCCTCATCGGAAAGCCGCTCTATTTCCTCGAGCTCGCCATGGGACAGTTTTCCAGCTTCGGCAGCGTCAAAGTCTGGGCTGCTGTGCCAGCTGTTCGAGGTACAGCACACAGCATGTTCTTAATTCAATGTCGAACACAGCTTTATATAAATCGAATCTGCATGAATTAAGGGACACCCGAAAAAAAATGACGGAGATTTGTTTTTCGATTATCGTGGAATTATTTGGGCACGTTAACCTATAGAAATTCCCATATTCACGCAAGTAATCACCTGCATTCCACTTGTTTGCCTCATCGATGTTTCAGAAAAAGCTGGTATATGCGAGTAGATAATATTTTTTGAAAAATCGTGAAACTACATTTGTGCGTGAGACTTTTGTCTGAAGTGAAAAAAAATGATTAAAAAAAGGCATGTTTTCAGTATGTCATCAATATTGATTCAATTCTTTGCATTCTTGAATTAAATATTATCATGAAATTCCCAGACCGAGTTCCTTTTGTCGTGTCTGAAACCTTGCCATCATAATTTGGCCTGAAACTTTCTCATTCCATTCATTCATCTTTTTATGATCATACTTTGGTCTTAACATTGTTCATGACAGTTACTCAATTTTTCCTATAATTTTTTTATGATCATAATGTGGTCTGCTGCAAATTGATCAGTGCGGTCACTCAAATTTTCTATATTATATGTTTTTTTTTTAATGATGAACAGGAGTTGGCTATGGACAAATGCTAGGGTCTGCCAGCACAGTCAGCTATTACTGCAACCTGATGGGCATTTGCTTGCTGTACCTGTTCTACAGTTTCCGCAAAACACTTCCTTGGACAGTTTGCGACGAATCCTGGGAACAGGAGTGTTTTTCTGCCTCCTCCATCAATGCTTCAACTTTGGACGGGTCTTCTTCAGCAGAACTATTTTACAGGTTTAAAAAAAAACTTTACACGTTTTTTGGCATAGACAATTTCTGCGCTTTTGTCGCGCTAAATTTGGAACCTGTTCCATCTTTACTCTCAAAGGGACTACAGCATTATCCGCGCGTGATGGCCTCCATCAAAATTTGGATTTTCACTCAGTGTTTAATAATTACCAGCGTATGCTTTATAAGGCTCGCCTTTCTTTTTAACACGGCTAAGATACTGTTCAGGACAATAAGAAAAACGAAGAAAGGAAGACGATATGATATATGGGGAGCAGCAGATGCTTTACCTTTTAGGAATGCTGTCGTAAAACAGAAATTATGAAACAAAAATGATGTTCCATCCTTTTCTGGCACTTAATGTGAGAAATAAAAAGAGAATCAGAAAAAATGAAAATAAAAAGCTGAATTCACCGGTGAACACGGCATGGAGTCTTCTCAGCAGGAGACTCTGCAAAATATGAAATTAAAATTTTTTTGCACAGTAATTTCAGTACGAAGGGTAAGAAGAATCAAGGAACTGATGCTCGAAGACGATTGCTTTTAAATCTTGAAGAATAAAATCGCAACACAAGCTCAATGTGTAAAATTTTCAAACAAAATCCTTAGATATCCAAGGGTAGACGAAGAAAGGTTTTATATGATGAAAACGCATTATTACTCATATGGAGATAAATATACTTTTTAGAATCGTCAGTATTGTATATGTTGAAGAACCGCAAGATTTTAAACATGGATCAGACAATTATGTGAGTTGGATATGAAAAGTAAAAATCCGTGGATTTCTCCGTGATCATTGTAGCTTTCGGGCATATTGAATCGATGTTTAAATCCTCGATTAACTTGTGTATTTCATGCTTCTTCCTTTATTTTTTTTTCAGCCAGGAGATCCTGCAAATTTACCCGGAAGACGTTGGGATTGACAACGGAGTCGGAACACCGGAATGGAGATTGACCCTGTGTTTGTTTCTCTCTTGGATTATGATTGTGTTTACACTCATTCGAGGAGTGCAAAGCTCAGGAAAGGTGATTGAAAATTGATTATTTGGGAAGGACCGCAATTGTTTGCTACTTTTTCCCCGGAGATAACCACGACAATATTCGATATATGTTTCGAGTTTTTCAGGGAAACTTCGATATCTTTCCATCAAACTTACTTCTCGAGATGTCACACAAATCAAGTCTAAATTTCTGACCTTTCCTGATTGAATGAAAGCATGTTTGAAAAATACCTGAACACCTGAAGGGTTAATTCTAGCCTGCATGTATATAGAAACAGCAAAATTCCTTCATTTTAAACGGTGTGGTAAATCTGAAAGGATCTGCATATACACGCATGTCTTTGAACCGCTATTTTATGGAATAAAATCAATTTCACTATAGCCATATCCTACCTAATATACAGTTGAACCTCTCTAAGTCGAACTTTTTGGGACCAGGAAAAAATTTATTTAGGGAGGTTTTGAGTTAGGGAAACAATCATTGCTGCAAGCATAAGTAATAAAAATTTGCAGTAAATTTTATTAAATGAGGATATTCTGGGCTTAAACGTGCTTCTTTATGAGGTTACACCTTGATTAACTTGGATGCAGGGGTTCATTTGCTTAATTAATCTTTCACTTCCTTTCAAGATGGATAAAATCATTTGCTTCATTTACTTTTCTTTTTCATATTTTTAGGAAATAGTAACCAAAAGGCCTCAGAAAATTTGACTTACAGTGGTTTGGGAGAAAAATACTTTGAGTTACAGAGGTTTTTAATGCATTGCATCTAAGGGAATTCAGATAGGGACTTGAAAAAATCAAGTTAGGTAGGTATTTGAATGAGGGAGGTTGTTTTTTTTATTTTTTCATTGATTTTCTCTTTCATATCTCTAGGAAATATTAACCAAAGGGCCTAAGAAAATTAGACTTACAAAGGTTTGGGAGAAAAAGACTTTGAGTAAGAGAGGTTTTTAATGCATTGTTTCTAAGGAAATTCAGACAGGGACTTGAAAAAAAAATTGAGTTAAGGAGGTATTTGACTTATGGAGGTTTGACTTACAGAGGTTCAATCGTAGTATGTAATCAATTGCTCATTTCTTTTTCAAACGCGCCAGAGAACTGAGAAGGTTGTTATTTATAGTCTCCTTTGAATTAATTAGCAAAATATTCAACATTTCTCGCGATGAAAAACTGAAATGAAAATCGGCGTGAAATTCTGATGCGTTGTGATTCGCTCGTGAATTAATTCAAATTCTTTTTTTTTTTCCTTTCCAAGGTTGCTTATTTCACTGCGCTGTTCCCGTACGTCGTTCTGTTTACTCTGCTCATTCGTGGAGTTACTTTGCCCGGTGCTGGGAAAGGAATCCTTTTCTTTATCACGCCTAAGTTCGAGAAATTGTTGGACCCCTCGGTGAGTTATTTTTCCCAAAGCGAGAAAAATATGCGATGATGAAAAAAATAATTTTAATTAAATTAAATCATCATCCAACTTCATGCAGGGAGAAAAGTATAACGGAACTCTGGTGGAATTCATTCCTGCTGTTCAAATTTGTTTGGGTGGTGGATGGAAAAAGAAACCTTTATTTTTTTCTCTTTCAAAAATTGCGCGGTTTCAAGGTGATAACTGCTGTTTGTTGAAGAAAAGGGTGAGACTTCCTGACAAAATAAGTACCGTTTTCTTTCAAGGTGTGGTTTGCTGCTGTGTCCCAGTCGTTTTTCTCGCTTTCCGTGGGTTTCGGGTCCATCATCATGTATTCGTCTTACAATCCATTCCACCACAATGTTTACAGGTACTGGAATTCGATGAAAAATTTCTTTTATTTTTTAGATTCCTGAGCGATATGCTTCGATAATTGAGAGAAACAAAATCTAATGTTTAATTTGATAATTCTAGTCTGACTGAATTCAAGAGACATCGAGATTTTTAGAGAAAGTATAATATATTACATAATTTAAATAAAGCTACATAGAAGCCACAGTCGATTATTTACTCGTTTATTTTATTTATTCAGTTGAGTAAGTTGATTTTAATTGAAAGGACATGATAGCATGACACACATAAATAATTTCCTTGTGCAAAGTAACATTATTCTTTAAAGTATGCAATTATACTTTACTGTATTTTGTTGCATGCTTTATTCCGTAATAAATTATATTATATCCGAAGCAATTCTTGAGTGAGGTTCTGTTTTACCGAATCGATTTTGCTTCTCAAAATCATGGCATTTTCTTTTATTAGTCTTTTTGATACTTTATTGGTGCAGAAGCCAAAGAAATATTTAATAACGGTTTAAATTATTTAAATGTTAAAAAAAACTCAGTACATCAGTATAAAAATCAGAAAAAAATGTGACCACGTCGTGCGGACGCAGAAAGGTCGGAAACTTTTCACGTGACGACGACAAAGGTTTCATATAAAAGTACATACAGTTGCAGACATTCCGTCAAAAATTCTACAGACAGTAAATCGTAAAAGTCTCAGTAGATTTATTTGTGTAGATACGGAAGTTCTTTTTACTCACTTTTCTTGATGGCAGAATATTCTCGTGAATTCTTAATTCATTGATATTGAAAAAAAACAAAAACCGTGGAAGAATGTGTTTAAAGTTGATAGTCGAACCTTTTGGTTTTTTTTCGTTTTTGAGCATTACATCCCATGAAATCTGATACGATTGAAAAGTATGTACAGTATTTTTTATTCTACTCTCGCAGAGATTCCCTGATCATCAGTTTTATGGACACGTTCACCAGTATCCTCGCCGGGCTTTCGATTTTTGCAATCATCGGTAATTTGGCTCACGAAAGTGGTGGACAAGTGGAAGACGTTGTCAAAGGCGGAGCTGGTTTGGCTTTTATCTCGTACCCAGAGGCCATCGCAAAATTTGACGCCGTTCCCCAGGTAAATAAGAAAAAGAAATAATTATATTGTAACACTAATCTTTTCTTGAAGATATGAACAGCCAAGTTTTGATAATTATATTCAGAATTTTTTTAGTGTTAGAAAATGAGAGAGAATGTTTCATTTTTCTTGCGGCAAAAACATAAACTTTGTATTACTGTTTTATATGCCGTCATAATACTCAGCAAGCAATAATGATGAGCTTTTGGGATTTTTCACCGACGCGTTGAGGAAATTAAATTTTGATGCAACCATTCAATTATTTCTTTGAAGTTCTGTATAAGCATTTCACATTCCTAATTTTTTATTTGGTTTGCTTGGCTCTCGTGTTGCCTGCTTAATACTGTACGGTACTGTGTGTACCGCTTCCTTTTCACGAAGAACCTCGACGCTTCGGACGATGATCATGTTTTTCATCGATATATAGGTGTCGCTTCATTTTGGCAGAAGCAAATTTAGGTTGCAAGGTTACATTTTCATGGCTTTGAAAAGTTGGATATACTCTTAATGCTTTTGGTAATTGTATGCTATTCGATGTGTTGAATTGAATTAGGTTAATTTCGCGATTATGTCCGTAATGTGCTTATATTTCTAGTGTATCCGTTATTAAATGATCAATTTTGTTCTATTTAAAAAATCGATGACCGAGTCGTCATTAAAATGAATGTCGGTCGCATAGCCGCGTATACAAGTAAGAAATTTTTCTCACGGCATTCTTGAAAATAATTTTGAACATTTCCTCTAAGAGATTACGAGCATATTTTAGAGCCCTATATACATTATACTGTATATATATATACTTCGTATATACATGCTGTGTATTTCTTTTTAAATGAATTATTTCACTTTTAACAAGTTTATTCAGTATTCATATTTTTAAATGGAAATTTCGAGACAGGAGCCCTTTTATTGAAAGCTCGCGCGGGAGGTCATTAATATTGCGGCTCCCCGGAACGCAGTTCGATAATCTCTGTACAGGTGACATCTACATGCACTATATTGTAACAAGGAAGGTCTCGATGACGTATGTGCGCAGCACTGTGCTTGCGGTTGTTTCTGTGCTGGTTGCACTCGCGCGCGGCGAAGTCGCTGATCACAAAATATATATTGCTTATAATGCATTTTGAAAAGAAGTAATGGTTTCTTTTTCTCCTNTATATATACTTCGTATATACATGCTGTGTATTTCTTTTTAAATGAATTATTTCACTTTTAACAAGTTTATTCAGTATTCATATTTTTAAATGGAAATTTCGAGACAGGAGCCCTTTTATTGAAAGCTCGCGCGGGAGGTCATTAATATTGCGGCTCCCCGGAACGCAGTTCGATAATCTCTGTACAGGTGACATCTACATGCACTATATTGTAACAAGGAAGGTCTCGATGACGTATGTGCGCAGCACTGTGCTTGCGGTTGTTTCTGTGCTGGTTGCACTCGCGCGCGGCGAAGTCGCTGATCACAAAATATATATTGCTTATAATGCATTTTGAAAAGAAGTAATGGTTTCTTTTTCTCCTCCATTCACAGTTGTTTGCGGTCATCTTTTTCTTGATGCTTTTCACGCTGGGACTGGGAAGTGCAACAGCTTTGATCGGCAGCATCATCACCATCGTTCACGACCAATTCCCGCAATGGAGTCGCCGGAACATCACGATCGTTGTGTGCATCTTGGGCTTCCTTGCCGGCATTGTTTACACAACGCCTGTGAGTTTGATGTTGCTGTATATTATTGCACCCTATTTTTGAATTATTGTATCAGTGTTTTTGTTTCATTGATTTCATTCCTGTTTTGATGCGTTTGCTTTGCTTATATATAGGGAGGTCAATACGTGCAAGCGATAGTTGATCATTTCGGAGCGAGCTTCCTGATTTACATCCTGGCAACCGTGGAAATTTTCGCTATTGCCTGGATTTATGGTATGTATTTGTTTATTCAGCGATTGGATTTGAAAAGGAATCAAAAGACAGTTCACCCAAAATCGGGACTCGTATCAAAATTATCATTTTTCTTCTTCATGACGAAATAAGCATTAATTTCAAGAAACGAAAATTGAAATAATGGAAACAAACCCCATATACGACAAGCCAGTCTAAAATAAAAGCTGCAACAATTCCCTAAGCATTATAAACACTTGACAGTTCGAAGAAGCAAGAATAATTTTTCATAGCTCCATGTAAATTCGAGCTCATTTTAGCAATATTCTAGACGCTGTCATCTATGTATGTAAAAATAACTTATTTCATACGTGACATCAGCGAATCGTTGAAAATAAAGATCCGTTAAAAATTAGTTTCAATTCCCATTGCTGTTATTTACATCCACATCAAGATGTTCTCAAGACTTTTCATCAATATATGCGTCACAAAGAAGGACCCTGGTTTATGATGATAATTCAGAGTTGAAAATAAGTACAAATGTGATCACAGTATTTATTGAGAACAAAGTAAGTTACTTTTCATTGTGTTTCACTCAATTCACTGCTGTTCATTTTCATTTCAATCTTTTTTTGAAGCAGGAAAAATATGGGCGCATAAATGTCTGAATAATATAAAAATGTAAGTGGCTACCTCTGAACTCATCTACTTGAGGAGTTTTGCCATTTTTAAATTTAGACTCAACTCATACGTCAAAAAAAAGGATCTGCAAGGAATACAAATTTTAAAACAGGAGTCAGGTGAGTAGGAAAATGAGATACCATGATCTACCACGGAAATAATACAAATAACTTTACTTAATAAAAAAAAATAGCAGCGTTATGAAAGGATTATTTTAAAGGGGTTACTTCTTTCAAAATATTCAGTCTACGACAATCGGTTCCTATTTTACTGCAATCGATGTGTTTTTTTTTCAGGAATCGGCAACTTCTGTACTGATATGGAATTCATGATGGGAAGATATCCTGGGATTTATCTGCGAACATGCTGGTACCTCCTAACACCTGGATTGCTTTCGGTCATCCTCATCTATTCTTTGATAAAATTCAATAACCCGTCCGTCGGAAAGTATGAATTCCAAAGTGGAATACTGGGTGAGTTTTTCATTAGTCAATATTTCTTTGTTTGACTGGTATTCCAACTACGATTTTTTTTTCTTTTAGCTGTCGGTTGGTTGCTGTCCTCCGTTGGAATTGTAGTTGTTCCTGTGCTGATGGGTGTACTATATTACAGGAAGATGAAAGAAGGAGTTTCAAATGTAAGTTTTATTGGTCAATATTCATCGCAAATCATCTTAATATCATGTGTTGTATATTAATCTCACTCAACTTCTGCTGGAAATGCATGAGTGGCGCATATATTTAATACAGATACTTTTTTAAATATTCCATCCTAATAATTTAAAATAATTCTAGTTCATCTTACTCTCTTCTCGGAATAATCTTGGTGAAGAAAAATTATCGTATCAATTGACTTCGCAGTTCCCCAAAATCAAAATTTCTTCAAATTAAAAAAATCAACTTGTATCGGAAATTAGGAATGCAACGCTTGATGAGCCTGACATGCGAGTTCACATATTTGAGCATAACTCGAAATACATTTTTACAATTTTGATATCCGGCATTTCAAAGGGGGTTATCAAACGGGAACCCTGAATTTAATAAAACCTTTAGGAACTGCTCGGCATGGAAATCAATAAATATTAAGTCTCTGTCGCCAACGATTTCTTTCAACTGCGTAACTGCTGATACATATTTCAGTGAAAACAATGAACAGTACTGTACAATGCTGCTCATCAATTATTAAATTGTGATGTATTTATTTGGACTCCCTTTGTACACTGTATAATCATGCAGGAATTCAGTTTTAAGAAAAAGTAGCTGCAAAAACACATTTATGCAGCGCATGCAAATTACTCCATTTATTTTGACCATCAAGAGTCCTAATAAATATAGAGTCATCGCTCATAGCGACTCGTTTTCTACAGCGGAAGGCATTGAAGATTTTTTTTTAATGCCCTGAAATGTATGCAATTTTTGCCGTTGTGTGGTGTCAACAAAGTAAATTAAGCCCCTCAAAGTTTTGAAACTCCAAAATCCAAAATATTTTATCAAGCTGATCAAAGTTTCATTTGAATGAAATCCTGCTTAAATGCAAACCGACTGTATACTACTGTAAAGAAGCGACACCTGTCAAGAAAAAATACTATCAAAAACACACACCAAAATCAGGTGCGCGAGAGGACACTCTGGGGTATCAAAAACAAGACTGGGATAGTATCGAAGTACCGTACTGTACACTGTACAGTCTTACAGTGTATGTGTGAGAAGATTTTATCTCTTCATTTAACTGTTCTTCAATTTTGTTTCAGCCTGTGATGTCGATGTTCAAGTACACTGACAAGTGGGGGCCGAAGGACCCAGTGGTGCGCAAAGAATGGCTGGCATTCAGGGAGAAAAACGCGCACCGGGAGCGATATTGGTTCGGATTCATCCCCGCATTTCCTATGGAATGAGGCATTTTTTGTACCGACTTCCGACAGCGGAATAATTAGGCTTTTTTATAGAAAAACAAACTTATACACAAAGTCGAATGTCCCGCCGGAAAAAAAAGATGTTATTGTTGTTGCTGCGCCATTTTCATATACAACGGCGTTGTCAAGCAGCTTGAGAGCTTTCCCGCTGCAAAAAAAAAAGAAAAAATATTTTTGCTAGCGAAATCAATGAATGAGCATAAAACTGGATGATGGCGTTGTGTTTCTTTTGTATGAAGTCTATACAAAATATTTTCGGGAAAGATGAAAAATTAGAAGGAGAAACACAGAAAAAGTTTCATGACGATGTAAAAAAAAAAGATTTTTGAATATAAGCGGCTTATATTCTTTACGAAAAAAAAAATTATCACATGAGTGAAAGAACGGTGCGCCGGATGTGATGATGTGCAGGTTGTGGAAATGCTGTGCATTTCTGTATTTTTTTCTATATACTGATGTATAGTACTGTATAACATAGTTGACTGAAGGCGAGTTTTTGGATTTCTCACTCTCGAAATGATGCTCGAAATCGATACGTTGAAGCAGTATTTTTTTCTGTGCGTCTTTCCTTCTGGAAGCGATCCTCCAATTTTTGAAAGAAAAAAAAAGAAAATAATTTCACTTATGATTCTAAGTCTTTCCCCCGTACATATGTATCGCGCAATCGTACCTGCTGTTATTGTTATACATGAGCATTTTTGGAAGACGCGTGAAATTGCAAATTATGATGTGACATTTTTAGGAGCAAATACATTCATTTTTAATTCTCGGGAAAACGTAACTTTCGAATTTCATTGTCACAGGTCACAGCTGTTTGTATGCTAGCATTTCTCGTATAATTCTAGCAAATGCGTTCTTCTATACGAAGACTTTTCTTTAATCGATATACTGTAATAAAGAATCACGTACAGTATACTGTACAGTACATCGCCTTTTCACGCCTCGAAAGTGAAAAACAGCGCTTTTGTCGGCGGATTTTAATCGGCACTTTCATTATACGCGGTACGGTATAACCGTATAACATTCACCTTTTCATTATGAATTTCAAAAGCTGCTGTGTATTGATTATAATAATATATGATTGGTGATTACCGGCCGATTAATTTCCGCGAATTCTTGAACCAATAAACGGAATATAATTAATTGTAATTCAGGGGACAACAGTAATTGAAATGATGCTGCCGCTGATACTAAAAGTAACTTCGAACGTCACATTATATATACAGTACTGTCCAGAGTGTCCACCTTAGTTATTGTAAAGTACAGTATTTCATCTATACACTGTATATACTGTATGCTGCGCAGCTCGAACCATATGTGCAATATACAGTACAGTAGTTCGTACGCGATTCTGCCATGTACGTGAGACGACGTACGTATATATAAAACATGAGAATCACTTTGAATTTATGTTTTAGCCCATTTTGGCAAAGAAAATGAATATGATAATCACGGGATACATGTACAATACTGTTGTATGCAGTATACTGGACTAACTGGAGCACAGCACGGGCACGGCAGTTGAAAACCATCCATCATCAAAACAGTATTACATGCGTGAGAGCGTGTTAGGAATAGCAACACACACTGAAGTGACAGCGTGAGAAATGAGCAGCGGAATAGTTCACTGATCCGCTTCAAAAGTTACTCTTACATGCATATAGCAGTTCTGTAGTGCATAATTCCACGATCGCCAAATACCGCACTCTGAACGTTGCTCGAAGAACGGGCTGGAATTGGATACATATTGGATTGCGGGAACGATCGCGGCAGCAAGATCATTTTTATATTTTACAGCGACACCTATACGAAAGAAAAAGTCAGACATGATCTGTAGCTACATCTTTCAATGTATGGGATTCGTCCTACGTAGCATATTCGATCATTCACAACGTCCGCTCAGTCGAAATCTCTCGTTCGACTCGAATCCACAGGCTTTGTGTCACTGTATGATCGTTCGGAGTGTTAGCCTTAGGATTAATCCAGTTGTTGACTCAGAAAGGCGGATATGTTATAAGCTTGAATCTTGTGCCGTTTTTGCGAATCTTCAATTGTTGCGTGAAGGTGTGCACGCCCTTCAAGTTACGAATGGTTTCAAGGCAAGTTTATTTTCTTCAACGGCATGGAAGTTGTGCGAGATCGTTCTCGAAGGCGTTCATTTTCTTCGCAATTGGTTGTGTGATCTTGTGATCGATCTTACTATTTCACACAATCGCAAGTTTTTTTGTTATTACAGTTGCGTATTGTGAAATGTGAATTATGCGGAGACGAATCAAGTGGATGCCTACGTCTGCGTAGCAGATAATAGTAGGTGCACGTTGGAGAAGTTTTCCGCTTTTTCCCGTGTCGCTTTAGGAAGAGTTCGCTTTTCTTTCGACATGAGCGGCTACCTTCCACTCCAAACGAACGTTGTACATAGTATCATTGGCGAATACATCTTTGCTATTGTTGGATTTCCAGAAGCTTCAAATCGTGTTGAAGCTTCTTCAGGACTTCAAGAGGAACTATGAACCTTGATCCCCTCAGTATTGCACTGAATCAAATCACCAACGCCGTTGAGAACTTAACAAAGAAGAATTTCAAAGCTGCGACGCAGGAAATCACATATGTGCGTAATGCTTATACTGTACATTACTACTTTATTTCCTATTTTATGGTTACACGACATATTGTATGCATTAATCATTCATCCTTTCTACAGTTGGTGCACACGCACGGGAATATTGCTGAGCGACATCTTATTTGGTGTCTTTTCCTGAACCTCGACTTCGCCGAACAGATCAAGAGCGCCCCTGCAAGTGGAGGCGTTTTCTTGTTCCGCGAAACCCCACAGACCTTACTCCTGAGCTCGTTGATCGGTGGTTTATTGGAGCAGCCTCTGTACTCGTCGGTTTTGTGTCACGCGTACGATTCCGCTGTAGAAGCCAAGGTTAGTATTTCTGGGAATGTTTTCCTCCTTATGAAGGCGATTCATGATGGCTCATTTCTTCAGAACGTTCTCCAGAGTACAAGTTTGCTGCCAAGTTTGGCGAAACTCTTACGACTAAACGAAGTTCAGGAAGTAGTTTTTGCCTTTCAACTCAGCAACGCGTCACGCGCGGAAACCGTTTCGCACGCGGCAGAGCTCTTGAAGTATAAACTTCCTGAGTTGAGGAAATTGGTGAAAACTGCAGGTATTTGAGTGTGTATTGATCTGATCTCGCGTTTCTTGACCCTGGTGCCTTCTCTGTTTCTAGTGAAATCAACCAATCCTGGGGAGGTGATTTCGTGTTCGTTTGCGTCGCTGTTCATTGTATTGGAATCTCTTTCTGGAAACCGTGCAGAACAGTTCGGTCTCACGACGAGTGAACGAAGCGAGTTCTGTCAAGATTTAGATAATCTCGTCCGCATTTTGGTGATTACCTCATTTGTTTCTCTCCATGAAGATGTAGCGTGAAGATTATCCTTGATGAATGTACAATATCCATATATCATTTGCACGAAGTTGTAGCATCCTCAGGATGAAGCTCTTTTGTGTTACTTTCTCTTCGAGTTCCTTACAGTCATTGACGAGCATGTCTCAACAGGAGCTGACAAAGTTGAAGAAGGACGCTTCTGAACACTCGGAGTTGCCCGTATTGACGCCGATATTTCCTTCCGAATCGGAGCCATCCATGGAATGCTTGTCGACCGAAGAATCTGCAATGGCTCGATCATTGCGTGACAATTGTCTGGCGGACCAGTTCTTCGAACTTGGTTTTGCCATTACCCAGACAAGAGAAGAATGCAAACTCAATATGATGAAGATAAATATGGCTGAACGTGTGTCCCCGCGTGCAATTGCCAATATGCTTGCTTTGATGATTCGCTCCCAGTCCATCATCGTTGATCAAGTCGTTCTCCAAAATGTTCGCTCGCCCGCCAACCTGTGGTCCGACAAGGATAAGCTTCTCGATGGATTGCAGTCGCAAGGATGGAATATTGAGAATTTTGTACTGGCCCTGAGTGATATTGTGAGTTGGACTGAACCAATTCGTTCCATTTCTACTCTTATTTCGTCCTGCACGAGTCAGATTTTGCTTTCTATAATCAAAGGTTCGCCTAAATGTCAGAATTTTGTTAGGTTTGGTGCTGCATTTAGTCTGCGAATTATTGTAGTTAAACTCGATTAGGTTGGAGACTAATCCGATACCTGTCCGATATTTGATACTTCGATTAACTGGTACACAACAGAAAAGTGAAGGTTATGACAGTTCAGCGCGTCTGCTTATGTTATCTCAGAAATTCGAAATGTACGATTTTACAGGCTCCATCATTGAGCTGGAAAGATGTGGTGATAGAGCTGGAAAACGTTGATTTCGAGGTGAAAGATCGCACCGGTCTCGTTCTGCTCATGGGAGCTTTCAATTTGGGATTGCGACTGCAGCACACTGCATTTCCCATTGAGCATCTTTACAAACCTTGGGCTCGAGGAGAGTCACAGGTGATTTATTTAATTAAATTAAGATGTGAAGAATAAATTCTCAGCTTCTTTTTTATTGTCGCACTGAAGCTCCAACTTATGCAACAAGTTTTGAAAAATCCTGACGTGTTTACGCTGTCTGATCATCCCCATACTCCCGTCAGCGTTGAAATGCTCAAATCACCGTCTGATGCGGAGAACAAGGAAGTTGCCATGTGGTACGTATTTCTCATCCGTCCACAACCTGCGACGATAATATAATTTTGCATTGTATTTCAGGAAATCCTTGGACCTCATCAAGTTGCTGTTGCACCAGTACGAGGCCGGCAATCATTCGCAGGTTTCGGAAGTCATGAAATTTCCCATGACACACTGTCCGGATGTACTTGCTTTAGGATTAATGCAAGCTCAGGTTCGTTCGCTTGTATCACGTTAATAATTTCTTTTACTTGGAATTTTCATGATCATTTCCTTGTGTCGATGATGGATTTACCTGTTTCATACTTCGAGAATGCTTTTCCATTCATTCTCGTAACGAGACGTTTAGCTCACCTATAGCGTTGTTTTCAGGTGCCGAACAGCAGACTGCGTGCTGACTTGTTGACTAATTTGATGCCGGCGTTCCTAGGCAACCATCCGAACTCCGCAATAATTTTGCATTACGCATGGCATCTTCCTGTGAGCACCTTTCAATTACTTTATTCCCCTGCTCTTGCCGAGTTATTCCGATGGTATTTTAAAAATTCTAAGCTTTTTCAATCGTAGTTCCCACCACGAAATTCGGGGAGTAAATTCTTCTATGCTGTTGTATGTGTTCAATTGGAACCGTCGAGAACCTTTTCACTGTTTCTAATGGCATCAAAGTAGTTTTTTTATATTTTGAAGCAGACTCTAATTCACCGTCCCGAAATGAAGTCATGAGGTGAAGTATGCATACCTAAAGCGCTTCAATTTTGTTATCGCGTAAATTTGAGTTAATCAAGCTAATCTATTTCAAAATTTCCGTTAATTTCTCTTATTCGTCAGATGATAGTGTTCTGTCTGTTGGATATACAGTAATTTGATAGCGTCCGAATATACGATCAAAGACCCCTGTAGCCACCATACTGAACCGTCTGTCGTGAACGTGTCTTAACTTGTCTATTTTTTGAATTAATCACTGCTTCGAGTAATCTTGGAGTGTTCTTGTATCTTTCAATTAATTATCAACATTGAGGTGTTTGAGAAACCTTGGATTCGTTTGTAGAATGGCTCGATCCGTCCGATCGTGATTGAAGCGATGGCTGAATGGTATCGGAGGGGTGATGGAGACCAGCAGCGATTGTCGCGCATCCTGGAAGTCGCGCACGATCTCAAAGCCTTATCCTCGCTTCTGTCCGCTCGTCCATTTCCGTTTGTGATTGACCTAGCCTGTGTTGCTTCCCGCCGCGAGTATCTCAAGCTGGACAAATGGCTGACTGACAAAATTCGTGATCATGGGGACGTGTTCATTACGGCCGTGGCGAAATTCGTACAGGTAATAATTGATGGCGCGAATGCCTTTCTTTCTGGTTATTCAACTTGTGATCAACCTAAAGATAATTCATGCATCTTCTGTAAGAAAATTTTCAATATTTTCCAGCGAAAATGTCCGCAGTTGGTTAGTGGAGAAGACGACAGTGCACAAAAGTCAACTTTGCCGAGCGAGACGGTATCCGTGATTCTACAATGCCTTCAGTCATTCGCATCGTGAGTACTGCTTATCATATACCATGGGTTAATGTTTCAGAAATGGTTGTTTGTCCGGTGGAGTGTATACGGATCGATAAAATTATGTTATGCCGTGGGTTACTGTGTAGTGAAATATGCTAACTTTTTTTTAGATGAGGCAGGAGTACTGTACTTTACTGTATGCTAAGAGTACAGTATATAATTGTTCCTTTCGTGACGTGCGACACCATTGGTTTATTTTAGATGGATGAGGTAAACACGAATTGAATACTCTTGAAGTGTGCGTGTCAGATTCGTACAAGAATCGAGCGTCGTACTTCATGGCCAATTTTTTCTTCGAAGCGGTCGTTTTTATAGCGATTTGATCCAATTTACGATGTTGTTCTGATTTTGGACTTTTGTTCAAGTTTGAACAGCTGATTTTTGTACATTCATTTAATTGAGCTGAAGTTGTACTGTATTCCACTCAAGTTTTTTCCTTCGCTTACCGTTGTGGTTGCTTATCGGTAATAGATCATCTTCTCAAACATTTCAATTTTTCCGCAGTGCATCGTCCGCGGAGACCCAGGAACTCATTGCGAGTCTGAGCAATAATTTTAGCAGTGTGATGCTGCCTCGTCTACGGCAGCCGTTTTCGTCGAATGCGTCGCTTCCGAAGCCTGGTGGACAACTTCAACTTGATCGGCTCCTGAACACTTCACCGAATCCAAATGCAAGTATTTTTCAATTTTTTTGTCCCTCGTGACAGACAAGTCATTTATCCCTTCGGAAATGCAGGATTCTTTTGTTTCCTCCTTCTTGGGTTTGAACCTCCCGAACTCGATGTCTGGTGTCGATCCCGTTGGAATGCCCATGAGTCAGCAGCTTTCATCTTCAAGTCAGCTCTCGGTGCCGTCAATGAACATGAATACTGTGCCTATGTCAGGTGGCCAGCAGTTTAGCCTCGCCTCGAGTCCGTCAGCTGGCAACCGGCCTTCTGCGTTTACTCCGCTCGCAAGTCAACTACCAGGTAACGCTCTCTGGTCATTCGAGGAATTTTAAAATGGTAGAAATTGTCCAGCTACGGTAGTTGAACCGAACAATTTCTTGCAGTTATTGAGTTCTTGAAGTATGATGTAGAATTGTACTTTTCTAGCGTCCAATATCATATTGTAGTCGTTCGTGCAGAAAATTAAAAAAAAAATGTTATGAAGCGATGATCAATCGGATCTAGTCCCAACCGGTTAACATCAATATAGCTTGTATGGAAGCAGATGATGTGCTTATGATTCATTATCGAGTACGTTATGGCAGGGGCATTTAGGGGATGACGAAATAATGTTTTGCAATGCATGCGGTCTCTATCCAGAGGAGCTTTTTAAATATGGATAAAAATTCTCCTGAGTCGTTAAAAAGTTCGCTGTGGACGCTAACGTTATGGAACGAGTGCCAGAGTAACTTTTGAGATGCCTACAGTACGCCCCCGTTTTTAGTACAGTACTTGTTTTAAATGGTGGCCCCACTGATTTTGGACGGTTGAAGAGTTCGTTGCGTACTTCTGCAGTGCTTTATTTGCGATATATTCTTTTTGAAGTAAGAGGGACCAATGTGCGGAATTTCCAGTATGGTATTTATTTGTTTGGGGTTTTTTCTCTGAATTTCAGTTTGTTGTTTCGCTTTTCAAAAACAGGATGCTAGCTTCTTAAGCTAAGCTTGAGCCTTTTATTATCCCCCCCCCCCCCCGCGTTTTTTTCACTTTGCTTCCTTTGATTCATTGATTTTCAACCAAAACAAGATAAAATTTGCATTTTTACTTGCAACATGAAATTTATTTAGATTCGATCATTCTACACTGCAGTATTACTTAGAAGGCTAAATCTTGTGTTCTTCCAGCGGATGTCTCGAAGCTTTTTCCGGACATATTGCCCTCAACGACGAAGGATGTCGAGGATGAGGCGAACAGTTATTTTCAAAGACTGTATCAAAATCCAAATCCGCAAATGTCGGTTGACGAAGTGCTGCAAATGCTGAAGAAGTTCCAGGACTCGGATATTAAAAGAGAGAGAGTAAGTCGTATTGATGTAATCCCTGTTGTCCGATAACGGTAGTTTATTCATTTTTCCTTTCGCAGGACGTTTACAGCTGCATGCTCAGAAATCTGTTCGAAGAGTACAGGTTCTTTCCACAATATCCCATGAAAGAACTTAATACGACTGCTCAATTATTTGGAGGCATAATTGAATATGGACTTGTGACGTAAGCTGTCTCGGAGTTTTTTTCTTTGTCGAATTTTGTTATCATCTTTTCATCTCAGGTACATGGCACTTGGAATCGCGCTGAGATATGTTTTGGAGGCATTGCGAAAACCAAAGGGTAACAAGATGAATCACTTTGGTCTTGTCGCGCTGGAACGTTTTAGGAATCGTCTCAAGGATTATCCTCAGTATTGTCAACATGTAGCAACGATTCCGCATTTTTCTCAATTTCCAGAAGTGATCATCGAGGTGAGACGTTTTCATTGTTCTGAAAATACATTTTTCTCAGATTTATGTTATAACAAATGCCATGCGCATGTGAAGTGATAATATCACGGTTGAAAGTTTATGAAAATCAAGTTTCAAAACATCAACTGGCGATAGCTTGAGTTTGATACTCGAGCCTTTTGGTGTATACACTGGGGCCTTCTGTTGTGGCACTGGTTCATCTGTATCTGCTTTTCTGAGATGCACTCATCAATAATGTAATCCTTCCCTGGCACCACGTTTTGTCGATATTGCTTTCAAACTATGAATTTATTTTATTTTCTTAGTACGTGGAGTATGGCTCAAACTCAAAGGAACCACCAAGTGCCCAGCATCAGTCGACGCTTCATACGATGAATTTGGATTTCTCTGGGCCGATGGTGATGGAGCAAAATCCTGGCCCGATGGCGAGGATGCCCAACTCGGTTAGCTCGTCTGCCCTCGGTATACCTAATCCAGGGTTCCCGACGGCTCCCGTGCAGAACCAAATCAAACCTCCTGCTAATCCAACCACAGTTGCATCGTCTGCTCCTGCATCTTCTACCGCGAGGGTGAGTTAATGTGAAATTTATCTTTTTTTTATCTTCACCCGATTTATCTGCGAGGGTATCCGGCTGAGAATCGAGCATTCGCGACAATTTTTATTAGGGTTGGGATTTGCGCTTGAAAACACAAACAATCTGGAAAAATGTATTTCGTCGGATGGTTGAAAGGTTCAAATACTTCAAATAGCAGTTGGCGTTTTCAATCGCTTCTGCTTTCATTGGCGTTTTATGTGAAGTAAGTTAGTATCATGCTAAGAAAATATATCAAGTGCCGCATCTAGAAAACAGTGCGTCATCCTGTTATCGGGGTACAGTACTTCAAATGGGTTGCATGTTCTGACGGATGGTAAGCCTTCGTTGATGGACAAAACAATTCGTGTATTTCTGTTGGTGCACTTTACTACTACGTATAAACTTTACCCGCGTTAACCTCGTTAATCTGCTGTATATTTCCACCGGGACGCACGTTGACCATGATGAGAAACTAGCGGAAAAAGGAATTAATTTATTCTTACGATGGAAATTGGCCGAGTGCGGCCGAACGTACGCTTCTCTCGTGGAACAGTCGCACATCTGGTCAACTTGGTAAACAATGGAGCATCTAATTGCTGTTCAGGTCAGCCACGGCGTGGGTTGCCCCTTCCATTCGACCCGGCGTTACCAACTTTTTCGGGCTCCGTGCAAAACAGTCCGTTGCATGAACATTGCTTCAAGTGTTGTGATTGTAACGGCGGAGAAGAGGGAGAAAGAACAATGGGGAATTTGATAAAACCCACCGAAGTTCCGCCGGGACTCAGTGCGTTCTGGGGAAGCACTCAACCGCAGAATCCGGTACCGTTTTATCCATCGTCGCTCGAACGTCCTGATGAAGACGAGGCTCGTTTTCGAGGGGTTTTCGTTGTGGATTCGGAAATGCGAGGTTCAGGTTAGGCTTTATGTGGACTAGGATAAATGAAGCTGTGTTGATTTGAATGGGGATTTGGCCGAGAAATCAATTATCTTTTGGGCTGAGGGTTGTCTCAAACCAAAATCGTGTTTCTGTAAGGGGAAGATGAGTTTTTGTTCTGTGTACAGTACCTGTGCTGTGCTCTCATTCCGAGTTGCTGCTGAGCTTTTGCATCGAAATGAGTATCTAGAATGAAGCATCTCCTCCGGAGTTCGCTTTTTTTTTCTAGGTACTATACACTCAAACCCCGTTAAATCGTACTGGGATGAAGTACACATGCAGTAATGATTTTTGGATGGGATTTTTGTAAGGGATACATCTGCAACAACATTAAATGTATGCAGCAGTTTTTTTTTTAAGTATTGTATGAATTTTATTGAGTAATCACAGAACTTCGTGCAATTTAAATGTTTCTTTTTTGGGAAGCTTATCCGAAGTGTAAATTTTTTGTGAGATTGCAAAGCATCCAAGTCAGTTGATTAAGAAAGGAAAGGAGGAATATTTGTGGAAAACTGGAAACTAGAAGTCCCTAATGAAAGAAACAAATACAAGAATAGTCAAATCTTTTTTTTAATTGAGGGTGGGCTCTCCTTTACGGGTCAATCCCCTTTTTATTGCTAAGCTTTGGTTTCCCTGCCCTCTAAAGTCTAATGAGTTAGACATGCCACCAGGTGCTACACCCCTTAAATTGCCAACCTCTGTGCGACATGAACCTGGTGGTTTAACGGGGTTTGACTGCGTATAACCTATAACCACTGATTGTCTGGTATGAATAAACGCAGAGTATTCGTCGCGAGCACGTGAGAGTCGGTCGGCTTCAAATATTCGACGGGCATTACAAGTTCAGACGTGTCACGATTCTCTCAGAAATATAAGCAACGAGACGTCGTGTACGTCTGTTGATCAAGGAAGGGATGATACACCGGAAAACGAAGAAATAGCGGTTGTGAAAGAAAGAAAAAGAGCGTTTGACGGCATGAGAAGAGATTTGAATCACCCTGGAGCTACGTCACATCTGGAAGGACAGGAACGCTTTCCAGAAAAATTGCCAGAAATGCATTGCGTTGGTGTAGATCTTGAGAGAGGTCTGCAAATAGCCTGCGCAATTTTTAAATCTGAGAATGAATTTTTTATAGCACAGTATTGTAATTTTCACAATAGGATCAAGTCAAGAAGAACTGCATGAATGCAACCATCTCGGAAACCGAGGGAACTATTCTTCAGAAAAATATTTCCAAGACCGGGAGAAATATTCGATGAAGAACGATTGTAATTTTCCCTCTTGCGAAGGCTGCAATCCGGGCGATGAGCGTTCGATTTTGCGGAGATCTCCACCCAGGGAATTCTCGTCGCTTGCAGCACCGAAAGAAGTCGAATTGTTCCCACGAAAATCCAAAACCGTGGATTTTTCTCTTCTCCCAGAACGAACTTACAGATTGGACGCGGAACATTTTTCTGGCTCCGGAAATCTTGAGTCGATTCACTTCGAAAATGAATTGACTGCTATTCAACGTACTTGCGTACATGGAAACACCAACGTTGCGCATTCGAAGTGGGATCATTTTCAAGATTCAAATAAACCTGACGCAGGGAAATGTGCGAACGATGGTCAGATTAGTCTGCGTGACCAAGCAGTGATGGAATCCGTGTGCAAGAAATGTGAGAATTTTCCGCCAGAACAAATACTGCCTCTTCGTGTTGACGGGTTGAACTTGGAGGGTTTTCATGATCCCCATCCTTCTGAATTTTTTTGTCCCGAGCCCGCTTTGAAAGAGGTAATTTTGTAGATACTACAAGATTTCGTCTCTAAAATTCTCCGAATATGTATGCTTTCCAGCCTAGTTTAAAACCACTATTACATATGGGGAGCGATTTTCTGCAGAATACATTTCTAGAACCAGTCTTCCAAGAGCTTCAGGTGGAACCTTACCAGCTACAAATTGATGATATCGACTGGCTGAACAGACTTCCTGGAACGACGCGATTCGAGAATGATCTAGCTATTTCCCATAATGCACAACTGTTGTCGAAAGGATTCGCCGGAAGCTGTGCATTGGGATTTCCTCACTTGCACGGATGGGATTGGTGTTCATGGTTCGCCGTTTGAGACTTTAAGTTCAGTACGGGGAAGCGATTGTAGAAGTTTTTGCCATTTGTCGCAGTTGTTCTGTTGTGAAAGTTTCTGGAGCAAATGGCTGTGGTGAACATATTTGCGAGGATGGCAATCCTGGCGTTGACGAGATATGCAATTGTGGACTGCATTTTTCTTCGTCATGCCTGTTGAGGTTCTGCTCATCCCTTCGTTCGACTGATCCTTTCGATAACCCGAGCGCGTCAGCTGGCTTTGATGAGATTTGTACAGAGGTTTGCAACTGTCCGGATCAATTGAAATTTCGTGAATTCTTTAGGGAATTTGCCAGAGGCTGAATTATAATGTTAGTGATCTTTATCGAAGTCTTCGTTTGTGCGATAAATGTGGTTGAAGTATGACGTCATTATAGCTTCAGATACTCTAGATTGTCTATGTCTGGTCAGTTTTTCAAGAAGTTATGGGATGAATAAATTATCAACATATATTAACAGCACAGCGCCTGAACAAAGGAAACAATGTTCAACATACAGTATATTATTGCAGAATTGTTGCTAGAAATTGTAACCCCTTGAGAAATAATGTTTCACGTCTTCGGCATGAACTGCGAATCTTAAAACAGCAAGTATTTGGGATGATTCGTTGTGATCAGTTTAAACCTTAGATCCACACATTCAATAAATCATTGATCGTTAGTTCGTGTTCAGAAGCAGGACGGAAGGTGGTCGCCCGCTGTGGTTGAAGAGTCTGCATTGATGCAAACAACTTATGGTGACGAGATCTGTCGCGGACTCGATTGCTTCGGCGAATTCTTGACGATGCCGTCGACGGGAAAAACTGGGGCATTTATCAGCGAATCGTGTCATGATTTTGGGCTGGGTTTCTGTGTGTGTCGTGGCTTGGGGCAGCCTTCGAATATCAATGGCATTCGTTGTGTAGGATGAAATTAATTTCTGTCGTACAATTTTTTAATGTCTTTTCTTCTTCACAGCCTTCAATTGCGAATGCAACCAACATCGACACACTCTTGGTGGCGACGGAGAAGGAAGAAAACGCTGTCGCTCTTCCGCCGGAGCACATACAAGAGAAAATTGCTTTCATATTCAACAATTTGTCTCAGCTCAATCTTCAGAACAAGGTGAGGACGATTGATAGTTCCTTTAGACTGAAGTCTAACTTTTCCAACGACTGATGATATGGTACATGTACTTCTACGGACTAAATGCAATAGTGTTGTCGCGCTTGAGCTTTTTCGTGTTTCCTTGATGAATTTGACTCAGGTTTCGTAAATTTTTCACACCGTGTGATCGTCAAAGATTGCGAAATCAATGGAACTTGAATATAATAACCTGATTTTTCGATATTTACGTGGATTTGGTCACGTAATGGAACAGTCACTGTTTTTCAATGATTTCCAAGTGCAGTATTGGAGGTGTGATATATTTCTAGAAACCTTTTGTTCACTTTGAACCACTTGTTCTTCGTATGTGACTTGATGCGGCGTGTGAAACTTGAACTGAAGTTCTTTAATTTTTATTTTTAGTCTGATGAAATGCGAGACATCGTCTCCAGCGACGAATATTGGCCTTACGTTGCTCAGTATCTGGTGATGAAGCGATCTTCCATAGAACCGAATTTCCACCACTTGTACTCCAATTTTCTGGATACATTGAAGCTGCCAAGACTGAATACGATCGTTCTTAAAGAAACGTATCGTAATATAAAGGTAGGACAGCGTAGCCTTTGGTTGTGCCTTGCTGATTCAGGGTCATTTCGTCAAATTTTCTTCTTTTAGATTCTTCTACATACGAGTGACAAAGGCATTGCGAACTTTTCGGATCGCAGTTTGTTGAAAAATCTTGGGCATTGGCTTGGAATGTTGACGCTGGCCAAGAACAAGCCGATTTTGTTCGTGGATCTAGATCTGCGCTCTTTGCTGATAGAAGCCTACATGAACGGCCAGCAAGAATTGCTTTACGTCGTTCCATTTGTTGCAAAAATCATTGAGTCGTGTAGTAAGAGTCGGGTGAGTTTTGCCACATCTTACTGTAGGTGATAATCACTGTATTTTTCACGTGTTCCGTCGTTTTCGGCATCCACGAGATTCGTTTTAATATTCTCACTACTTTTAAATAGGTATTCAAACCACCGAATCCGTGGACTATGTGCATAATGAGCATTTTGGCTGAACTGCATCAAGAACCGGACTTGAAGCTCAATCTCAAATTCGAAATTGAGGTCCTCTGCAAAAACCTAAAGATGGAAGTATCCGTAAGTTAACGAGTATTATTAAGTAGTTTCGACTTTTGCATGTTTTTTTTTCCAGCATCTGAAGCCGTCGAGAGACTTGAAGGACGTTGTGCGACTGACTAAGATGGAGAATCAAATCAATCAGGCGAAGAAGAACGAAGGGCCTGTGATGCCGCCGATGTCCAATCTCGTACTGCATGGGATGCAAAATACGCCAGGTAGTAGTGCCCTTCGTGCTCATCGAGATTTTACTTCCGAGTGCTCATTGATACTATTGAAAAGCAAACTTTCTTGGTTTGAATGAAGTTTTACATATTTCTGCTACGTGACTTTGCAGTGCTTGGTGATATGGAGGCACAGTTGGCAAACATGATCCCTGCGAGTATGTTGCCAGGAACTGCGACTGCCGCTACTGTTCCTCACGCGGGCACTACGACAAGTCCACCTCCACCAACTGCAGGAGGTGGTGGCCCTCATGAAATGAAATTCAACTATCATTCCGTGAACATCTCGAGTCTATCAAACATGTGTCAGAACATCAGCATCAGCGCGCAAGTGCTTACGAACGTGAGTTTTTTTATGTTTTTTTTTTTTTTTTAGAATGAACATTTATATGGGTTTTGCGTTTCATTGAAAAACTCGTTACAATGCAAAGCGAATTTTCACGCGCGGTGTTCTGAATATTTCCTGGTTTAAACTCGATCTATAACACTCGGGTCAGATTCAATGTCAGTACAGTTCTGCATTCATTCATACCAGGAAAATATTTCCCTGTGCATCGTAACTCTCCGACGCTTATTACTTCGTAGCATTCTTGGGAATCATCCTTTTGAATGGAACTGAACATTTTCAAATTGTGTGTTCGCTTTGCAGTTGAACATGCAAAATACGCCGCAACAGGTACAGCAAGTGAAACAGTCCATTAAAATGGCGATCGAAAAGGCTGCACAGGAGTGGTTGCCGACGTTCGTAGATCGTTCCGTGAAGATCGCCTTGTCGACGTCTGAGCACGTTGTTCGCAAGGACTTCGCATTGGACCCTGATGAATCTCGTATGAGGCTTGCCGCGCACCGAATAGCTCGTCAATTGACAGGCTCTCTCGGCTGGATCACGTGCAGGGAACATCTCACGCACTCAGTCATCAATAATCTCAAGAATACCTTCAGTCATAATTTGAATTTGAGCGATATGACTGATCAGCAGAGGTCTCAGATTGATGAAGCTGCGACGATTGCGACCGGTGATAACATCGATAGTGCGTGCGCATTCATTCAGAAGACTGCTATGGAGACTGTCACGATGGATATTGACAAGCGTCTCCGACCGGTAAGGATTGTAATGATACCATATGGAGTTGTCTCTTTTTCTTAAAATTAGGTATACGTTATCTGGTTTTCGCTCAAAGTGAAGGATGGAATAAGAAACTATGGCTTTACAGAATCTTTGAACCATACGATCTAGCCGAAAGGAACATCCTCTTCGATTTTCCGAATGTCACCCCATTTTGTCAATACCAGGAAAAAGTGTGGTCACTCGGGCAATGATTTCCTTTGCTTTGCCTAATCTATCAGGCAAAAAGGTTTTCTGGTTTCCGAGTAAAGCAAAGTTCACTACAACATCAATTGGGGCGAGGATTATTCAGAATAATTAAATGATCTGATTGAATCACAGGAATGGTTATATTAATTTTCCATGTCTGACTTATTTTTTCGAGTTTGCTTACACCGTGGAAACCAATTGGACTATTGTCGCGCCGAGTTCTCTCTCTCTCATCCTCGATCCATGCATGACTTGAGAAGTTGGGGATTTCTATAGTTTCCTGAACATTCCTAGTGTGTTGAGATTTTTTCGAATAATGAATATATTGTTTTGAATTATTAGCTTAAATAATTCAACTCGTATTGCTGAATAATTACTCGCATTCGCTTGGGAAGCAGACATCCAGGAAATCATCAGAAATGGTCGAGATATTTTTCACATGCGTCACCTTTGATGAACGCAGAAGGATGACTACAATGTTCTTCATTTTTTTTCTTATTGTGTGCTCCGTACTTCGTTTACAGGACTTCGAGCTCCGTAAACGGCATCGTATGGAAGGGAGACGCTACTGTGATCCGGCAGCATTGAAATATCAAGCCGAACGTCTGCCTGAGCAAGTGCGTTCCCGCGTGGGAGTCACACTTCCCGCACAAATGGCTATCTACGAGTACTTCAACAACATCATTCCTGGCTTTCAGCCACTAATCGAACGTGATCAGATGCAGTACATGCCTAAGCAGCTGCCTGTAAGTTTGAGTTCTCATTTTGAGCGGGAAAAAATTCAATTCTTCGTAGATATTTGAGTAGAAATTTTTGAAAGTTGATTGTGTTTTGTAAGACTAATTTCGTTTGTCGATGTCCTCCACAATTTGTATCAACTTCATGACCTCATCACCCACAGCTATGTCTGTCGGAGCGATGTTCTTCTGTTTTGTCGCGTGGCTCTGAACGTGGCTGATGCTCGGACCTTCCAAATAGAGAGATGATTCTGCGTTTTATCCTGAAATCTCGCATCGTATTTCTGTTGAGAGAAATGTATGCTTCATCTCGAGATTTGTTCTCTTGAACTTTTTTTTCGTATCGAAGCAGACCTACGGCCAAGATGATGTTACGTTAATCTACGACTCCGTAATCAACGATGTCTCGGAGTATTTGAAGACGACTCCGCAAGCGAATGCATTGATGCCTCACATTACTCAGCTGGAGAACATGTTGGATGCGTTATACAACGCAAGAACGACCCGTGACCCGGCGCAAGCTATCCAGTTGGTTCAGATTGTAAGTTTCGCATTAGGAACAGTAAGACCATGCTTCCAACCAACGAGGTCGTCGGAAATCGGTCGTTTCATTTCTAAGATTCTGTCTCCGTGAAATTCTTGAACGCTCTTGGACCTCCCTCGAAGGGGGAAAACGTATCCAAAATTGCTACTACACGCATGGAAAACGTTTCCAAGGAATTCTTATCTCGCTGAGTAACGATTCTCATATTTAATTCAATTATTTGTGACCGATTTTCCCGGAGAGAATTTCAAAGTAATCAAACATGCTCTTTGTTTCAAAGAATTGAGAGAAAATGAAACGGTCCGAGTTCCTTATTTTGACTTCAAGCACTGGGTTTCCTTCTAATAGATCGGGTTACTGCAGTTCGAGATTCGTGGAAATGTTTTTTCAAAGACTTGTAGTACTGTAATTTATATATGCATTGACAACAATTAATAAACATTAGATTTGACCGATGAAACCACTTGGCCATTATATCCGGATAATTTAAGGTGTCTTCCAGTAGTCTCGAGGCGGCTTCCGGTGTTTTTTGTTGTTGAATAATTTTCTTCCAATTTGTATTCGCATCTGAAAATTATATTTTAAGGTCGTTGAGGGACTTCTGGAACAAAACCAGCTCACATGTCCGGACCTTACCGAATTGATCCGCTTCAGGGAAGCACACGTATTCGTCCTCAGAAATCTTCAATGCATGAGGGCTTGCGGATCTCAAGTGATCCGTTATGTGACTAAGTAAGCTCTCTCTTTCTTTCTTACGCTGATGATAAAACCTATTACTTTTCACGAGATTTTTAAGTTTACCGTAATTGTATTACTAAGAAAAAGCCATCGCCTTACGTTTCCTGGCGCATCGTGCGTCTATTTTCATGTAAAATTTCAAATCGTCTTTTTCTAGTGGATGAATGATCATCTATCGGAGGCAAAATTGAGGAAGTTTACAAGTTCAACCGGCATTTAGTTATATGATCACCCCTTAATGCAATCTTCAATGAAAATGTTTTCCAGGTTTTGGATCGAATCTCGTGAGGAAGTGAAGTGGAACCTGGAAATAGTAGATATGCTGATCCGGAACAACCTTTTGAACATGGGGCAGTTCGACTTTGCACTCGGTCAAGCGATGGAGGGCCCAAGTAACTTCGTGGCTTTCCGCTTCGCCATGCAGCTCATTCAGAATCTGCTCGTGGACGACCGATGTCAGCATGTGTCCGAAAGCGATTTCCCGCTAACCTTGGAGGTTCTTCATCGCGTTGCTTCGCATAACAACACGCGAAGCTCTCCTGAAAAGTTAGTATTTCGCTTCTTTCTTTCTTTGTTTTTGAGCTTCGACTAATTCTGTAAGAATCAAACGTAGTGAATACCCGGCGGGCAATCAGATCTCCATGCATATCGAATTTCTTAAGATTAAGCCGTTCCGAATTAGATTTTTCTGTGAAGTTCCCGCTTTATTTTTATGTTGAACTATTCAGATATCGCACTATCGGATGAATCTTCACCTTTTTTAAATCGCCGCATTTCAATCCGTCGTTTTTTCAGCGAGATGCTTTTCGAATCAAGGATGATCAATATGCCTGGTGTGGGAACCATCGGGTCGCAGCATGGGAACGTGAGTGGTGGTCCTGGCGGAGTGTCGCCGTCGCCCGGCGGTGGGTTGTTGATGCCTGGCATGGTGTCGATGCCTCCGCCATCGAGTGGACAATCAATAAACACGAACGCGCCTTCCACTTCCAACATTTTTGGCACCCCCGGACATCAGGATTACGACGTCCTCCAAGAGCGTCTAGAGCACGTTGTTCGCGATTGGATTGGCGTTCACATGCAAACTGCCAATGACGCAGATTTGCAGCAACCGTTTCACGCCATATTCGGACAGGTTGGTTTCATGATCCAAAGAAATTTGCTTTCTTTATTTTCTTTTTTTCGGGGGGGGGGGGGGGGCGTTGGTGAATTCCTACGCCATGATATTTTGCCACATGAACTAATCATTACAATTTCCGATAAATGCCTTTTTATGTATCTTCGACCCGGACTTCTCAGCAGCTCCACATTGCGCTGAGGGATCCTCGTTCAGAATTTTCCATGAACTCCACTTCTGTTATCAGAGATCAGTGTAAAGATGTTCGGAATACCCGCACTTCTGTCCTAATTCGTGAAGCATGGGGAAGGCCTAGGAGGCCCCATCACATAACTTATTTTCCACTAAGTATCATCCTAGAGATGGATCCTGGTTCACGAAGTTTAAGAAACTGGGCCTGTAGTCGAGTACACAATATTTTATTTTCACTCTTTTCCGATCTTTATGAAACTTTTTTCCATTGCGTCCCCCAATTCAGATTAACAGCATTATTGAGATTAACATGCGTGAACGGTCTTGCTAGCCAATTTTGCTGTTTTATATCACTTGATGATCTTCTCTGATCCGTAATGGTATTTATCTGCTCGTGCAGCTTTTGTCGCAAGGGATCTTCCGGTCTGAAGAAAACGTGGCAAAATTCCTTCGTGTGTGCATCAACATGTGCTCCCAACTCTGCAGCATGTATTTGGGAGACTCCAACACCGGTGCGTTGTCGCGCAACAAATGCTACCAGACGATTGATGCCATTGAAGCGTTATTTGTCATGATGGTCCGTAATGCAACAGACGTTCTGAATTTTCCGTCGAAGATCAGCGTGATCCACAAGGTAAGATGTGGATTACTCACTTACGTTGTTCGTTGAGGATTACTGGGTATTGAACTTTTTTTTTCAATTCATTTTTTTCACCCCTATTTACTTGTGTACCACTCGCACTCAGGTAAGACGCGCGACCGTATTTTTCTGCCTAAAATTTTCAGGGTATCCTATCCCTAAGTAATGTTTGCACCCCATTTTTTTGTAACTAAAATATCTCAGAAATAGGAGATGCCAGAATTTGAACTTTGACATGAATTCAGCCTTAATCCAATTATACAGTATCTTAATAGTGTTTATTTCTTCATTATTCGTGTCAAAATGTCCCATTAGATTTAAGTATAACGTGGACCTAAACTCATAACATTTTTTATAATGTTATCCCCGCCTATGATGCGCACCCCCGTTTTTCCTCTGAATTTTGGAGAAAGACAAAGATGCGTGTGGTATTCGAGTAAATACAGTACTGTACTTCGTCTGTGCGTATGTGATGAATCTTGATCGATTTGTGTACACTGCTGTGTTTATTTCTGAAGAAACATTATGAAAATTGAACACGGATGATTAGAAACATCCGAGTTATTTGCTAGATTAAAATTATTGTACTGTGCAGCTGTTGGAATGATTTTCAAAGTATTCAAACTAATGTTCTATTTGTATTTAGGTGTTCACGTTAGTTGGAACCGCTATGGTACAGGAAGAAGAAAGTAAATCAGACTTCCATCCGCTGACTTACCAACGGATGTTGACCTTCCTCTTCCATGACTTCATGAATATGGACAATTCAGCGGACATGCTTGGACCTCAAGTCCTGCAGCTGTTCACGTCTGTGTTGACCATGTGTCAGCCGAGCAAATGCCCGCAGTTCGCCTACGGTTGGCTCGAAGTCGTCGCCCATCGCACGACTGTGCAAATTTACATGACGCGCCCTTCCGTGAAGCAGTCTGGCTGGGGACAATACTACAGTCTATTGCACTGCGCATTTAAGTTTGTGTCGCCGTTTCTGCGTAGCGGGGATAACCGCAGATCCGTGTTTGTGTTCTACAAAGGAATGATCCGAATTTTGCTGATGTTGTTGCATGACTTCCCCGAGTTCTTAAGCCAGAACTATATCGGGTTTTGTGACATGATCCCGAACAATTGCATCCAGGTGAGTCATTGAAGGAAACCCTTCTCTTGAAAAATCAAAGTGGTGCATCACCACGAGAAACTCGAATTATTCTGAACCAATTACTGTGCTTCCTTCCATGGAACTCTTATTCGATACAAATAATATGGGGATAGAAAGTGATACTTCTAAATGTAAAATAATAGCTTGTCAAAATTGCGAAGAATGTGTGCAGCAACTACGTACTGCAGTTCGAGGTCCTGTCTCGATAGGTCTTGGGCAATTAATGACAGTTTCCAGCCGAATTTGCACATTTATCAACGCCCATAAATCTTGAGTAAATTGCGCGAAATCAAGAGCAAAGCGGACAAAAACGTTTGAATTTTTATGAAGGACAATTTCCAGAAATGAACTAAAGTTTCGGTAAAAAATTTTTCAATAACCTAGGTTGTGTTTCTTGTTTGAGGAATTTCTACGGAATTCACGCGCGTTCATCACATGTATAAGTGTATAATAACTCGATTTTAAAAATGGTTGGATGTCAACTGTTCTGATGACATCTCGAGCCACTGTTTCAAGTCTCCACACGTCCATGGAGTACCGTTCGTGGCTGTTTATTAACGGAAGATGAACTATTAATGTGTGTTCTGGGTAACTGAACTTTTATTCATCTTTCTTGGAAGAAAAATTTCAGATCTTGGGTTTTATGTGGCTGTAAATTTGGTTCGATTATCTCTTGACTATCTTTTGTGGAACTTTGTGAAAAAACGGAGTAGTCCAATAATAAATTAAGGGTAATACCCGGTCTTGTATTTCCCCCGAACTGCAAGTATCAAATCTCATTTTTGTGCAGACGAGAAATGTTATCCTGTCGGCCTTCCCGAGAGAAATGCACCTCCCGGATCCATTCACGCCGAATTTGAAGATGGAACAACTGCCGGAGAGCGGTCGACCACCTCGTATCAATGCCAATGTCATCGGCGCCATTCAACCAGCGAGCTTCAAAAAGGTTTGTTTCCTTTTTTCTGTGGTGATTTTTTTCTCTATCGCGATGAAAAGTCAATCTTTTAATACTGTAATTGACGTTTCGAATTTTCTTCCCGTAGGATTTGGACAGCTACCTCAAGTCACGACGCCCAGTTGCGTTTTTGACGGACCTGCGCACGAATTTGCAAAACCCATCTGAGAACACTTACAATGTTCCCCTCATTAATGCATTGGTTTTGTACGTTGGAACTCAGGCTATTGCGCAACTGTCAGCCAACAACCAGAGCACGACCATGACCAACATCACGCATTCGTCTCACATGGATATTTTCCAGAATTTGGCAGTTGATCTGGATAATGCAGGTATTTACTTCAGGAAATATTTTTCAAGTTTCTCTCAAAGGAGAATTTTCAGTTGCGTAATGGTTTTTCAGCACCTAAAATAGCATGTTTTTTCTCGTGCCTTAATGTCGCTTGAAACTTGTTACGTTTTCCTCTTCCAGTCCAATTAACTTGAGTTGTAATGATATGAGTTAGTCTTGAATACTTATTTTCGTTTCAGATTAACTTCGTTTATCCGTTCCTCTGTTCTTTCAAAAAATGGAGAAGGCACTTCAAGTTCTTAATACAGTACTTTACTATTGGTCTTCCCTTTCAGGCCGCTATTTGCTGTTCAACTCGATTGCGAATCATCTTCGCTACCCTAATAATCACACGCATTATTTTTCGAGCTGTCTCTTGTACCTGTTCCGAGAGGCTAATTCCAAGATTGTGCAAGAGCAGATTGTTCGGTAAGTGTTCCAAATTATCAGCGATATATGAAGTACAATGCACTGCTTAAATTATTTTTTTTTTCATCAGTGTGTTGCTCGAGCGGCTAATCGTGAATCGACCGCATCCCTGGGGTTTGTTGCTGACCTTTATTGATTTGCTGCGGAATCCAAATTTCGACTTCTGGTCGCACGAGTTCGTTCGGTCGGCGCCGGAGATTGAAAAGTAAGTTCTGCAAATCTTTGTCAATAGGCGTTTGTTATGGTATATTTTAAAACGTATGTTCATTTTCAAGGAGAGTGTGCGTGTCTTTAATCGTTAGTCGCTACCATTTCGCCTCTCTCGCACTGCGGGCCTGAAATGCATTTCGTGATATGAACTGATGAATTTCTGTTCCTTATTATATTTCCTTTTTATATCGCGAGTTTTTCATCTGTCGTCAGTTGCGCTTATCCTAAAATGCAGTCAAAGGTTCGATTCGAACGGAAGCTTTCTTGAAGAATTCTGTTCAGAGTCCCGTTTTTGTTTTCTCCGTTTGTAACTCTGTTTTTGTGTTTGTGCAACGTTGCGGTATTTTTATTCATTTTTTGCTCCCGTTATTCTTGTTGCACTTGTGACGTTTCTCCGTTTTTTTGTACATATCTTTCGAACCGATGTTAATTTATTTGTTTTGCAATTGACTTCGACGGCATTGCTTTTTCGTTAAGAATATTTCTTTGTTTCTAGGCTTTTCGAAAACGTTGGAAGGTCTTTTTTGACGAAATCTGTGAGTGCCGCCAGAGAGCAAGAGAAGGATCATTGAGATGTGACTGCAAGTGGACGTTTTGTTCATTGGAAAAACTTGTGAAGAAAATGCTTTGAAACGGAACTGCCTCTGCTGCTAAACCTATAGTAAAAAGGGACGAAAAAATGGTTTACCTGGACTTCATCTGTGAGCAACGAGTTCGACAGTGTGAAAAAAAATGGAATGTAGAATCCTTTTCCAGAGGGTTGGTGGTAAGGTCATTTGAAACAAACCAAGAGAAATTCTCATTGTAGAGAAATAGTTTTCATTTTTACGCACTGTAAACGTTTCAATGACTAGAGATACAACCCAGTTTCTTTCAAATGACGCTGCTACCATTGGCTGTTTTCGATATCCGCCCTGCTTCTTTCCTCGATCGGGTATCCTGAGGAAGCTATTGGAGGAAGGAAGAGCTTCGCGTTGGCTCTTCCACGTTCTAATAATGATGTGGCTGTTGTTCGGTTCCCTGGTGAATTGGTATTCGGTTGAAGTGTAAAGAAATATCGTGCTGTAGTTCCAGGTTTCCGGTTCTTGCTTTATTTAGGGGTAGAACGACGATGTTCTGGAATTATTTTTTTGGTTGTACATCGATTCATGCTTTCCAGAAATCGGATTTGCCTCAGTCCGGCACGGTTCGAGTATAGATGGGTTTCTTGGGGATTGATGTCGATTTTGGTTCAAAGCTTCAATTCACAATTCCTAATTGAACTCCTACTTTGCCTGAAGACTGAATGTGAATAAATTGGAAATGTTTTTGATGCAAATGTGTGATTTTTCAGTGTGGAGGATTGATTTACGGAAATACTTCTATTGTGTTGGTCACTTGCACTCGCGAATTTACAGTATTCACTTTCCTTTTGAATAGTTTTTCAAAATCTAACAACAAAGTTACAAATCAGAAAAGATGTGTATGCAGCAAAACAGGAATGTCAAGAGACAAATAGAGCCAAAAGACCAGCTGTTCATAAGAATATTTCCTAAATTTGAAGAGCCAATATCCCAGCTTCTATTCTGAACAACCAGTACAGTATTTTCATGCCGGCTTGAAGCTTTTGCTGTTTGTTGAGGTTTGTATCCTATTCAAATAAATCTGTGATGAACCCTTTTCAGAGTCCCAGAAACAAGTGCGACATTTCATCAATCGATTTATAGTAATGAACATATCCGTAGTCCACCTAGAGTACACGATTACCATTTTACAAGCTTTGGGGTGCAGTACATGCATGAGGCTGGTTCATACAGTGACTTCTTGGTGGCTCGTTCACTGGAGCATCCCACGAATTTGAGCTCTGTGATTGGATCGCATGGATTCCCGTATACTGTACTGTACCTACTGTGGCAATGCACTGTATCACACTTAACGGTATTGTGTGGTGAGGTTCCGGATGAGGAAGTTGTACTTGTTGCCGGCCGCATTTCGTACGACCGATTATTTGAAGTGTGAGTAAATGGTGCCCGAACTGTCCAACGTAAAAATTGAATTGTTCCGATCCTAATTTTTCGATTGTACGCAGTACAGTATGTGCTTACTTGAAAGATGGAAAGTCGCTGTGATCAGTGTGTTCGGCAAGCGTGCGAGTAAATATGTGACAGCTGTGGCAGCTAATTTGATTGCCGTTGATGATGGAGTAAAGCGCAGTTACTTGTGGGACACTGTTCCGCGTTCCAAGGATGGCGGTCTGGAAGATGTGGCGAAATTCGTTACGAAGCTTGAATCATTGAATCTGACCGTAAATACACTGACCGCGATTGAAGTGTTCGATGAGATCTTCGTCGTTCTTGAGAAAGGAGTGGCGTCCTTTTCAAAGCTTGATTTTTCATCGATTGTTTGCATTGATGTCCGAGATCAGTCCATCATGTCTAACTTGCACGAGGTCTCCAGTTGCGCTGCTTCTTCGTGGGGAATTTGCTTGGGTTTCCCAGTGGTGTATTTTTGTCCTAATGATCTCGTGTCGTCGGTCGTCTTGTCGAATGTTCCCTTGCGTGTAATCGAAATTTCCGCATCAATCTGCGATTCTCCTCGCGGATGTCGGGAAGTCGTGATTTTGTCTTTTAGTTTTCCAGCCGCCCTCGAAGAAAGTCTTACAGAAAAGCTGTCGGTGTGGCGCAGCGCGCAAGAATTTTATATCAAGAACTCTTCTGACAGACAGACGTACTTCGTGCGAGAGAAAACGTACTCGTGTAATAATGGATTAATTTTGTAATGCGTTTTTTTAGCGTTCTATTCGCGAATGTACTAACTTTTGTGAAATCCTGTTACAGGTACACCACTGTTCAAAATTATGCCGTTTTTCCTCTCATTTTTTGAAGCTCGTTAAAGGCTTTGCCTCTCGCATTTATGCTTTGATGTCTTTATCAAAATGGAGAGTGTCGGGGCTGAGTGCACTGAGCTAAAACGCGAGTACGATGCCTGCTTCATCTCATGGTTTTCGGATAAGTTCTTGAAAGGAGATAAGGATGATTCGGTTTGTGCCCCGCTGCTTGAAGTCTACAAGAAATGCGTACAGGTAAATTCTTTCAATTTTCCGGCAGTTGCGGCAAATGTATTCGTGTTGTTTCAGAATGCCTTGAAAGAGAAAAACATCAATGTGGACGAGGTGAACATTCGTGTTCTTGGTACGGACGATGAAAATCGAATACCACCAGGAAAGTCGTCGCCTTGATTCAATGGATGCGGCAGCGTTCTTCGAAATGTGATGTTGCATGCACGTTCCAGTCGTATACGTGTTTTGTGGCCCTTAGTGAAATTTGTTTTTCGTACGCGTCGTTTTTGTCATTGAAGTTTACGAGAAATTCGACGTGACATTGAAGAAGAACGGGTAATGCTTAAATGCGCCTCCATCCACTCAATCTCGCTACAGTATGCTCTTCGTTGCAATGGGAGTTACATGTAAGCATTCAGCATGGAGGCAAATGATGGAACTATAGTGATGAAATGCTCGATTTAAAATGTTTAATAATAAAATGACGCCACTTATCTGAACTTCAGAACACATTTTTCTAAGAGTGAAATGTTTCTGGGTGACATCATTTTTTTTACTTTTAGTTGGAGAATTTTTTTCTGGAGTAATTTTTTTCCACGAATGTGCGTTTCTTTTGTTAACTTCGCTTCCCCACGATTTTCTGCGCCAAAAATCTGTTCCCCAATCTTTTTGCACATATGCGAAATGTGTGTGGCGAAGAATGAACTGATGGAGGCTACGTTAGAAACCTTCTTGATCGTTCAGTGCTGCAACTTTTTCTTATTCCATTGGCATTCTTCATAGTTTATGAGAAAGTCTGAGTGTGACGGTGATCAAGTGACTATGGGGAAACTCTCTTTGCTCGCGATTGTTGCATTTATGGCCGTGGTTGGCGGATCTTCTGGAGGATTTCATCGCGCTACAGAATCCCGTCAATTCCACGTGACCAGAGATACGCACAGCCGTCAGCGTGGACATAATCCCCGTCCAAATCTTGCTCAACTAGCTGAACAGCTGAATCTTACAGAGTTTGTTAAGGTTCTCGAGTCGACAAATGTTGGGCACACGATCAATCACGAAGGTTTGTTCTTGGAATCTTAGTTTCGTGTTTGTTTAAGAACCGTGATGATTGTTTTTCAAGGTCCGTACACTGTCTTCGCTCCGACCAACGAAGCCTTCGCAAGGATCCCCGATTGGGCTAAACAGATCCCCTTAGGCGATTTGATGAAATATCATGTCGCACGTGGTGATTACCTAGAGAAGGAGCTGAAGAACAACATGCTCATCCGCTCGTTGTTGTCGAAGCGTGATGTGCGCATAAACTTCTACAAAGGTATGTAGGAAGAGTCTATCGGTATTCCAAGAGTTAGTGTTCCTCGTATGCTGATACAGTACCGCACTTGACGCATGACTTTTTAACAAACTGTCGAATTCATACTCAATTTTTAGGTTGTTTCATGTAAACTTTTCTCTATTTTATTAGGCTATCTGAAGTTTGTTTTAACGTATTCGATTATTATAAATTGTGGCCGTTTTCCAGATTAATTCTGATTTTGACTTCAGATGCGCATGAAGTTTTTCATTTAAAAAATGAAAAGAAACTTGAAACGGTGACTGTTCCGTTTCGTTTTTGCCCGGAAAAAAGTACAGGTAAACTTCCATTACAACGAAATTCTTTCTTTGAACGATTTTTTTCTGGTCCCTAAATTTTGATTGTTCCATGGAACTGGGTGTGAATTTATGGATGTGATGAACCGCTTGCCAAAGGTCAACAATGATGAACTGTTTTTGAGATCAGCTAGTTTGCATGAATTTGCCAATGTTCCATGTTTCTATTTTTTTGAAGTGATGATGTGACAAACATGCCTTTGCAAAGAAAGGTCAGGTGTCCGTAATCCCTTAAAATTGTTATGCGCTCCAAACCATCAGATTTACGGATAGTTGCGTGAATATGAAACCTCGATTTATTTTTAATGTCATTGAGTTTTCTGAAATTTTTTCTTGAAGAAAAAAAAAGAATGTTGACTGTTGATCGCATATTCCAAAAGATTATGAAGGATTTGGACTCGTTGCAAGTCTTGATCTCATTTTCAGGTGCTGATGGTAAACAGATCGCGACAGCTAATGGAAGGACGCTTAACCAGACTGACTTCGATGCTCACAACGGGGTGCTTCACATAATCGATGATGTTATGTACGCTGTGTACGATCGCGAAGGAAGTGCCTTCAATATGCTTCCAAATCTTCCGTTCAAGACCAGCATGCTGGTGCGTGCTTTGATGAGTGTTGACCTGGACGATGTATTGAACGGACAAGGACCTTTCACTGTTTTTGCGCCAACTGACGAGTAAGTTTGAAGTAGCTTGCTGTGCAAAAAAAATATGTGCAGTCCTTTTTACGCCCTTCGGATATCAGAAAGGGTTTCTTGAACGTCAGCCAGGCGTCGCCCGAATCTCGGAAAATATGTTTTGTACAAGGAAGTAAATTATGGTTTCGGAACACCTGTGGTACAGTAATACACCAATACCGGTGGTCCCTGCAACAATTTCCGCTGGCTCCGGCGTGAATATATTATTTTTGTTTCACAACGATCAGTTTTTCGCCCGATACGTGTATTGAAACAAAAACGTATATTGAGAAAAGAGCTTGAAGTTTTATTCCGTTTCTGGGAGATTCAATGACTATCTTCGGATTTTTTTCAGTGCTTTCGCGAAGTTGCCTGATGATGTTGTGCAGTACTTGCTCAAGAATGAAACGGCCATGACGCAAGTTCTTCTGCATCATGTTGTTCCTGGCGTCGCTTATTCCGCTGGCCTTTTGGATGAAATGTCTCTTACGGCTGCTGATGGAAGACCTCTGCTCGTTACAGTATCCGCAGGTGAGAACCATAAAAATCATTCCCTTTTTGACGCGCCTCGTTGTATTTTCAACTGCTGTGTTACGAGAATCTGTCAGCACAAATTGGTCGATCGTTTTGACCTACCGGAGTCGTTCGAGATAATTGCTGTATTTCATTTTACAGTATTCTGAATTTCTGTATTAGTTTTAAATTAACCGGGCATTTGATGAACCTTTACAAAATTTAGATTCATTGGAAGATGATGAGCAGCTTATAAGCGAAATTCTTTATTTCGCAATTGTTATTCCAGCCGGTTAAATGTCCCTCCCATCAACTCTATTCTCAGGGTATTGGAAGATGTGAGCAAATATTGCACATTTTGTTGCTCTAACCTAAAATTTGGAATGCTGTGATCAATTACAGTATCATATTGAATATTCGGATTATGCTGTACGCTATGGAAAATTTCCTGGCGGCTAAGTTGTTCGCTGCGGATGATGTACTTCAGGTATACTCTCTCTAGAACGATATTCTGTGTACAACAAATTTTTGTGTTCCATAGGGGTCTTTACCCATGCCATAGATAGAGGTTCTCTGTAAGGAAATTCTCCACAGTTTTTTTTTTTCTCCCTGAATTTCGTTGTTCAGAGATTACGCCAATCCATACTGAGCTGAGAAATGAACAATTACAGTTTTCCCCCAAGCAAGCCTACTGTATTTTATTTTCATTCAGATGGCGTGAAAATCGGGGCCGGAAACGTTGTGCTGCCTAATTACACCGTCTCCAACGGAGTCATCCATGTCATGGACACTGTCTTGATTCCGGATAAAATGTTTTTGCCGTGAGCAGCTGTGAAAAAATTTGGATCTTGTGCCATGAGAAGTAGTGAGGCAAGCGTGAAGAGAAAGGCAAAAAACTGTGAATCTTTCCTCGGCTTTTGAAACGGAAAAGCAGCGGTCTTTGAATTTTAAAATTGTTATTTTTAATTTGTGTATTGTTGGCATTCTTGCGTTCCTAGTGGCCGTTGGTGTTCGCTGCTCTGTTCCGTTTGCATAGATTGGGATAAAAGCAATTCTTGCGATTTGGCTATGTTTTAATATCCTCCATATTATTCGCAAGGGTTGTCTTGTTGCCGCGAGGAGAAAATTACTGTGTTCTTTAGATAACTAATGTATTCAGAATTTTTTGGACCGCCTGAGTATTCTTCGTGTATTAAAAACCTTTATAACCAGAATGCAGAGTATCCTCACCAAGTGCCCAGAGGAAGTAGTTTGAAAAAGTTCCGTGCAAATTTTCCTGTTTTCATCCATCTATGGTGGACATTTTTTTTTTTTCAATTTACACTGAATCTGAGTCCAACTTTTGGCCTGAAAATGTCACAACTTCTGTTGTGATGTGATGCATCGATGATTTTGAACGAATAATTTAGCAGATGATCATAAAAATGCATTAAGTGACTGCCCAATATTTCTCAGATTTGCGCCGAATTCTGACAACCCTTGCATTACACGGATTATTGTTTGATTCATAAATGTTTTTCTTCGCTGTAGAATTGCTTAGGAAGTGATTAGTTGATTTGCAGTCGTAGTCAGAAGATGGCCTCGCGACAGCAAATCGATTCTGACAAGTGTCAATTCTTCGTCGTGAGAAAACGACGATACTGTAAAATGGCACGCCTGAAAGAATATTCGTACTGTGCAGAACACTTCAAACCGAAACCCGGAGAGCTTACAACCGTGGATGGAAAAGAACGGATCAATTGTCCTCTTGACCCGAAGCAGTAAAGTATCCTCTTGAATCCTGGAGTTTGTTCCGTTTTTAATTCAAATTTATTTTAAAGAAAGTCAGTATATTTCCCGCCGTCAATTAACGTTAGCCTTGATTCATGGGCACTTGTCCGTTTTTGGTAATGGAAAAGTTCTCGCTTGACATTACAATTCAAAAGTTTCTGATCTTAATCAAATTTTCATTATTCGCTTGATACATATTTTGCAGTACTTGTTTCTTGAATAAGCTTGAAGCACATCTAAAGAAATGCAACTCCAGAGAGTTACCTAAGCCGGAATACCACGTGGAGAACGCGAATTCAGGTGATGTCGAAGAAATATCTCCGGATGACCTTCAGCAGCTCGGTAAAATGAGCGACCCCGATGTTTTGAAATTCATTGGAAATGCTCGACTTTGTCACGAAGCACTTTGTGAGTTTAATCAACTACTGTATCAACATAAATCTTGTGTCAATGTCCTCATGAATTTTGCCCGCCATAGTCGAACTATTGAAAAAATGTATTCAATTCCCGTATTCGAAAAGTTCTGGAACCACGAGGTTGGCCAGAAAGGCATATGCAGTTTTTTTTTTTTTTTTTAATCTATCTCGACGATTTGAACTAGTGCGTTGGAAAAAGCCGAAGTTAATTTATTTTTAATTATTGTTTTGATGGCTTCCGTTTCATTGGGGGGAAGAGCATGGGAATTGGAGTAAAGAACAAAGTTTCCGTGGGTTTTTGTAAGCGGATTGAACCAGTATTTCTACTTTTTCCCGTCTTCGTATGATTTTTGGTGAGCAGCCATTCGATCAATACATTTTCCTTTTTTGGGGGTAAAATTTTGCGGAGTTTCCTGAGAACGTAGATTCCGGTGGCAGCACTAGAAAAGTCTATCTGTCCCAGTTCCGCGTGTCCTTGGTAGGAGCATAAGCCAAAAATTTTGAGTTTTCCTACGTTTTTGTATCAGTTGAGGAAATTTTCTGCAGGCGGAACACAATGGAAGGATACCAGGCTGTTGAGTCACAAGGCTCTTGGCAGTGAACTTCAAAAAATGCAGGATTGTCCCGGCGCAATGAAGCATTTGTGCCAGATTGCTTCTATTCTAGGAAATTTGGAACGCCTCTGTTTACTTGCCAGACGTTGTACCTTTGTAGAATTTGGTGCTGGAAGAGGTGAGGAGTAACAATTTTTTGAAATAGTCTGTTTTTTTCCTGTTGCCAGAAGTAATATTCGTTCGCAGCAATTTACTGTGTCCTTCGATTTTGTATGCAATGCTTTGAACTGTACAATACAGTACAGTACTTACATTTCACTGTGACGCAAATGGGAGTATAGGGTGTCCAGAAATTTACTACGCCGTGGAATGGGTTTCGACGAAAACTTTCAACAATACGGTTACATTCAGTTTTGCGGTTTTTTCTTCATTATTTTCATTGAGGGCTGAAAATTTCTACCAAAGTTGATTGAACAGCAAAATTAAATTAAGGGACTGATTTATTGTTCTGGTATCGTTTAAAAAAACTTCCCTCCGGTTACAGATTTATTTTTATTTTTTTCACGGACTTCATTTCCTTTTTTCATGTTTTGCAAAATACAGTAGTTTTAACATCATCGTTTGACTGGAATGTGTGAATTTGTCTCTCTTCGAAAACACTGAACGCTATTCGGTTTGAATCGTTTTTGTAGAATCAATCCCACTTCGAAAATAGATGTTTTTATGTATCGCAGTCCTTCATACACGCGCATTTACCAGCCCATTCCAGGATCTTGATATGCTTCGAATTATACAGTATGATTTCTGTTCTCAGGGGCTGTTTCCTACTGGCTCTCGAAGGTTGCCTCCGAATCTAAGAAAGACTCGGAGGTTTTCCTTATCGACCGAGCTTCCCAGAGACACAAACTTGATAACCGTTTAAAAGATGGAGATGAAGCCCTGGGATCCGTACCCGTTTCGAGAATTAAAGCTGACATTGAGCACTTGGTGCTGGATTCTTTGCTCGATGTGCCGCGTTTGGATACTGGAAGTGAGGATGAAACTCGGATAGTTGCGGTGACCAAGCATTTGTGCGGCGCCGCGACGGACTTTGCCCTTCGTTGCTTGGCAAATTCGAAAATTAAAGACAAATCTGTGTGTTTTGCAACTTGTTGTCATCACCGGTGCGAGTGGAAATCGTACGTAGGGAAGTCGGTTTTACAAGTGAGTAAAATATGAGTTGATCCAGTCTTACGTTTTACTTGACAATCCTTACGTAGGGTGAGAGAGCATAGCATCTTCTATCCGACTACGAAACATAGTAAGCAGAGTATGGCTTATTTTTGTGGTGATCAGTTAATAGTGGGGGAAATACCAAAAATCAATGGTATGGATGAAGAGAAAACATTGTCAACCAAGGTTCAACACGTCTCCACTTTAAGAATCAATGCTTTAGACTTTTATAGAAAAAGCACAAGTAAGTGCTGTATCGTATTTGAGAGCGGCTGTGAAGTTTTTTCTAAGCCTAAAAGTTTGATTCGTAATTTAACCAATTCAAACTTCGGTTTTCCTTGCGATGTGAACCTCTCATTTTTCATGGAAGTTTGAATCACAAAAGCTGTTTAACAATTATAAATGAAAATTAGAAAATTTTGAATATTTCTAGGTTTTCTTTTTCAATATTTCTGCTTTTTTCAGAGTTACGGATTCAATGCCTCCAACTTCCGAGTTTTGTGTTCCTTGACGAGTTGGCTGACCTGTGGGTCTCGGAAACGAGAAGAAAAGTTGGACCCGTGCTCTGATGAGATATCTCAACAAAGGTGATCTAGATATTCCTAAAAATGTGGATATAATCTCGGCATTGATTTTTTTTTTTGGGTCCAAGAGTTGCCTTTTTGTACAATTCATTGGAAAGAAAAATACTGTACGTGAAAATCCTCGCTACGGAAAAATTATAAATCGGAGCATTTTATAGTATCGATAACAATTTTAAAAATCTCCTCGTATCACAATCGAAGAGCTGAAATCGAGGAAAATGTTGCATTTCGATAAATTCTTCCTATTCATTCAGTCTATAGTCCATTTATTTTCATATTGAAAAGGTTTTTCATCAGAGAACCTGTGCTGATCGATGTTGTTGTAATATTATTTCAATTAATATACAGTATTAGAAATTTCTTTGCAGTTTTTCTTCTTCATGTGTTTTTGTTCGTTGCTGATCCGCATTAATTTGCTATTGTTCTTGTCTAAGGTACGCCAAATTGGGGTTTACCGTCAATGAAAGCGAAGAAATCGGAAGAATCTGCAAGGATATAATCGATGCTGGCAGGATAAATTATTTGAAGTCGGTGGGATTTGCAGATGCGAACTGCTGTATTTATGTTCCCGAATCCGTGACTCCGGAAAATGTTCTTCTGATTGCGAAAACCGTCGAATCATTAAAAGTGGGATGAACTCAGTGGTCCTCATTTTTATTTTATATTTTTCGCCCCGTGTTCTCCGCTCCGCAGGCGTTTGGATTTTATTGCATGCGCCGTGTGTAGTTTGAAATCGTCTCGAAAAAAAAATTCCAGGTGATCCGCAAGTGCAAGAATGATTTTCCGGAAAACGTTTTGCAATTACTTTCTGAAAACATGTGTTTTCCGAACGCGGACGTTTTCTTCATCACCGGCTCTAGCGTCACGCGCAATCGATTTTTCTGGTGTGATTCCTCCAATCCCAACTCCATTCAATTCCTCTGGCAATGTTGCATATGATAAACTTCAGGTGAATTTTTCGAAATGGAACAAGGCACCCTTAGCAGGTAATGAATGATCATCAACATTTGTTGATCCAGGGATTACTTTGAACTTCCTTTCTATATAGGTTACCTTGTGGAAGGCTCGAACGGTGAGTACGTTCTTCTCTCCGACGAAGAAAGAGTGAATCTCATCAGAGAAGCTAGGAAATACATCCCGAGCGATCGGTTGCTCATTGCTGGCTCTGGTTGCCAATGTAAGTTTCCCGAGATTCTTATCCAATGAAAATTACCAAGAAAAATATTTCGATAGGATTTTGAAAATGTAAAAGAATGAGGCGAATTCACAGTTTTACTGATACCGATAAGAATTTTGTTACCGAAAATGTCGGACTGTTTGAACTATTACTATTTTGGTAAATGGTTTCAGTGCCGCGAAATACTGTACTTCTGAAATAAATGAATAATATTACTGTATGCTCGAATTTTATAAAATTCATATAGCGACGGAAGCGACGATAGAAATGTCGAAGAAAATGGCAGCAGTCGGTGCAGATGCTGTGATGGTTGTAACTCCTGGGTACTACAGGAATGCTATGAATGTGAGCCTTTCATTTTCGGTCATTCGCCTTGACTTTCATCCTCTTCTTCCTTAGGATTCTGCATTGATCAAATTTTACGCTGCAGTTGCCGATGAATCTCCAGTTCCCGTTATTCTGTACTCCGTGCCCGCCTATGCTGGTGTTGATTTGAGTGCGAATTCCGTCGCGAAACTTTGTCTTCACGACAACATCATTGGCATCAAGGACAGTGGAGGCGACGTATGTACCGTGCTGAATTTTATGTGGAAACAGGACATAATAGTGAAGCACACAAAAAGGAATTTTGTAGATCTTAATGTCGAATTGTTTTCGACATGGAAAGAACATTTTTGACTGATGCCAGTCTAATTGGTACAGCATTTGTTTTACGGTATCGTTATGCATTTCAAAATTACTCAAATAAAATAAAATTAAGGAATAAATTCCAATGTTTTCGAAGCTAGCTGAGATTAGTCCGCTACCATATAAATACAGAACAGATGAGGGAAATTCTCTTGTTGGCATTTTCGAAGATAGATTTCGAAGTCGAATGCTCATATGTAAAATTGAAATGGTACCTTTAAATTGTTTGCAGCAAAAACATTGCGATAGTTTTGGTCCCATTGAGCTCGTCATTGTAATTGAGTTCCTTTGTGTATTGTTCGGAACTCCTGCTGGTGACCGAATTATTCATGAGGATGAGGCGCTTCTGCTGGAACAAATGTGGTTTATTGGGATTTATTTTCAAGCAATGAAAGATATTTGGGACAGCTATGAATTATCTCATGTAAGGTTGATGGTGTTTTTATTGATATTTAAAAAAAAATTCTCATTCTATGCAGGTTGCAAAATTTGCTCTGATGGTTCATCTGACCGAGAAATCGCTGGGGAACCGGTCTTTTCAGGTCACAGCCGGCTCTGTCAGTGTTCTTGTTCCTGCACTAGTAGTTGGTAAGTGGGTCATTTCAGTAATTGTTGAGTGGTCAGAAGAGCTATGCAATTCTTTCGGAGTAATACAAATACTGTACTTTATTTCGCAAATACAGTGGTGCCTCGTATACATCAAGCCGAATTCGCTAAGATAAGAATGAGTGGTTCCGTTTCTGTGTGATAAACTGGAATGGTTGTTGTATGGATGGAACGTTTTTTCTCTTGTAAATGGTTGGAAAAATAATTAATTTCGATTGAAAAAGGAAACGATCTAAAATTCAAAGAAAAAGCTTTGGACGACCGTTGATTTACAGGCCACTTCGAGAGCGATTCTCAGATTCCAATTACAGTAAATGCGTGGTTTTCAGCCCCATTCCGTCAGTAATCACCGTTCTTGAATGCGCGCTTGAAAAGAATGGTGGCGGTTTTTAAATACAACGCACGAGCTTTTCTCTATTAAAAAAAGATTCGAACAACGAAGCGCTTCATTCAAAATCCTCTGGTTTATTTTTTTTTAAAGCGCTTGTTGAATTTCAAGCCCACAATAGCAGAAGGATAAAACTCGATGTGGATATTACTGTAATTATCCCTGAGATCTGTGCGAGGCAATTATTTATTTTTACAGGGATTGTCTATTTTTCATCTGGGATGCCAGCCAGGTGTTACCTGAATCTTTAAATTAAACAAAAATAACTTAACCTGTACTTTATAATAACTCAAACCGATTCGTATAGGACAAAACGTGAACCTGTCCTAATTCAAACCGAAGGACGCAACTATAATACTGTACATTCAATTGACGCTTATGTAAAAGCCATCGTGTTGTTTAGGAAATCTTGTATTACATTGTATCTAAATAAGAAAACCAAGGGTTCTTGAACGAATTTTGTATAATTTTTGATGCAGGTTGCGTTGGAACTGTTTCTGCATTGGCGAACATCATCCCAGAAGTAGTGTGCAAAACCTTTTCTCTTGCTAAGTGTGGCTCTTGGGACGATGCGAGTGCATTGAACAGACGTTTGATTCAACCTAATATGGCGGTGCGTTTCTTCGTATTTCCGTTGTTAAAAAGTTTCAAATTCATCTCGTGTTTAATGAAATCGTAGGTGACCAGTCAATTCGGCGTTGCTGGACTCAAGGCAGTGATGGACGCTTATGGCTATTATGGAGGTTCAGTTCGGCGCCCTTTGTTGTCGATTGATGAATCCGGTGCTAAAGCTGCGATGAAACCATTTCTTGAAAATGGGTTTTAATCGTCAGATAACTGTGAATCTTTTTTTTTTACTGACAATTTGTTAACTGTTTTGTCATTGGCGCGAACCTTTCAACTCCAAGAAAGTGGGCGCCGAAGAAGAACTACATTATTTTCGGATGTTTTTTCGCCGTTGTTCAAAGCTATATTTATAGGCTCTAATATACGCTCCCGAGATGACAAATGAAGGCAGTAGACAACCGGAACACGCGTTTCCTTTTTCGCATTCGTGAGCCTCGTTTTTCATAGAATTTATTCAAGATAATGAAGAAGGGTTGGTTAAACCCTCTGGAAAATGTTCCTAGTGCGTAAAAGCGATAATTTATGCACGTTTAAATTGCTGTACGTGGCACAAATGCCTTCACTGCAGAGTTCAAATAGTTTTTTGAGTAATTTCAGGTTGGACGTTCTTCGGATTCCGAGGTCCCAGCGATTTCAAATTTTCACTTGATTGCAGCTGTTCTGTATTCGAGTAAATTACTACAGTATCGTTAAACGCCATAATTTCGTTTACCTTCAGGTATTTGTCACCTGAATTTTTTAGAAATTTCCGTGGGTTTAAGTTCGGTGACTTAGGGTCAGGTCACAATTGGTTCTTCTGGATATTTTTGCTCATTCAGGCGACATCTTCCTCGTATTTTATCACATGACGTAAGGTGCAGTATTTGAGTGAAGAGAAAGAGTGATTCTTCGTTGTGCAGCTGCTTCGTTTTTTCCCCAGTTTAGCGATGAAAATTCAAGTCGAATGGCTGCTTGAAATAGCGAAGAGTTCATCTGGAGCTGATCATGGCTGTTGAACTCACTCAATATAGGAGCGTTGGAACCGGGAGAAGTCGTGACCTTTGCTGCCCGAGAGCGTACAGCAGGCTTTGTACGTATACTGTATCCTCCTTACAGACGCAAGAAAATGAGGAATACGTAAGGACGAAAAAAAAGATGGACAAGGAATCCGGCGAGTGGAAAGATTGTGTGCCTTCTCCCTGTGATCTGTCTGTGCTGTTGTTGGGCTATCGGTGCTGGCCGCCAGTCGTCATCTTCCGTGTTTTATGCCTTTGAGGCGGCGTGGTGAGTAACAAGCCTGTGTATTCCCAAAGCAACCGCGATCCTGGTGAGGCGGAAGTTTTTTTTTAGTCCGCACACAAGCCCGGAAATGCATCTTGTTTAAAGCGTGAACCGGTTATTGAGGTTATAGTGATATTGTTTTTATTGGAAATGGATGGGGGAATTCGGAATAATTTTCGCGCATTTTTGTGCAGCATAATTTTGCTATTTAATTTACGGCGGTTATTGGTTTTAGAACCAAATGTAATTTCTATGCAGCTTTTATTTCTGTTTGTTTAGTGTACCTTACGAACGTGAAATGTTTTTGGGTCGCGAGCGGAGTACAGTAAATTGAAAAGACACGGGGAAGATTTTAAATTTCTGACTTTTGTATAAGCACAGCGTGCATGTACTTCATTCCCCCGGCCCATTTATTGAAAGTGGAACAGGTGAAAGAAGTGATCTCTTAGTACTGCAATATTTAATCATTCCTGGTCCGCGTCGCGATTTTTGCCTATATTTAGGTTGAAAAAGCGAGAATACAGTAAAAGGGAGTTCAAAATACATCTAATACCTTTATAGGACTCGCATAAATACATTCAATCGTACTACAGTATTTTCAATTCAAAATCCTTCGATCCGTCCAAGACTTCAAGTTATTCTAATGTACCGAATAACACCTGAGAAGCATTTTAGAGATAATGCTGACAACCATGTGCAATGGGAACGTTTTTCTATTGCAAAGAAAAATTCTGAAGGTGATTCACCTTTCTTCAAATAGCTACTGCTGTTGAGCAAGAAATGCACAATTCGGCATCGTAATTAAAGAGAGTCATTTAAAAATGAAAGATATATCCTCTTCAAAGTCCTTGTATATTAATTTATGTCTCCAGGGAGGCTCAGATTTCAGATGATCGTGACTTCAATGCTTGTGTACCTAAGAGTTGAAGATATGAAGAGACTTCCTGGCCGGGGTCAGGATTCAGCATTGTTTTTATATATCCGTTCATTAGTACGGTATAATGTAGAATTGTAAATGAAGCCAGTGTAAAGGATCTTGAATCATTTGATTGACACTAAAGCAACAATGACTGCTAATTATGAGGTGATACAGGCAGACGATTTTCTCTGTCCTTTATAGCAAATTTTCTTCTTGCTCCATGAATATATAGGTCTCTACAATGAAATTATCCTTGGAGTGAATTCCTGGAAAATTTGAAGAACCTTCCGATTCATATTTTTCGCCTGACACGTATTTGAAAACACGTACTGTATTAAAATTCTCTCGAATGCTTCCTTTCTGCTTGCGTAAATTTTATAGTTGCATCAAGAAGGAGACCTATAGTTTAGCTCTTGGTGCCAAGATGAAGGTCTCCAAAAATTCGGCAGCCACATGATGGATTCTGCCTATTCTTTCCGCCAATTTTTGGCCTTCGGATTGTTCGTTTTCCTGATTATTGGTGGTCGGTGCCAAACGGAAACTCCTGAAAGCCAAGCCTCAGTTCTAAAGGCTTTTCTTGCTGATGGAGAGATCGACAAATTCGTTGAATACATCTCTGCTAACTCCGTTGATCTCGCAGTCATCAAGGATGAAAATCGGTGAGTTCTTTTTTGTTGTAAAATTACAACTGCAGTTCGTTGGTTCTTGTTCGATAAATTGAACATTAAAGAGCACATTTTAATAAGAATTTTGTATTACAGCACAACATGCTCGAAAAATGAACAGTATTTTTCTTCATTTGCAAGCACGCGGTTACGCATAATTTGTACATTTTTCTTGTTCAGTATTTAATCCGAGCTGAAATATTTTGAGCCCCTCTTAACCTCGACAAAGCGTTTAAATTTCATAATCTTCAATGTACAATTTTTGAAGATTTCAGAACTTGAGATACCAAACGTGTGCGAGGTTTTGGGCACCCCTTTGTAGAAGAACCCTCGTCCAAGCCCTAAGCGACCCAAATGCGGTCAACGTCATTTTTGATGGTGGGTCATTAAATTTTTACGATGGTGCAAGAATAGATTTGGACTGAAGAAATTTTAGATGTATTGACACGTACAGTCCGAGAGGTTTAGCTTGAGTTTAGCTTCGAAGTCTTCCTAGTTTAACATTTCGCTATTGAAACTGAAGTCCCATTAAAACCTGTGTCATGCGTTAAAATTAACCCATGCTGGTGTATTTATATGAAGAAAAACATCAATTTAAGATTGTACTTCTTTGGGAAAAATTATTAAGCGTGGGCTAGCTTTTTTTTTTTTTTAGTTGGTCGGATAATGTTGGCATTCCTTGAAACTGTTCCCGAATTTTTGAATTTCGTTTTTTTTTCGAATTTTAGGCGGTCTTTTCTACACTGGTTTGCTGATATTCCGGAAAATATCAGCCCGGAACACGGACAAATCCTGCGTAAATTCCTCGCTAATGTCTCATCCTCATCCAACGTGAATGTAAACGAACCGGACATTGACGGGAACACTGCCCTACACGCTGCAATTTTGAATAAGAAAAATAATTATGTAGTGCTTTTGCTCGCGCTTTTCGGCGCTAATCCCATCGCTGCCAATAAAAACGGATCCACTCCGTTGCATTTGGCAGTCAACAGTGGGGATGTGGCACTAGTCAACAAGTTTTTGAACACTGTGTCGGATGCCGCATCTCCTGTTCGTGTTTTGTACGCGTCTGATGCTCAAAGCAAGACAGCGTTGCACATGGCCGTGGAAAAGGATTTGTTTGCGATGGTACCTGCTTTATGTCAACCGGTAAATATCTGCTCTTTGATCATGTATTTTTTTTTGCGTTTTTCTTCGGGGTTTTTCTCGAGTTTTGGGAAGGGAGCTTGAAGAAAATGCCGGGCGTAGAAAACTCTTGAGGGAGACGGACGCGAGAGAAACTGATGCTGTTACTGCATAAAGAAGTCACCTTCATGTACCGAAACAAACTTCATCCCCGGCATTTTCTCTCGTGTTGTCTTTTCTCGCGGGCATTTTCTTTTGCGGCATTGTCTCCGCACCGGCATTTTCTCACGGCGATGCCTGGAAGTCGTAAAATTTGAAGGATATTTTTGTTCATTTCCATGGGAAGACATGTACATTGGTTCTCTTTTTTAATGCTGACTTACAGTAAGAGCAGCAATTTTTCAGGATCTTCAAATTTGAAGCTCATCGTTGTCTCGCAAGGGTACTTCTGTCTGAATACTCTTAAATGCTGAAGTTTCGTATAAAAAAACTCTTAAATATTGAAGTTTTGTAAAAAAGACTCCTGAATACTGAAGTTCTGTTTAAATATACTCCTGTTGTTTTTTTTTAATGTGCTGCTTCAAGGATGAACATTTGACTAATCTAAACTAACGCTTGTACAAATATTTTACTATTCAACTGACATGTAACCATACCAAATGTCTGCTTATCTTGACATAAAAGCAAAAAGAATTCGATTGAGCGGAACACCTAACTGAATTATCTGACCTAATAATGTAACTTATGATGTATAATGCCTAATAATCAACGTGATGAGTAACTACTGTAATTTAAATTTCATAAAATAATGTACTTACGCAAGTAATCAAGAATAAGTAGCCTATTTTTTTAGCTGTACAGTTAGTATGCACCAATTTGAGTCTCAATTGTTGTATTTTTAGGATTAAAGCGTGTGAGTAAGTGGTCTTTTGAAGGAGAGTAAATGCTAGTCAATTTTTGGACGACTTTTGTCATTTTCAATTTGATGGGGAAAACGAAAGGAGACGTACATTCATATTTTTTCTTGAGAGCAAATTCGAAGCAATATTTGATTTTTTTGTCATTTTCAGTTGAACGAAAAACAAAAGGAGACGTACATTCATCACCGTCCATTCGGAAATCCATCCGCCTTCCAATCAGCAATATCTCTTCTACGAGAGCGAATCCTGCATTTTTTCATTGTGAACACTAAAACCGTAGTTTTACTCCAGAGACGAAGTCTGGAGGGCTCAACTGCTTTGCAGGCCTCACTTCAGTTCAAGTCGACCAAGATAACGATCGTTTTATTGGAACGATTTGCGGGTGACGTGGCGCAGCTTTATTACGAAGACTTGTACGGCAACAACATTTTGCACTACGCTGCCAAATATGGGCGAGCGGACGTTTTCATGGCGGTGTTGGAAAGGACGCCTCCGGGGGATAAGCAGCAATATTTGAGGTCCATGTCGGCTGCTCAGCACTGGACTCCGCTTCATTTCGCTGCCGCGTAAGTTTTTTTCCAAGTCTCATTTTCTGAAATTCTTACATCATATTAGTCCGTGTGTACGGGTGAATGAAGCAATTTACCGGTATTCACTCGAGTACCGCATGTGCTCTCGAGTAGGACACGCGCCCCAAAATTGTCACCCAGTAATCTTGATGAAATCCTCATCCCTGAGTGAAACGCGTCCCCCATTTTTAGTGACTGAGAAACTGCAATATTAGAAAAGAGGTACCAGAATTCAAATTTGAACATGAATTCGACATCGATTCAATTTTTTTGTTTAGCAAAATTCCTGCCAGCATTTTCTCAGGTTTTATTCATGTGTGACGCGCACCGAAACTGTTAACATTTTTTTTATGTATTCCCGCCTATGACGCGCACCCCTTTTTTCCTCTCAATTTTGAGAAAAAATGTGCACGTACAATACTTCTCAAGTACTGTAGATACAATAATATACTGTAATTCGGTGCTGGCTTTGCTTATTTGTAAAATACAGTACGATAGTTATGGTTCCATTTCCTCATAGGATTGCATGCACGCATCAGCTGCATCGACAATGTAAAATTGATTATCCTGAAGGTATCCATGATTTTGTCGTCAAGAATTTTTTGTCGAATTCTGGTTCTGTCGGTTTAGTAATCCTTGCTCTATTATTTCGTGAAAAAAGAAGTGGACGAGCAGTGAAAATCTAACTGGATTCCTTCTTTTTTTTTAACGGAGTGAGTGACTAATTAAATGATTTTACCCTTGCTTTGAAGTTCTGCATCTATTGATCTTATTTATCCAGCAGTTTCAGGCCCATAAGATCACTAATTTTACCTTCTCTAATTATTTCAAACTTTTGGTTTTTCTAAAATAAAATTCTGGCTTCCCGATTTCCAAAACTTAAAGTCATTTTTTGCATGTTCCCTTGTAGAGTTGACTTGGAGAGGTTGACCGTAGTAAAAGAAGGTATGCAAAAATTTTCGGTGCGCTGAGAAAGGTTCAAATGAAAGCTTGAAATGCGAGTGATGCGTAAAATGTTGCAGTTCGTCCTGCAGAAATTTCAGTGAAAATTCCTCTTTCAGAGACATACAGTATCAATATTGATGCTTTGGACACGCATGACGATGCATTTTAATTCTTAATTTGAAAGTGACTTCTGAGTATTCAAGCGTCAAGAAAAATGAAATGTCTCACTGCGCATTAATTTTTTGGACACTCCTTAGTTTTTGATCGTTTTGAAGAAATTTTCGTGGTTAAAAAAATAATATTATTCTTTGTTGATTCGTTCCGGGTAATTGAAGGAAAAACTATGTGGAGAACCCCGTATTCTCTCGAATATATGGGCCGAAATTTTTTTTTAACCGGCATTCGCTCCTCGTTTTTTTCAAAAACGCTTGCGCGGCCTATACTTTCGATGTATTTGTAAATTATCTGAACTAATTTGAAGAATGTGACCTGTATTAGAGGATTTGAGTCCTTTTTCCTTGCTTGCTTGCTTTTTTTTATTACTGCGGTTTAAGGTATCAACATTTTAAATCATCGTTTTTGTTTAGTTTACGAGCTACGCATCAAAATAATTTTCCTGGCACAGGGAAAACCGTTGATGAAATCTTCACTGGTCGAAAATCATGTTTTGTCTATGAACTGCCGCAATTTTTTCTCTCGAGTAAGAAAACCGTAGTTTTTTTTCTTTTCAAGTGGCTGCCCAAGATTATTTATAATCACGCATGTACCAAATGACGTCAATTATTTACAGTATATTGTACCTCGTATATATCAATGGAGGTCGTTCAATGGCGGTATTAGCGGGTTTCGCTCAAAAATTGTATAGCATGGAATTCGCCTCATGGAATTCTTCTGTTTTGTCTGAGCAATTCGTGAGGCGTTGAGAAAAGGGGAAGATAGTTTTCCAATCAAAACCTTGAATTTATAAATTCAGTATCAATACATTTATACAATTGAGAACGTATCACGTATAAATTATCGATCAACGTTTGTTTATACAGGTGGTGTACTCTTTCTTCAACAATTTTGTCTCCGACGCGTTATTTTCTTCATAACGATTTTTGGGCCCCATATGGAGTTCTCATTCCATGTTACAGGGGTTCTCCACAGCGAATTTTGCATGGCTCCTTGCATTTCGTTTGTATATATATAGAGAGAGAGTCTACCTGTATAGCATTGCTGGAAATTATGGTACCCTATTCCTGGCATGACACGTTTCCCTCCACTCGATGGGTATCTTGAGGTTTTGGTACCGATTTGTTCTTCAGGCATGCCAGAGAAAACGTTGTTCAGCTGATTGTATCGCAAATAACAGAAGGCATCGATTCGATCGACAAGAGCGGACTGACTCCGTTGATGGTGGCTGCTGGCGTGTGTTACCAGTTTGAGAACGGGAATCTCCCCGTTTTGACCATCTTGGTGGCGAGTGGTGCAAGCAGAGACCTGCGGAATACTCACGATCAGAACGCCAAAGGGATGTGCGTTGCTCAGGAGCATCTGACCTGCAAGTGCGACATTCTGTCTCCTTCTGCAGTGAGTTTCTCCATCATGATAGTGTTACAGTTGAATCTAAAAAACTGGAACATCCTAAATTCGAATGCAGGTGGTGCCTCGCAATTCGACCCTGATCCATTGCAAAACTAGGGTAGAATTTCGAATTGCGAGACACATTCGTGAAATTCAAAAAAAGTACAAAAATTCTAAAAAAAAAAAAAAAAAAGGTTGCCAAAGCAGGTCAAATTCCAAGTCAACCTCACTGCGAATTTGACCGTAATTGTGGGATGGTCAAATTGCATGGTATCACTTCTATCTCTGTAAATCAAATTTTATTCAGGTCCCTGTCTAAATTTCTTTAGAAACAATGCATTAAAAACCTCCCTTACTCAAAGGCTTTCCTCTCAAACCTCCATAAGTGGAATTTTCTGAGGCCTTCTGGCTTTTTTTTTCTTCATGATACTGGAAAGAGAAAAGCAATAAAAAAGTAACTTGATGTGTTCCAAAAGGAAGTGAAAGACTAGTTGGGCAAATGAACCCCAGCCTGCAAGTTCAGCATCCTGTTGTCAACTCATTTAAGAAGCAATTTAAGGCCCAGAATATCATCATTCACAATGTCCTGCAATTCTTCTATGTTTCCCACAACAAAATTGCTTGTTTCCCTGAATTGAAACCTCCCTAAGTCAAAACCGTCCAAGTTGAATTTTTTCTGGTCCATTGAACTTCAACTTGGAATAAAAGGTTCAACTGTAATACAAGTATAGTTGAACCTCAATAGACCTCAGTGGGGTCTTGGTCAACAAATGCTGTGGCTTACAAACTTTGAGTTTGGGCCTCAGCCAACAAACGTTGACTTGGTTTACAAACTTCAGATAGTTCATTATGAATGGGGCAAAAAATGCTTTATGAAGTGATTTCCTTCCCAACACAATTAATCTTGTTGCAACGCATTGATAAAAGTGCTTTGCTCTGAAATCCTGCATCATACATTGAAGTAGATGCTATTAATTTTAAACTTCTGATTCTTTAAACATATTTCATGTGAGTCAGAAAATTACACCGTACGAAATACAGGTGGTACCTTGCCATTCAACGATTCAATTATGACCTTGCCATTTCGATAGGAATCGAAAACTAAAATCGTCCTTATTTAAATACTGTACTGTACTTTAGTTTCGAGAAGAAAAATCTATAGAACTGGACTCGAGTACTTGAAAATTTCTCTTTATTGGTGGGTTTCACCATCGGATGAAAAGACCATTAAACCATATGCATCACGCTTTTTTCCCCCATTACCTTTTATTTATCGTGACCAGCAACTAATAGGAAATAAAAACTGTCTTCGTGAGTATAATGTTCAACGATGAAACGTAAATATTTCTACCGCACCCTGGAACTTTGCAGGTTCTTCAAGAATTGCATGCGCATTAAGAAGACTTGTATTAAAGCGGAGTTTCCATAGAGATGATTTACTTGAAAGATATTGATTGAAATCATTGGAAGTTTATTTTCTCAAAAAAGCCTTCCTGTATGTCAGATTTCACGAAGAGAACCAGTGGAAATGCTGACATTTTGTTGATCGTATTTTCTCGTAAAAATTCAAGTTGCTTTCTGGTGTATTTTTTTCATGTGTAATTGTCATAGGTTACTCCTACAAAAACCAGTGCGTGCGTCGCAGAAATCAACAAAGTTTATGGACAGTCACCGGGGTCATCTGTCAAGGAGACGAGTCGAGAACCCGGAGAACTCTTTACTTTCAATGTACCATTGAGTACGGTACCTCTGAGTTTGAATACTGAACTGGAAGAATCGAAGGCTGATCCAAATCGGACCCCGAGGTTCAACCACGTTTGTGGTCGACTGAAAAACAAAACCCCTTGTTTCCACGTTGAAATATTGAACAATGGTCGTTTCATCGGCAGTGGAGCGATTGTCGACGAGGATTTCGTCTCCGCGTCGGCTTCGATCTTCCAAAGTTCCTCGTGAGTTATTTTTTAACTTTTTCTCAACACTATGGAATTAAAATTTTGAAAATCTTGAAGCATTGCGGTGAGAAAAAAAATTGTCCTCGTTAATCTTTCCTTGGAATTGTCTGCCAAAATTGGGTTCTTTGCGCTCCATGCAGCGCCTGACGTCCGCGATTCCATGATTCATTTGCTGTTACCATCATTTTGTACAGTAAGAGTTACTCTGCCTGAGGGAGTAAAACACACACACTTGGGAGGTATTCACAAGGTAGTTTTATCTTCGTCAGGTAACCAGGAGGTTGTAACTCAGTACAAAATTCGGTAGAAACACGAGTGCTTGGGTTTCAATGAGGTTGAGATGTTCGCTGGTTCGCGGTACGAATGAGACTGAGGAGCGCGCTGACTCCGCGAAACCAGACCGAAAGCGACCGAATCGAGAGGAATTTCTTGTATACAGGAATCCTTCACAAATATTGTATTTTTATGTCAAAGTTGAGCGAAACTTTGATTCAACACCGGCTGAATTTTTGAAACTTCATGCGTCACCTATTCAACAGCGAAGAAAATATTCGTTCATGGGTAACGTCGAAGATGTCGAGCGTTAAATAAAAATGTCCAGGAATCAGTTCTGAGGAAGAACCTTGAAAGTTTGTTTACTTTTTTCTTCATACAGTACATTCAAGAACTCGTAGGTTGGACAGATCCGAGAGAAAATAGTGCACTTGTTTTTGCTGCTTCAAGAACAGTATAGTAATTCACGAATATTCTAATCTATATTAGAGCCAACGAATAATTATAGGTTCAAATTTTTCTGTGGTTGTGCGGGTATAAATATATTTACAGTGCCTTATTTAAAACCTTCCCAAAAGCGTGAATTTCTTTGTGTATATATGCAGGGCGATTGCAGTTTCTCCGAACGGAATTGCTGTAAAATTGACAACTGGTTCGAGGCGATCGCTGCGAGTTTCGCGTATCTTTTGGAATCCTGGTTCGAGACAAAACGCGCTTGGCGAAGATGTTGCATTATTGCACCTTGCTGGGAATTTTGATTTCGTCGCGGATGAAGCCTGTCCAATTTGCTTGCCGACGAGCAGCTTTGATTCAAGATGCTTTCAAAGCTTGTCAGGAAATTGCTTCGTGATTGGATCGAAGCAAGGTAAATATTGAACGCTTTGAAATGTTATCTCGAAGAAATTTCAGCGAAAAAGTTTAAAATTGATTGACCTATTACTAGATCAGCTTCGTTAGTTCAGATTATTTAAAAAAATAGCGGGAAGGATTTATTTCTCTCGTACATACTGGAGAAACACAAAACTTCAAAAAGTTGTGATTTTTCTTTGTAAAAATTGGGTCTTAGATAGTTTGTTCCTATATTGTTTCAATATTGAAGATAATATTCAAAGATTATTATGATTATTGGTTATTATTATTATTATTGGACGATGGTTATAAAAATATTTTATGATGATCATCTTCTCTGTGAGCTTTAAATTGATGACGAGATTTATGAAGAAAACTTCTATTTTAGATCTCTAAAATCGTTAGACTTAAGCAATGAGCATGTGATGTGAAGCAATAAGCGATGTGTGAGTGGATTTTATATTTTGAATTTTCGAGGATTTTCCAATCTTTTTTTACTACCATTGTGGTTGTTTGGAAAGGAAACCGACTACCAGCATACAGGCTTTTGAAGTTTTTTTTCTGTGAAATCATGCAGGAAATCCAAAACGTGCTCCGAATGGTCCGTGGCTTTTGTATACTGCTCCACCCGCTCAAGCTGTTCAGGAATGTGCGAATATTTGGAACGGAAACAGAACTTTGCCGTCATCTGCGTTTTGTGTACAGAATGCTGACGGTTGGTGTACATCAACTTCTGCTTCATTCGTTTGTGTGCATAATGATGTTGTGAGGTGCGTTCGTTATGTATGATTTCTCTTACTTCTTTTCTCTTTTTTTTTTACCCGGATTAAGAGGGAAGAATTTTTGAAAGAAATCCACGCGCTTCCGGAGAATAATTCTAAAATATTTCGAAGATTTTCAAACTTTTGAAAATGATATTTTTTCCTATGTTTCGGAATTGTGACCAGGTGTCCACATCCTGAAACATGGTCCAGATTTTGTCGTAGATTTTTGTATTGTTTCAATAAATTTTATCATGCATCCTGACACTCTTGAAATCGAATAGAGATTTTAAATGTCTCTCGGAGAGACTCGATTTATTCTCAGATAATAGACCAAAGCTTCTGCAGCTAAAGAAGATTAACACATTCTGCAGTTAAAGAGTTGAGAACTTTTGAAAGAAATCCACGCGCTTCCGGACAATAATTCTAAAATATTTCGAAGATTTCAAATTTTTGAACATGTTATTTTTCCTTTGTTTCGGATTTGTGACCAAGGTGTCCACATCCTGAAACATTGTCCAGATTTTGTCGTAGATTTTTTTATTGTTTCTATAAATTTTATCATGCATCCTGACACTCTTGAAATCGAATAGAGATTTTAAATGTCTCTCGGAGAGACTCGAATAATTCTCAGATAATAGGCCAAACCGTCTCAACACATTCTGCAGTTGAAGAAGATTTGGTCAAACGTTGTTGATCTTCTTATCTTTCCAGGCTGTTCGGTCATCAGACGCTTCCTAGAGATTTGAAGAGTGTCCAAGACTGTCCTCGTTACAATGCTCAAAGCATCATGAGCCTTTTATCTCCAGACAGGACCAGAGCTTTTTACAGGGCCACCTTTGGTGCTGTTCCTCTGCAGCAGTCATCCGTACTCACCAGCGAAGGAGGTAATTTATGTTTTTATATATTATAGAGTTCATAAGTATATTTTTCAACTTGAAAGGAATCCCCAATTTTCAGAAGGATTCAAGCCTGGCGTTTGCGAAGAGAAGACAGATACGTTTCTGGAGATCAGTGCAATGTCTTGTCCGGGCTCGTCCAGCAATTTAGACTCTGAGACGGTGATCAAAGAAAGACCTTCAGGATCCAAGTGAGTGACTCATCGTGTATTATTGAAGTTATACTTGGGGTATATCAAAATGCATGACTCTGTACCCAGCATGTCCAGTTCACACTCGAATTCGGGGTTTTTAAACTCTTTTTTCAACATGCGACGAGAACATCGAACATTTCAGCATGTTAACTGATGATCATGAACTAGGAAGAAAGAATCTGTTGCGGATAAATCAAGTATCATTTGTAGACTGTCGGAGAGAAACGATCAGATCATTTACATGCTTCATCTTAGATTAACCCGAATGTTCAGCTTGTCCATCAGCAGTCTCATATAGAGAGAATAAATGGAGAAGAACGTGTTGATTATATTTTATTACTCACTGCTTTGTCAAAATTTGAGCCGATTTAATCAAGTTTTCCTGCACCACGTCGACATTATCCTAACTTACCGCCACTAAATCACATATGTTGACTTCCTTGCTTTTTTGGACTCCGTTTAAATAAATCACGATTCACAGAAAATTAATACTAATTGGAAATCCAAAGATGTGTGTAATGTATATAAAATGCAATAACACTTCATCAACCATGAACATCATTTCAATCAGGAAATTCAGAAATACCCTCGTATTATACATGCGTGGGAGACCGCAAATAAATTTGTTCCGGAGTTGTTTCGAATGATTGACACACCTTCTGTACTGTATGAAGAAAAGGTTGTTGAAACTTGAAAGGGCTTGAAACTGTTAATGAAAGAATACCCTCCCATATTTCGACGAACGATTCATGATCCCGGTAATATTGCAGATGCTTATTTCGATATTCTAGGACTCGAGTGACGAGTAAAATAGACAAAGCCTGCGTGGGCCAAGATGGTCGATTTCTTCCCGGAACCGAAGTCCATTACAATTGCTCTGTGACCTATTACAAACTGGTCGGCCCGCAAAAATTGAAGTGTGGTTCTCGAGGTTGGCTTGGAAAGCTGCCTTCTTGTCAACTGAGTAAGTTTTGAGTTTGCTTTCGTCATTATCTGGTTATCATAGTTTTAAAAAAACCATGGAATCGCCGTTATGTATTTTTTTTCTTTCACAGTTCCATGACGTGTGTTCTGCGACTCAATGCCTGTATCAGTATTTATTCATGCGTAACTTTCGTCCAAATTTAAATTTCTTTATAAAAAGGGGGTCGTTTGTCACTCCAGAGAAATTCGCCGCAATTATATTCATCATTACCCTCATTTGGTTATTCCTTTTTCAGCAAATGTGTTCAGCTTGATTGATCAAAGAATTTAAACCTTTCTTCAAAAGCCAATTTTTGAGCTTTTTTGTGAACTGCAGCCGTGAGATTGCTTCTATTATATATACTGGACTTCATTTAGTATTTTGAAACCTCTCTTGATTAGGAGACTTGAATGCTCGTTTTTGAGAAGTTTTTTTGGCACTTTTTTTTGCATCAAAAACCTCGATAATTTGAGAAAGATCAACGCTGAAATTACGCGTGGATGCAAGGCGTTAATGTGAAATAACGATTGATACTTAATTATTGGTCGATTTCTTCAACGTCATCATCCATGGTAGTAAATTTGGGAGGAAGAATGTTTGAAAATACGGAATGTGTAAATTATCATGACACACCTTCCGTGCTGATCATCGCCTGAAGTTTCCTAATTTTTCTTAACCCCTCGTATTTCTGTTCAACATATAAGAGATTTTTTAAACGTTTTCGTCGTTTTACTGTTCAATGTAATGATCTATTTTTCTGTATTTTCCCCCTTTAAAGTATGCGGTCGAGTCCACGGAACTGTGCTGAACGGATCCCCGGCAAACAAGACTGACATGCCTTGGGCCGTAGGTCTCTTCAACGAAAAGAAGCAGTTGTTTGAGTCTCAAGTGGACTCTGAACCCGTGCGAATATTTTGCGGTGGTTCGCTGATCAGCACGAATTTCGTCCTCACTGCTGCTCATTGTCTACAACCGAGACCCGCGAAGCTCGTTTTCTACGAACCTGAAGACATTTTCGTTCTCGTTGGCCTGCGAAATAATTACGATCCGCGGGAAGTTGCTGTTGCCCCGAAAGAACAGGTTCGTCAATTATGAACATTTTCCGACTTCACATGGCAGCTGCTTTCTTTCCGTAGGAATATTATATAGAGTGAGCCAAAAAAAATGTTTGACCTTTGAATTAATAATGACTCGCTGTTGAGCGGGGCTTACTCTAAAATTTTAATCGCTGGCAGTGACATCTGTCCTCGCCAGAGCTCGTGACGGCATTATTACGCGAAGGAAAAATAACAATAAATCACGCTGTACCCAAAAATATTTTGTGACTATAAAATTTATGGGGCAAAAAAAATTGAGTAATAATATAGAAGATGTGATTTCTCAAATGTGTACAGCATCAGTATAATTTAAAAGATTTATCGCCTTATTGGTCTATTGATGGTCGTTTTTCGTATTTCAAGTTATTGTTCACGTATTTCAGCACGTTGATTATACGTATTTAGTGATGAATATCCTCATTATTTTAAATTAAATCCATTTTCTGATGGCCCTCGTGCCGTTCTGAAATCTGCTTCAATATATGGGACCGGGCCCAGCTTTTCAGCACTTTTCTGTCTTTTTGCTTACCAGTATTCTAAAAATTTCGGAATTGGGTCTGCATTTTACTCTCTGGTCCAATGTGTTAGTCTTGCTTTAATCTTATTGACCACCATTCCCCCTTGTCTTATTTCCTTTGATTATCCGGGTGAGTGTCACTGTAATACCTGACCTGAATTGTGGTACTGTATATTAGATTGAATTTTTTTGAGGCGTGAATAGGGTTCTATAATCTTTTAATAGTAAGTGAGTCGACTCATACCTCACGCTCAGAAAAGGTTGGACACTAAAATCGAAAGTCTTACAAACCATTCATATATAAAACCTATTTTCATCCTTGAGTGTTCGAAAGTGAGCTATTCGTGTTCTTTATATATATGTGCGTTTTTTTTTAAAGGTTGCTGAAATAATAATCCACGGCAGTTATGAAGCCTGGGAGCTGCAAAACGACGTGGCTTTGCTGCGTCTGGAATCGCACGTCAAGTTGAACGAGCGAACTCAAGTAATCTGTTTGCCGCCGCCGAACGTGTTCGCGGCGGAAGATTTCGAACTGGCCAAAGTGGCGGCTTGGGGCTCAACTGGCTTCGACTCGAAGGGAAAGCAGTCCCTGATGATTGGAAACATCTCGTTGCGCAAATGCTCCGGCAATGAAAGCGTATTGTGCTCTGGCCATATCACCGATATACCTGGTGGTAAGTTTCGAGCTCTGCGGGTTACTTTTTTATTGCTGTCTTCCTTGATGACGCTTTTTTTTTTAGCTAATTATTATGTACTCCACAAAATTCATTAAAAAATCTCCAGCGTAGAAATTTTAATCCGAGATTCCATGCAGTGAACATACGGTGCTTCTTGTGTACAAGAACTGTAGTGGAAACACAATAGGGTTGCTTTTGCTTCCTTTGTTGAATTATGCTGGACTTTATTTTTATTTTTTGCAGAACCTTTGGCGCTGTTGTGTCGGGGGGATTCTGGTTCACCGGTTATGGTTGAAACCTCGCTCAATCCCGGTGCAGGGGATAGAAAGTTCTATCAAGTCGGAATTGTCAGCGGGAAACGATCTAGAACGACTTGTGAAGACATCGTCGCTGCTGGAGTTGATCATGTGGAGAATCGTGACGTACGGATCATGGACGTTGCAAGGTTGTTTTTTCATACCCTCTATTTATCTATTTTATCTGTCTTGATTAGGATATAATTTGAAAAAAAATATCCTTGGCAACTGAGTTTGATGAATAAGCATAGTTTTTTCGCGCAGACGTATGCGACATCTATGAGAGAAAAGCGAACTAGTCTTATGCTATGGGTCGTCAAGATAAATTGAATTAGGCTAGGGTAGATGTCGTCTGTGTAGGGCGCCAAGTTAGCTGAGGAGAGAAAAATGCTTATCGTTTTCTATCGTTGGTTTTATTATGTTTCTAGTCTGTGAATGTCATTTTTAAAGAAACCCGGCGCGAAAAATCAAGTAATACATTTTGAATCCTACTATAGTGCCTAACGTCTATCTCGATACAAATTTGAAAACATGAGCATATTGTCTTCAGAGTCTTGGAAAATGAACTTCGTTTTTCAACCCTGAGGAAACCAGGTCAGCTTTTTTGCTGTAAAAGAAAAATGAGCTATGATGGGAATTTTTTAAACCGGTAGAATCATTTCTGCACCTTTTACGCAATCAAAAGATTTTTCTTAAATTGCGAGAATTTAAAGAAAATGTTGTTTCGTTCCCCAGCAGAAAAGCATGCTTTTGTTATTTAAAAGCAAATAATTTTGCTAAGGTATTCACCTTCGTATAACAATCTTTCCCTCGTTCTAATGAAAGTATGTGAGCAATTATTTTCTTGTTGAAAATTCAGATCTCTGTTATATTCAAAAGGGAAAATTTCAGAAGCCTTCCAAGTAGAGTAGAATATTCTTCAACAGGCTGTTCGCCTACGGTGTCCTTCTGTTGGTTTGCGATAATTTGTTCTTACCTACGTGCATTAAGTGATCAATTGACTTTTTTTTGTTTTGTTTTTTTGCAGCTACGTTGACTGGATTAGCGAAAAGATGGCGTCCTGAAATCCGAAATGTGAACTAGATGTTATAAATTGAATCGCGCTCGGTATTGTTTCGGACCGTTCAATAAAGTTTTTCAAATCTCAATCAAGACCCTTCGCACTTTGCCGGATTCCGCTCAAAGGTCACTTTCGCTCTATGTCGATAAATTGATTAATGCTGACATTCATAAATCATAGGACTACCCTGGAATGGTCGCGTCGTTGTGATATTTATCGTTTCCTTTGACGTGTACGTTTCATTGGATTTCCTGACGCAAATATTTCGTGTTCGTCATCGCTGCCTGGAACAGCTGCCGTGCTTCCATGTACAGTACTGCTCCATGCAGATATTTTTCCAGTATTCAAAACTATTCCAAGATTTGTATCAACTTGAAAAGTATGTGACGACTTATTGTCGACTGAATTTTTTAACCGTTTTAGATTATGAAACCGAGTTTAATTTTTGAAGGAGAAGTTTTCCTTTTGTAATCCTGCCAGGTGAGGGTCTTTATAGCTGAATTTTTAGATCTGAAGATGTGATTGAATCGAATATTTTTGAAACGTATCTTGATCTAGCAGTAATAAGAAAGGGAACCAGCTTTTTCAAAGTTTCCTCTTGGAATGTGGGTAATGTTATTTCAGTGTGAATGAAATTACTAGAAATTAGAGCTATGGGCGCTAGATTAATTTTTTCAAGGCAATAAAATAACCGCCGTTCCAATTGTTGAAACATTTTAAATGGGTATAATCAAGTTACTTCATCATACCAGCGGATAAATAATCAAGCGGAACATATTTTTAGCGATTTATTATTCAAAAAATTGTGGAGGGTCCAAATTAGTCCGGAAGAATTGTGAATGAGTGAATCGAATCATCGCTATCCATTTTTTATACTGGAATAGTGAATCTATGTCTAAAAAGTTTTCATGATTCAACCATTTTTGTTTCGGTTTATTTTTTTCGGGAAGGGAAAATCACTGCCGACGAATTCCCATACTATCTCCGCGATCATCTCTTTATATGTGGACTATATTCATCTGTCCGCTATAAATCAGAAAAGTACCCAACATGTACAGTGTCCATTTCTTGTGCACTGAAATGATTTTTTTTTAGCCATGTTTGGGACGAAGAGCACTTCTGTAAGTACTGTACTGTACATGATAATGCTATGATATTTTTTTCATGATCTGAAGTTGGTTCCGCGGGATCAAAAGTGACGACAAGTATAACGGGCAGAAGGCTGATGTAACAATAATCCGGATCAAAAGCCCGCCGGAAAATCTCTGTATACACTGCGATGGGGGAAAAAAGAATAAGTTGGGTGTGCGGTATTGATCTAGCACTTGGCCGTCCTTTACTTGACCCCGATGACGCACCTCAGAAACACGCTGACGTTTGAAATGTTTTTTTTTTAACCGACTGCACGATAGGAAAATATATATGAGGTGGGGGTAGCAGCAGGAACTTCCACCCCCCGGCCTGCAGCAGACCTCAGTGCATGACTGTAAGGAGCAAGCGCATTTGCTATCAGCTGAGGGTATCTGCGGTGCTGATGGCTAGTTGCAGTTTTCTTCAGGGGTTCTCATGCGGTGGGTTCCTATTTCTGCTGCACTCGTGTTTCGATTTGTCTTTTTTTATTTGCCATGTGTGTGGGTTGCAGTTCGACTTCATTGACCTGTTCAGTCTCGCCTTTTGTCAAATATATGCTTAGTTATTCTGGTCCAAATTCCCTGGGTAATGGTGCTGTCTATAGAGCTAGACCAGTGGTCCCCAACCCACGGTCCGCGGACCAGCGCCAGTCTGCAGACATTTTTGGCAGGTTTGCGGGAAATTTTCTACAGCATAATAAATTAAGAACAGTAGTAATGAAGTCTGTTATCTCTATCTCCAATGTCAGAAAGACAATGGCAGTTGAAATTATCTGATGAAAAAATATTATTTGGTTTTCCTCCTAATAAAACTTGAGACAAAATTCCCTGCACTGAAATATATTCAATTTTTTCATTCTGGGAAACTTTTCTTTGAGCCCACGTTTATCTTTTTTGAATATATTCCATTGCCAAACTGCTTTATTGGTTCTTAATTTTAAAAAAATTATACAATTTTAAATGCCTGGAATGAAGTGTTTCAAACGAAACTTTTTAAGTCTGCAAAAATTTGATGAATTTTGTTGGTTTGCAGAAAATGTTTGGGAAATTTGTCAGTCCAAAGAAAATTTATGGAAATTTGGGGGTCTGCAGGCCAAAAAGGTTGGGGAACACTGATCTAGGCCAATTTTCCATGGACTGGTGCCAGTCTGCAGAAGTTTTTTTGCCTGTCTGCAGGAAAATGTCTTCAGCATGATAACTTTATAGAAGGTAGTAGAAATTGAGTCTGCTATTTTTATCCAAAATTGTGGAGAGACAATGGCAGTTCAAATTATCTGATGAAAAATAAAAGTTGGCTTTTCTCCCAATAGCACTTCGGACATACAGTATTTTCACTTGCTGAAATATATTGATTCAAGTTTTCAATTTGAGAAGCCTTTCTCAAAGCACAGCTTTCCCCCCTTTTTTTTGAAGACATTCCATTATATAGCTGATGCTTCATGTATTGATTCTTAACTTAATTTTTGCAATACAGTACAGGCTTTGTTCTGAGGACTTCATGGCAGGAATTTAAAAATCTTCTGTTGGTCATCACAAATTATATGGAACTTTGCAGGTTCAGGTTTGCAGAAAATTTTATGAAAATTTGTCATTCTGCAGGAGATTTCATTAAAATTGTATGGTCTGCAAGCCCAAAAAAATTTTGAACATTGGTCTATAGACTCCAGAGACCTCCCTATTAACTCCAAGACTTTCCCCTGTTCAAACGTTGGTACAATTAAATTTCCTGAAACCTTTTGTCTGTTATTACATTATATGCACAGAAACAAATCCAGCAGGAAGTGGAATAAAGTCATTGAATTGTAACTTGATGCTTTTTAGAAAAAAAGGATGACTACAATGCTTTATTTTCAGATGTAAAAGGAGCAACAGCATAAATATATTATGATTAAATATTTTTTCACGTTTGGAGGTAGGAAGTATACAGCTGTGGAGTATTGTTTTGAAAAACCTTTTCGCCTTAAACATATGCAGGTATTGAGTAAAAATAATGTATTCGATAATACCGGTATTGCGAGGATATTGGAAGACGTGTGAATGCTGAAATTCACGAGAAAAGGTCAAAAGAAAATCAAGGGACTGCATGATTGGCATGAATGATCGAGAGCTGCGTGGCATGAAAATTTGCTGTGAAATACATATATATACAGGGTGGCCAGCTGCAAGTTTGCACCAATTTCGAAGCAAAAATGTGCAAAAAAAAAACTAAAATGCACAGCATTTGTTTGGCTTAGATTCAAATAAAATGAATACATTTTGAATTAATTTGCAGTTAGTTTTTGCGCCGTAAGTCGGGTATACGAGTATGAATTCGTGCAGCTTCTCATCAAACTGAACCACATTTGTGCAAGCTTTTAACTAAACTGAAACAGCATTTGTGCAATAATTTTTTTAATCCGGCTGCATATACTGTATACAGTAGATTCGAAAATAGAGCTTATATTGTCAAAATACTGTAACTGCTGAGTATCTGTGCTGAGAATGCTTTTGCAAGTCCGTGAGGATAAATACTTGTTTAATTTTTATTGCATAAATCAAGTACAAATTGACATGCATATTTTCCCAAATTGGCTTTATAAAATGTTTCGTTTCTCACACGCAAAGATATGATCCACGCGGAGGCTCTTGATAAATTTTTTCAACGTCTTTCCAAACGAAGGTGCAATACAGAGCTGGCATGTACTGCAGATCGACATGCTGCAGGATGCATATTTAAATGTTCATGAATTAATTTTTTTTCACAGGGACTACGTTTCTATGTCCAGTTTACTTCGTAAGAATTGATCTTCAGGCATGATATCGCATAAGTACACGGCTGGAGGTCCTTGGAGTGGACATGGGTACAAAACATCCGGGCACTTCGCAAAGCCGAGGCACAGGTCGGTGTTCGACAGTGCTCCTGTGGACTACTCTCCCGCAACTCAGAAGGTCATAAGTGGTAAGTTGTTTCTTTTACCAACATTAGCCCGAGCTAAGAAGAATACAAAAAAAGAAGAATCGCGTGAAAACTACCGTATTAACTCAAGTACTGTACAGTATACAGGATATAACATGCGCCCTCAAGCGAGAAGCGCACTGAGATTTTTCTGTTGGAAATTTCGTTAAATTAATATCCTTGAGTATTAGATGCGCACCCCATTTCAGTGACTCTAAAACCAGAATATTTCAAAATAAGAAGACCCAAAATTTGAATTCATATAGACATGAATTGAACATGAATTCGACTACTGTAATTTTCGATTGATTTTTTTAAAAATGTGAGTTTTATTTTAAATTTCGTCAGAGTTCCCATTAGAATCAAGCATAATGCACACCTAAATTTCTAAAACTGTTCATAAAATTATATTCCCTCTTATGACGCGCATCCCCTTTTTCTTCTCGTGTTAGTTCATACCTGCCAATTTATTCCACAGTACGTAAATTGAAGGAAATATATAATAGATGTTTGAAAACTATTTATAGGAATTTTTCATCTGCTCAATACTGTACGATCGTAGTTATTTGGCCATTTTTGTTTCATTTCCGTAAGAAAATTTCACTTCGTTCGTTTTCTTGATTTCTGCGGCTGCTGGTGCGGATTGTTCAATTTTTCAGAGTTGATGGACGAAGCCCGGTTGACAGTGGCACAGAGGAACAAAGCGTTATTTCCGTTACTTCGGGACGATGTCGCTCCTGGTTCAGTTGGACGGCTGCGAACCGTTGTGGGATCTGGGAAAGGGAAAAAGAGATCCTCCAGCACTGGGTCTTTAACTAACGTCAGCGGTTGTTGCAGTCCTGCTGGAAGTACTGCTCCGGTTGTTTCAAGAAGCGTGAGACGAGGCGGCAAGCGTCCCAGGTCTGTGATTCTCGCCACTGGAGTCTGGGATAGAGAACAATACGTGTCTGATCCCAGTAAAGGTACGTCATATTCATGCGATAATTTATTGATATATATTCTGGTATTTATGATATATATACATCATATTTATACATATGCACAATACAGTATATACTGTATATAAATCCGGGTCGACAATTTTTTTCTCCGAATAAGGAACTGAAACGGCATATGATCGAGATTAGAAAAATTATTCTTCCGAAAAAAAATTCTTTGGACACCAAAAAAGCAGTCCTGTTTTAAATTGTTTTCAGAATTTTTTCGCGAAAGTCACCCCGGCAGCTTTTTCTGCTTTTTACGGCCGTTTTTTACTTCGGAGCTGATCTAATTTTTTTATAGGTTAATTTTTCCGATAAATAACGTTTTAATTTCCCAGGAGGAAGAGACTTGATCAAAGAAGTTGAAAAGCTGCAAAACATGATGACGTATGGACAAGAAGCGGATGCCTTTTTCGCTCTAGATGGCGTTGAAACTGCTGGTGCTGCAATGATGAGTGAAAAAGTTCCCGGCGGTCTGGATGATAGTGATTCCAAGTCTTTGAAGGTGGTTTTGCCAGGGAAGTGTTCTAAAAATTCAACGACTCGTTATGCCGAATGTGAGTTTTGGCGTTAATTATATCGATACAATATCTGAATACTTATACATATGTCTAAAACATGTGCGATACGGCCGTAATCCCGTATTATTATTACTGTATTACTGTATCATGCAGTGCTTGAAGAGATTGGTGAACGGGAAACATTCCTGGAAAAAATGAAGAAATTGGGCTTGGGAGACAAGTACAAAAGCATCATCGACTCCCAGATTTCTTCCAAAAATTACGAAATCAAAATGTTGCAGGCCGAAGCTCAGCGTAAATTGGAAATCGCTCGTTTGACTGCTGGAGTCGTGTCACGCTGATCTGAGTTTTTTTTTTTTTTTATCATGCTGACGCGAATTTTCCGAATGCACGATGCTGACTTATTATTGGTGAGTTCGAATGCTGTGAACATGCTAAATTTTTTAAAGTGTTTTAGCCGAAGGATGTGTTCATGCTGGATTTTTATCTGTGTTTACAGTGGAAATGCACCAGAAATCGCTCTCAATTGAAGCAAACGCGGCGTATACACCAGCAATCTCACAAAAAGATGACGCAGAGTGTAAAGGATCGACATCTAGTTGAGCAATTCTGCAACGCATTGAATAGTTCAATCTGACTGCTTTTGCACACTTGTGGTTTTCAATGCTAGCGTACAGTTGAGTTGTCCCGAATTGCGGCACCAGGCTCTCCGAACTCGCGGTTCGAGGAGAAATTTGTGAAACGCTATCAAACGTTCGCGGATGAGAACGGTGAATAGTCGCATGTGTATGCATTAAAGTCTGTGAAATAAAATGTAAATCTTTGAAACGCTGCATTGGGTGCAAATTGTTAAAAACTTCGGAATCAGGATCCGCGAATGTATTCTCTTGTGATCGTGCTTGATTCTCTTCCAGTTGTGCAAGTTTCCCTTCGAAATTGCATGATTTCAATTTTGACTGTGGAAAAACTGGTTCATATTTTGCGGCAGACAAGCATTCACTCAATCGAAATGGTAGCTCTTACGGGAAGTTTGCTGTTATCCCAAATATCTCGATCATACGGAATTTTCTCCCGATCTTTCTGTTCTGCCGCTCCAAAACTAAAGCCTCGCGTCTACTTTGACATCGAGGCTGATGGAGATAAGTTGGGTAGAGTTGTAATGGAGGTAACTTTCGATATTTGTGCGTAAAATGGGATGCTTTTTGAAATTGAAGTTCGTTGCTTTTAGTTACGAGGAGATGTGGTACCAAAAACTGCGGAAAATTTCCGCGCTCTCTGCACGATGGAGAAGGGATTTGGATACAAGGGTTCCGTATTTCATCGTGTAATTCCGAGTTTCATGTGTCAAGGAGGAGATTTTACTAATCACAATGGAACCGGAGGAAAGTCAATTTACGGAAGGACGTTCAAAGATGAAAACTTTCAGCTCAGGCACACCGGACCCGGTAATTTGGAATTAAATTCTCTTTTTTTTAATTATTTTGATTTTAAAATACCTGTGTTTTTAGGCATTTTGTCAATGGCGAATGCCGGGCCGAATACGAATGGATCTCAATTTTTTATCACAACGGCGACCACAGACTGGCTAGACAACGCGCACGTGGTGTTCGGATCTGTCGTAGAAGGATTGGATGTTGTGAAAGCCGTATGTGAAGCTCAATTCTTGTGATTTTTTTAAATTTTGATTTTCTTATATCTGTCTTCAGATGGAGAAACTGGGCAGTCGCAACGGCCGCACGTCAAAACAAATCGTTGTCTCTGACTGTGGAGAACTTGAGTGAATTCTGAAGCATCGAAGCGTAGTGCAATAAATCCTGTGGTTTTTTAATCGCTTTCGTGAATGGGATGATCAATTTTGTATGTTTTTTTAAATATCTTTATCTAGGTTACAACGTTTCGTAGTGTTCCAATATCGCAACAATGGTGGTGAATACGATACTGTTGGACTTCATTCTTCCCAACCCTCATGGTAAGTCATGTAAATCAGCATATATTCGACTATTTCGAGACGGTAATAAGTCATTAATTCCGTTCTTCAATGATGCACAAGTAAAGGAAATCTAAAACACGGAAAGTATTTCGGTTCACCTTGTACACCGTATCATTTGATGTTCTCTCATTTTCACATCGGCTGGTTAGCTTTATTGAATTGGCAGGTCTTGCTTTCAAGTCGTTAGTGTTGTAATTATATTCAGTGCGTTGATGAAATTTCCATTTTAGGCTTCGAAAATGTCTCGAATCTTTTCAGGCTATTATTGTGCCGGCGAATTCAATCCCTCCCTCTTTTTTTTTTTGGACGCGAATGTCACATTTTGCGCTTTAGAATCGGAAAGATGTTCGTCACTTATAATCATCTGTTGATGGGTTCTCGATGTTCAGTGGTTTTGGTTGATTTTCAGAGGATGATGGTAAACCACCAGATGCCTTGAAGGTGGTCGAGACAGTTTTGGAGAAACATAAATTGTCAACGATTCATCGGGCTCCTATAGATGGATCCAGCACGATGGCAATCATGGAAGGGCCGCAAGGCGCCACTGCAACGGTTAGAATTCACCCTCAAGGCATGGTGACCGTGACCTTGGAATACTACGTAACTAAAGGGCAGTCACCCTTATTTTCCACCAAAGTGAGTTGAACTATTAATCATCATGATTCACTCACATGTATAATCGCTTGCTCGCTCGCGATGGTTTTATTAGTTGATCATTTGGGCGGGTTTGAGGGATGATGGTTGTCAAGTATCATCCTAACTTCTCATCAAGGAAGAGTGCACTTGAAAGTAAAATGGTTATATTTAAGTTTGATTTGCTTGTTAATTTATGCGGAGAAGGATTCGAGTCTTATGTTGGAGTGCTAAAACCTATTGTCCGACGAATGACACTTCCTGAGATACCTAATTTTATATCGTCTGTGAAACTCGTTAAAATTGGTATTTTTGGGTTGGGAAAACGGTTTTGTCAGAAAATTTGGAATCCATAAATTTATAAAATGAAAATATACCTGAATAATATAAAAAAACTGCTGCGCAGAAATTTCTTCCGATCATATGGTATTGCATACAGGGTGAATCAATGTATCAAAAGCTGTATTCATTATTTTAGGAAATGTCGACGACATTCACGCACAATGCTCTAATCTAAGTGGCATTGGCTGCATCGAAATATAAATCCCATTTTTTATAATTTCTATCGTGCATGAATTCCAAAATCATAGTAATATGTAACGTTTGAATGGAAGAAATAATTTTATCGAACATTGATGGGTGACGTGACTTTGTCTCCGTGCTGTGTCCTACTTTTAATTATGCTGGTTTTCTTATTTAAAAGGCCATAGGAACAGCTAGAATAGGTGAAAATAAAATCATGTCCCCCTAAAACGCAATTGATATGAACTGCTATTCAACTTCTGCGGTTTGTCTGGTCTACCGTGTGGGTACCACAGTGGTACGATAGACATACGTGTAGTATACTGTATTTTTGAGAAATATGCTCTACGGATCGGAAAGCTAGGGCGAATGTTAGGAATGAAAGAACCTATCTCTGTACGAATATTTTGGTGGAAAGAGATGATTTTTTCCAAATCTTGAAAATACATCATTATTTTGGATTTTGAGGGGATTCTCCGTAGAGGTAAATAAAAAGCTACGCGCACATTTTCCAATGTGACCAAAACCTGCCCAAATGATGGGTCGTCGAATGAATGTCCTCTGAATTCCGTGTCTCTGTCTCTTTATATTCTCACTGCAACGCTGAAACAGTTCGTCTACGCGGGGAACAGTCCTTTCCCACTGTTCGAGGTAGGGGTGGTTCGAGGGTTTTCTTGTTCCCTTTAGAAGGATTGCCTGCATGCGGCAATGCGTGTATAGTATTTTATACGAATCTTATTCTGCATATTCCTTGCCTTTCCTCGCGTTGGATATTTTCATTTATATACATTTTTTTAATTAGGTTGAACGCATGATGCACGTTCCAAAATATACAAATTGCCGCCATCGTAAATATTGGAAGACTGGGAAGGAGGTTTTGAAATTCGCTTGTTTCTTTCATGAAATAGATCATGATTCCTCTCTTCATTTTCCGTGAGGGTAACTTTTGAAATGAAATCTTTGCTTATCCCTTGTAGGAATTGCAGAAATTGCGTGACGAAATCGCAGACTCCCTGGGCTCTTCGAATAGCCGCTTGTTACCTCCGGTTCAACGCGGATGTCGAGTAGACCCTTACCTGACGACCAGTGGTGAGTTTCTCCTTTTTTATTCACGTCGCGAATTATTCAACTTTATCTGAGATTTCTTTAATCTGCAGATGAAAGACTACTGCAGTATGACTTTGATGAATTGTTGTTCGAACAGCAGACAGCTTTTCAGAAGGTACAAATCTTTCATTCGACGAACTTTGGCAATGCTTTAGTGCTTGATGGTTTGATCAGTAAGTTGAATTTTGCTGAGAATTGGCTGCGAATTTCTTTTTATCTTGAAACATTTCTTGATTAATAGATTTGGCAGAAAGTGACTTGATCTACACGGAAACCCTGATGCAGAGGGGGAAGTTGGATTACACTGACAAAAATGTTTTAATACTTGGAGGTGGAGACGGGGCACTTCTTCATGAACTGTTGCAGGAAAACCCTGGATGTGTTACGATGGTTGAGGTGAGATATTTTTTTATTTTATTTTACGAACCTAAACCAAATTTATTGTAAATTGAGAAAGAATCCGACAGGTTGACTGGTGGCATGAACGACCTCTCCTGAAATTTCGAACAATGGGAATATCTTTAACTCATTAGATCAATTGCGTTTGGTCTGAATCTTGTGCATCAGTATGAATTTCTGAAACCTTTCAGATCGACGATGTTGTCATGAAATCTTGTCGCACTCACATGAGAACAGTTTGTGGTGAATCGATGGACCAGTATGTTGGACCTCATCATGAGGTAAGTTTCGTGAATGTATTCAAAATTTCTGTTATGTCAGCATAATTGCGTACTTCGTTGAATGTGAAGATTAATTCCAAATTTAATACTGGACTTGTGATCACCTTTGCATTTCTCTAAATGGCGGCTTGGGAATGTTGGGATACATTATTGAAAAATTTCTGTCAGTTTGAAAAGAAGATTTGCAGGAGAACTGCGAAGGCTATATCCAATCTGGAAATAATATAATATTTCCGTCAAGCCTCCGATGGGATTCAGTGTTATGCAGAGGTCTGTTTATATTCAAAAGGCTAAAAATGAAAGTTTGGGACCCTGTATTTTCTCGGCAAATGGGCTTTATTTTTCGCTGATTATGTCCTATTACTGTATATCAGCCCCAGAATCGACTACAGTACGTTGTTTTTTTATTTCTGAAAAATGAGTACGTGTTGAAATAAATTAAAGCAGTTAGCGAAGGGTTGAAATTTACACGAAAAATTATCGTACTCGTTCATCGAATAAAGTATTGAAATAACTCCCTCGCCGTCGAACTGATGTGTCGTATCTGTCTTGTTGAGGAAATATTTTTTTTGTGGAAAAAACTTTATTTCAAGTACAGGACAACTGGAATGCGTTATCGAAGTACAGTACCATAGGTGCAAGATCTGATACCTAAATACTGGCTGATGAAAGTCCCATTGAAAAAAATTCAGAAGAAAATTGTCTTTCAATGTGAAACTTATGTATCTTTGAATGCACATCAGAAAACTGTTCGAGAGATTGAACCAAGTTTTTCTTGGTTTATTTATGGGATTTGAGGAACGTTGTATTTTGCGTAAATGTCTTCGCCGATGGCGTGCACGCGATTCATGAGTCTCTGCAAAGTCGGGGCCATTTTCCGCCATGTCTCCAGACGCTCAGGGTCAGATTTTGTTATGTTCGTTTCGAAGTCCTGTCGTTTCGGCAACGCTCTAAGTGCGATCGTGATTGTTTTGCGGATTATCCAAGAATGATATCCCGCCAACGTGCGATAGTAGGCGTCGCGAACGAATTGATAAAGATAATCGTTGGGATCCACGCTGTCTATGTTTGTGAGAAGTTCGGTGATGAAAGGCAAGGACCGTTGAAGACGTTGTTGCATTTTCACTCCGCTTTCGTTGTTTCCCTCAACGAGACGCAATTCAGTTTCGTATTTAACCATTCCCTCTACCGTTTCATAGTGTCTCCGCGCCTGTTGGGAGAGAGAGAGAGAGAGAGAGATTTCAAGTGTTCTGGCATTTCTGTGCATTCAGCGTTTATTAATCTCAGGGCACCTTCCATACTGCCTTGAAGTCCTACGGGACTTCAATCGAAGTTTCCCGCTTCGACGTAGTCCTAGGTGTCGCTAGTACATTCCTCAAAGACAAATATGCTTCAGAATCGGTTAAATGATGGGGGAATTTTTTAAACTGGTTTGCAATCGAATACAGTACTTCCTCAAACGATCTAAACCCATGTTTTATATGTACTCTTATACGCAATATTTAACCCAGCCCATATGCAATAAGTATGAAAGTTGACCGACCCTGACCTTATTCGTGACAAGTTACTGAGTAAGGCAACCTGCACTAGAGACTTTAGTCACTAACTCACTATAGCTAGTTTTCTTTAAAGGAGGATTTTACGAGGGGTTCGTATTCTGTCGGGGTCTAGTGAACACTTCATTATGAAGATTTTGCTAAAAATTAATGGCCAAGATAATCTAATGACTTGCAACATGGTGGAAAAGTAGTGAAATACATTAATTTGTTTCCCCGTATAAGGTTCCCGAAATCCGGGTTCTCGAGGGAGAATTAATGCCAGTTAAAGACCCGAACTTGGCCCATTTTTCCCACGAATAACCCAGCATCTGAATGTTCTAAAACTAAACTAACACCAGAGGAAGCTTCAGAGAGAAAGAATTCACAGAATCATTCAGAATTCGATACCAGAGACACCCGCCTATTTCAGAGTTGAGGAGACAGCGAATATTTTGGGTAAAGTATTGAAGTTAAAGGGCAGCCTGCAGATGGACTCTCTATCCAAGGGTCGTGTCTATAACGAATTTCTCTGTATAATTTTTTGGGTTTTCTCATTGCATAGGGTTCTCTCCCCATGAATTAGGGGTTGTCCACCACGAAATTCTCTTTACCTCGAATATGGTCCGTTGAATTTCGTTGTAGAAAGTCAACGTGTATTGAGAAAGTAAAAATAATCTCGCACCTCAGACTGCCGCAGTCCGTCCAAGACGTCTATCTTTTCCTTCATCTCCGCCACGACAAAGGAGAAAACCGGCCCGAGTGGCGTGAACATTTCCATAACTGCGCGGAAAATATTGAGAAATCCCTGCAAGTTTAGTCCCTTTTGGGAAAGCGTGTGTTCGAGGCTGGTCAAGAGAAACTCGGGCCTGAATGTGATTTCCTCTGTCGGATTATTGGTTCGTTTCGCCCAGTATCTTGTGCGGAAGTGTGAGTTCGATGAACTTTTTGGCTTGATGGAACTTTCTGTGTCGTAGTCGGTCAAAGAAGTATCGCTGTAAGCTGAGATGATGGATGTTGAAGGAATGGATGTTGTCGACCCCATGATGTCGTCTCTCCTCAGAGCCTTAGCAGAGACCGATGAGGTTTCGCCGTGATGATTTACCATTGAATCTGATAATGAGTTAAGAATTCCCATCCATCTTTTAAACATGTTCCGACTCGTGAAGCCTTTTCGTTCATGATTTTTCATATTCTTGTAGTATTGTACTGTTTCCTTCGTCAGATTTAAATTTCAGATTTTTAGCGCGAGTAGAAAGAAGCGCACCATGGGGTTTCAGCCAAATCAAAAAATATATTATCCCCGAGGAAGACGCGCATTCCGTTTTTAGTGATTCTAAGACCCGAATATTTTAAAAATAAGATCACCCAAATTTGAGTTTAGATATGATTGATTCTGAATTCGACTAATTTTCAATTATTTCCATTAGCATGAAAGTTTATAAACACCTTCAGCTCTGAAACTTTTTTAATGTATTCCCATCTACGACGCTCACCCTTTTTCCCCTCAAATTGGAGAAAAAGGCGCACGAGTAATTAAGATAAGATTATTGAAAGAATGAAATTATTCTTATTCCCTCCAGGCTGCAAATGAGATCAGCGAACAAATTATTCGTACAGTACTTGACCCCTTCTACTGTTCCGAAGCCAATACTGTTGTCTCATCTTTGACATACCTACACCCACGCTATTCTCCTATCTGCCTTCCATTATTGGTGATTATCTTTAATATCCGGCTGAACTACAGCCTCTCAATTGACATTTTTTTGCCGATGGAGTCTTTCAACTAACCGAAAAATCTGGTCTTCTGAAATTTAAATATTGTATATTGCTGGGAACTGCTAAGGGAATGTATTCGTACGAGAATTGAAGTCGAGTGCTGCTTTCTTATGATTTGAAAGCAAACGTTGAACTTGAAACCATATGCGAAGTAATTTTATCCAAGCAAGCTGGCAATCTCTCAGTCGAAGCATTGGGCCTAGAAATTCGAATTTCTGTATTATTTTTTCTTCAAATGCAGCACGATGAATAATCAAAATCATTTGGTACTCTCTGAAGAGACGAGGAAGGAAAGAAAACACCGTTTGTCTTGTCCCCAAAAACGCTTAAAATAGAACTGATGAAATTTGAGAACACTCTCGTATTCATGAAACTGACGGTTTATTTTTCTGTGCCCTATCGGTATCGGTTTTTTGACATGATGGTCCTCTTTGGAGTTATTTCGGGAATGTGATCCTCCATTTCCCTCGATTGTTTTATGCCGTCTTTCGGCATCTCGACTGGAATTTCTCTTCTTTCCCCGAGACCTGGGGAACCTGGGTTTCATTCCTAAGATTACTTTTCTGGCATCGCGACCGGAAGAGGCAGCGAAGTACAGTATTGCTATAATGGAGTAAGGAGTCTAACCGTAACAATGTCATTCTGCGCCAGGGATCGTGCATAGAATTACACTGGCTTTCATGCGGTTTTTCGAGTTATATTGACTCAGTCTGATTTTGCCCGAGATTTCGTGAGCGAAGTCCGAGATAACTCAATGCTATGTTCTGGTTTAATCATGAGGTAGGATGGGAAGAAGTAAAAGCTGTTGAAATTTCAGATCCATTGAAATGAAAGTTGACTGGATGCTTCGGTGAAACGGGTATTTTTTAGGTTTTCCCGTAGGAAATTGAACCTCCAAAGCTTTGCTAAATGCGTAGCTATCTGACGAAAATAATGTTTGAATCATAAAATGTGACGAACATTGGAATATTTCATGTGAAGACAGTACTGTACTACAATATTTAAAAAAAATTTAGCACATGACATTTAACTTACCTGAACGGAAAATAATGATATTTCGAGCTCACGATTATACTTCTTTGTGTCAGATATTTATATACATGTATTTGATTGCGTGTTTTTTTTTTTGCAGATAATTGTGGATGATGCGTTGAAAGTGATGGATCAATACGAGAAAGAAGGAAAGTTTTTCGACGTGATAATCGGGGATTTGACGGACATTCCGATTTCTTCAACGCCGCAGGATGAGCTCTGGGTGTTCTTCCGGAATATTATTTCCAAGGCTTTCAAGATTTTGGGTCCGAATGGCGTCTACTTGATGCATGTAAGTGAGCTATTGAACATTGAGCTTCAGGTCGCAGGAATCGGAAGTTTCGTGTGCGATCATGTGATGATTTTTTGGAAAGTTCGGAAGTTCTTCTTCTATCATTCAAAGATCGATTCGTGCCGATTTAAATCATGAATAATCGGAATTATCCGAATTTGTCGATGAATCTTTTTGTCTCCCGTGTTTTCTTTCAACAGCCAGGAAGTAAGAGAACGCTATCGCCCAAAAACATTTAAATACTTCCAGCATATTTAGTGCACATGAAACGTTGTTTTGAATTTGATCTGCAATGACAGAGAAAGTGTGAGGAAACAATTGTTCAACGTCGTCGTTTCATGCGGTAAACTTACACTTCCGCTTGCGAATTTTAGACGTAACATGATTTTGAACGCTCATATTTTCCATTTTGATTTTTGATTTTTCGAAGCAATAAAGAAATCGTGTAATCGAATATTTCTAGGTGTGATCATGTTCTCGTTTTTCTTCCGCAGGGAAATGGTATTAGCTCAAAGCAAGCATTGTCGATGTTCGAAGACGAGCTGGACAAGATGGATCCACCTGTGGTTCACTCTAAATCCTTGGCGTATGTACCGTCTTTCATGGAGCAATGGGTCTTCTATCAAATCAAAAAGCGTGAAGAAATCAAATCATGATATAGGTCTGAGCTAAGCAATGAGGTGTCTTGAAAGATCAAGATGCTCTTTTCGAGATTTTCTTTCCGGTCCGTATGTTCAGCTTTTTCCTTGCTCACCTTCGGCAACTTTTTTCCCCATGAGGATAATCAATTTTGAATCTCATTGTGATTTCATGAGAAATTTTGAAATTGGGCGGGATTATTAGACAAAAAGCCTGATTTTTTTTTCGAGGCCAATCCTAGGCATTTGTATGCGCTTTGCAGCGTTTTTCGAACCTATTTTGCTTGCGGACTCAAAAGTAGCCGCCACTCTAACATTTTCTATTTGTGTTTGACGTTTCTGTGACGATTGTGAAAGTCCGCATTCTTCATCAGGGTTCCGAAAAGTGTGAGCTAAGTTTCTGATATCGATACTTTCCCTGTGGTGATTTTGACTGCTCAAGGGTTCTTCTGTTTCAACCAATGTTGTTGGTTCTTCGATATCTACGCTCTTGAACATTCTTGTAACCTTGTGTTTTGTGTGTGAAACCCTGTTTTGTTTAGGGGCGTGTTTCTGAAATGTTAGGCATTCGTGCTGAATGACTAATATTCTGTGGGTAATTTGCAGGGTGTCTAAAAAGTTAATGTGCAGTGAAAGAATGATCCACATGATATGTTCTACTTCAGTCTGTTTTGGTGGCGCATTGTTACGGGGTGGGTAGATGTCACTGGCTGTCACAATAATGCTGTATTTAAAAGTAACACTGTCATCTGAAGTTGCATCTGCTTCCGGGACCCTCTCCTCTGCTTATAAGTATTTTTTGCATTGTCATATGAGAGTAGTTCATGTTGAGTGGAAGGATGGTAATCCTTGAACCTTCGTAAAGTATCAAAAACATAATGTTTAATGTATTTCTGTTCGCTTTCCGTGAATATTGGACTCGCCCTGAAGATGGGATGATTTTTGCACTGTGCACTATCTTTTGCGACACTCTTTAGTTCTGTTTTCTTTCGAGGATTCCATGATTTCATGCATTTACTTCAGAATTGCTGAGAAATAAGGCTGTTGATATCAACGTCTCAGTTCGAAGCTACAATTTCTGGATGCTCATGGAGTGATGGTTTCATCTAGTGATTCGCATGGAGAGACCCAAAGCATTAGCACACTTTATTTCGGTTTTTACGGGCATTTTTCCGCCGCCGGTTCGTCCGAATTCGATTCATGAGGTTGTTGAAGTCGAGCTACGAACACAGCTTTTTTTGCAATGCTTTTTTGTGAACAACTAGAAGTGATTCACGGGGTTGTTGATTAGAAGGGGAACAGTGCCTCTTGAAAAATAAAAAAGAAAAAAAGCTGGTCTTGTTGTGCAAGCCGCAGAGCTACTGATCTGCGATCTAGAAATGCAGCGTATTTGCGTGTCTGAAGGTCGTTATGTTATTTTCTTCGGGGTAGATTAGGGGTGCACAACATGCTGCCGGCTTCACGTTTCATAGATACCTCTTCCTCCCTCAATTTCGAATTTCGCGATGCACTGAGAAAAAATTGAGAATTGTTGTTGCAGTTATAAGCGAATCGAGCACTAAATTGGGTAATACAAGTTGAAAGCATTACGGAAAACGTAAATCTTGCCCATATTTATTCCAGCAAGGACTTCTTTTACTTACGAAAGTAATTCAGGATTTTGCCGAATGTGGATTTTGAGCATGAATTTTAAACTGAAGAGAGTGAAAATTACGGTGTGCATCTTAATTGAGTGTTTGTGGTACTCGAGTAAATGCTGTACTTTCATTTGCTTTAGTTTCATGTGCTCCTGAAGTCATGAGATTTTAAAAGTAGAATATGCAGAATCTTCAACCTACAATATGATTGTTGATTATTAATGACTACTATTACTCTTTTTACAATTTTGGAGAGAATAATCAGTGGTGTATGAGTAAATGGTTTTTTTTTTATCGGCTTCCTTGCCGCTCTAAATTCTTTCTAACAGTTTTAAGGCACTTTCACAATTGCCAAAGAATCTGCTGTGGCTTGGGCTGAGTGGTGCATCCCTAGTTTAAATGAACGGAAGTAAAAGTATTTCAGGGATTTGTAAATTTTCCTTTGGGACAGATGGATCGTATGAGATTGCGAAGGTTGGAGAAAGAACTACAGCGCTATGAGCAAGATCGGCCTTCTGGGGTTTCTTATTGGCCTGTCAGTGACTCCACAGAAAGATATGAAGGCAGTAAGTTGTTTCCTTTTTCACACTTTCGCGGGAGATAAATCTCCAAGTTTTTATTTTACAGCCATTTCAGGGCCCGAAGGATCACCATATGCCGGAGGAAATTTCAAACTTGAAATTACCATCCCACCGAGGTGAACCTTGCTACTCGCCATTTCGTAGTGCAGTACTGTGGAAAATCGAAAAAAAAATGTTTTCCGATGGTTGCTGAAGGTATCCCATGGAACCACCGTGGATGAAGTTTGTTACGCCGGTGTATCATCCGAATATCGACAGTGATGGACGAATTTGCTTGAACATCTTGAAGCCGCCGCCGGATGGTTGGAATCCCAACTTGACCATTGCCTCGGCTCTCAGTCATCTTCGAGTCCTGCTAAGTGACCCAAATCCCAACGATCCACTCATGATTGATATTGTAAGTGATGCCGTTCCCGCACCATTTTTTATATACCCGTGAAGAAACACGGTACCGTATTTACTCGAGTGCCCGTGCCCAAATTTTTACTAAAAATTGAGAGGACAGAAGTTGGTTTGCGTCATAGGCAAGCATACATTTTTTTCATTTTGTAGAAGTATACGTGAGTGTCATACTTGATTCTAAAGAGAAATTTTGATGGAAAGCGTTTTTTAATAAATAAATAAATTGCTAATTAATGAAATTCACGATGAGCTAATTTCCAAATTCAAATTCTTGTGTCTCTTATTTTTTAATATTGCAGTTTTTCGGTCACAAGAAATGGGGTAGTTATCTTACTCGGAGATAGGATTTTATCAAATTTGTAAGCGAAAAAATAGGGGTGCGTGTTTTACTCAAGTAAATACAGTAATGTACTGTAAATATGGCATTCCGCGCATGATTGTGAAGGGTTTTGAAAATTTGATGATCGTAAACCGTAGTTTCGGATTTGCGAAGGGAAATCAATTAAGCATAAATGTGAGTTTGTATTTCCTTGAAATGTGAGCTTTTGCCACGTTGCTGCTTGGATATTTGGTTGCTTCGACGTTTTCCTTTCAATTCTTAGACTTAATGGAATCATGCGAGAAATACACCAAGTTTCCGCAGATGAAGGAGCGCGTTGAAATTGTACTTTCGCACGCTTGCTCACTGCCGAAGTTCCATTTTCTGCAACGTTCTGGTCAGAGTTTAATTATTTTTTTTTTTAATCCCACCGGTAAAGGCGAAAGAATTGGAAAGCAACCGAGAGATATTCAACGAGCGGGCGAAGGCGCATACGGAAAAGTACGCCAAGAAGAAAAGAAGTAGCGAAGGCATCGAGAACGAGGAAAATGCGAACGAAACTAAGAAACTGCGTGCGTGAATTGTTTTTCTCTTTGCGAATTCCAGAATGATAATACGCGCAAAACAAGGAAATCGCGATGGCTTCATTTTCGATTAAATTAATGCTGGGAAATGGTGCACCTGTTTTTTAGATTCGGGTAAACTTTGCTTCTTCACCCCACGATTTCCCCAATCGTTTATAAAAGCCATGGAAAACTTGGGGCGAGTGAAGCAGTTGTCAAGTTTTTCTGTTTGTGTCCAATTTTACGATGTCGAGGATGCTTTTGATCGTGGGTCTGTTCGGGTTGTTCATGAGCGGGTGCCGTGAGTGACCTCCTTTTTTTTAATTCTTTAGTAATGCGATGGTGAACAGATGCGTTTTGTAAATCGAGTCTGGCATTTTTTCTAGGGATTTTTAATTGATTTTTTCGTTTATTTTGAGTATATGCTTTGAATTGCTTTTCCTCAAAGATGCCCAAGGAGCTTATGAAACCGTGGAAGATTTATTTTTGGGACTTGAGACCGGACATATTGTGTCACTCGTCGCCAATGCTGCGGCATGTATTTCGAATTTTCCTCCGTCGATCAGGGATCAAGTGAGTATTTTCCATGACCTTCTCCCAAACATTTTTGGTGCTTAGAAGTGCTTTATACAGTACAAGACATTTTTCTGAATGCCTCAGATTTTCGTTATTTGGTCTCAATCCGAGAGTTTTGCTCCCAGCTGTTTTTGGATGAGTGTTCTACACTTACGGAACCCTGGAACTTCCATTTCTCAGGAAATTAAGAAAAAAACGGGGTTACAGTACTTGAACTATTTTTTTTCATGTTTTCAATTGAGCGTATAGCTTTTAATTTTCAAAATACGGCATTAAGCATGCTTTTTTTTTCCTATTGCAAAGCTTGATTGTATTCAAGACAAAAACAGGAATTCCTGTTTCATATTGGTTTAATTTCCTTGTTTCTAATAAATTTTGCAGGAATTTTGATGATTGCTGATGTCCTTTTCGAATGCTTTACGGTTGATTATTTTCTATCTGTTGAGAAACGTATTTTTTGTTTATTTACCGGCAATTACTGCATTTGACAAATGTTTCAGAAATTTAGGAGCGGTGTGGTATGGAAACAAACGAGAAAATCGAATGTAACATTGTTGAAAATGTTGGGAATCACGACTACTAGAACTTGGTTATCAAAAATTTGGAAGGCATTAATGTTTTCATCATACAGTCCCTTGTTCTCTGAGAAATTCAGACATTGAAACAATTTTGTTGTCTGTGCCCTATAAAACTCGTGGATTAGGGAGAACGTTTGGCAGGATGACAAAGCTTCATATTCGTGCACCATATTTTCTATTGTGTATACGGGGGTTAGTTTGTAAAAGGTGATGAACGGCCACTTGCCGCGGATGCAATTTTTTTTTGCTTTTCAATTCCTCATTGGTGTCTAATAAATTTTTCATCGACTATTCAGCTACAGAAGGAAACAAGAATAATATCTGGATTACAGTGAATCCCCTCCACTGAAGTGCAGTTCCCCAAGTAACCCCCAAAGTCATAGAGCATGCAAGTGCGCATTCAGCTGGACTTGATCAATTGAACTTCACTTCAGTTGAGGGGATACACTGTAATCCAGGTCTTTTTCTTGTTTCCTTCTGTAGCTGAGTAGTCAATGAAAAACTTATTGGACACCAATGAAGCATTGAAGAGCAAGAGAAAAAAATTGCATCCGCCTCCGATGATGGCAAGTGGCAGTTTATCATCTTTTAGGAACCAACCCTGGTATTAATGGACTGAGTGTTGAAATTTGTCATCTGTGAGGAAAATATAATATTGTGCTTATTTTCTCGATGACGAAGAGCATACATATGGTTCTACGTCACTGGAATATTGTGACCTCAAGTGCTGAAGGACGCTACGTCGTTGTGAACGATCATTACAAAGGCCGTGAGTTGGGTTTATTATAAAGGTTTAAAACCCGATGGGATCAGTTCGAGAAAAGCTAATGCTGTATACAGGGTGACACAAAAGACGGGACATTTTTTGAAGAAAAATATTTCCTGCGCGACTTGATTAAACCTGTGGCTTCAAAATATTGTTTATCCAAATATATAGTATTTTCAATTTTATCCTTTCTTCTGGGTTTATTTGAATTCATATGTACCGTCAGAGTCACTTGAGAAAATTACGTCAGGTCTCAGCATACATTTTTGGAAGGCTTGATCAGGTTTCAATATTTTTTCTAGCACAATTAATTCAGGCGCTGAATTAATTGTGCATCCCGTGAAGTTTTAATTTGGCTTTGTCTAGGTCTATGGTCGAAATTTGGAAAAATGTCGTGTTAACTAAAATTAGTTGCTCCTTAACTTATCGGAAATCATCTAGGATCTTCCTCAATTTCCACCGATTTTTCGTCAACTGGATTAACTCTTTCAACCTAATTTTTAATAGAAAAATCACCTTTCCGAAATTCAAAAATTAATCGCTTATGCTTAAGAAATGTGATTCGATCATTTATAAGTGTTTCATATTTTTGAAACATCTAATGGGTACGAAATAAAAAATCATCCCATGCAAAAACAAAAAAAGATGATAGTTCCAGGGTAACCTGAAATATTTCATCATCTTCGTTCTTGAATCCTCACCTCCGTTGTAGTCTAAGAGGTAAATAAATTCCGAGTTCTTGAAAAAATTCACAAAAACTTCACTGTCGATTTTACTCCGAAAATTAAGTGCGTGTCCAATGATTGTTGGAATCCGTTCGCAAGATTTAAAATGTACAGTATATACTGTACTGAACTTTTTAATATACTTTAGTTCATGCGCAAGAGTCGATTGCTCTTATTTCAACAGTGAACAGCGATGAGTGGATTGTGAGAGAAGCAAAGCTGTACTCCGATGGACGCGTTACCATTGAAAGCCATGTGATTTTGGCACTGGATTCCACCGAGGCGGAAGTCGAGAAAGTAGAATGCTTGTTCGGCGAAGGAGTTGTTTTCCACCGTATGACCGGAGATCTCGACGAAACGTGATTTTTTTCTCTCGAATTTTTATTTTGCACATCTATGGTTAGTGTAAGCAGTTCTGTGCATAGTTTTTTGCACTTCGTGATGGACGAGGGTTAGTTCATACGTTCTGTCATACCTGCGCTTCTCTTGTTGAAGTCTTTTCAACATAGGATGAAAATAATTTACATATTCGGCGATATTTGCTCACCCAGATTGAACGGTGAGGAAACAGGAGAGTTCAAAATTTACTGAGATTTACCGTCACATTTTTTTTTTGCGATGCTTGTGAAGCGATGCAATTGTTCCAAAGTATTTTAAGCTTTTTAAATGTTTGATGTTGAAAATATCAGAAGTGTGAAACTTGATTGCCCTTGTTTTTCGATTTTTCTCTTAGTGTCGATGCATGTCAGGAAATCTCGATTTATAAAATCAAATAGGACCCTACTGCTGCAGAAAGCTGTTGATACATTTATAAAAGGGCATGTAAAGTCTTTTTATTGATCATATAGGGGTATGGATTCGGAAGATTCTACCAAAGAAGTCCGGGTATCCGAAGGATCTTATTGATTTCAAAGTACTGCCAAAACTTATGCGGACTAACTCAATTATTGTGCCTTAATTTCGTCGAATTCATGTAAAGGTTATTTTTAATGCTGAAAAGCATGATTTTCTGAAATGATTTAAAGAGAGTTTTAACTACTGTATTGAAGACATTTTGAGAGCTGTTCTTTTTTTTCGTAGAATCGTGTCCGATACGTATGCCAAGCTGAAAAATGAGATCTTGCTTGGCCGTCATGTCGTAGCAGTTGTGAAGATTCGTGGCTGTTCTGGAAGCTTGCCCTCAGGAATCACAGAATACACGTTTGGCGTGAATATTTGGAACTTTGAGTTTGAGCACGAAGGTAACACTTCTTCAGTCCCGCTGTATTTATTAATCCGGGGTTTTTTTTTGTTTTTTTTTTGAGGGTTCGAAACCGGATCGACGAAAAGTTTATGTCTTACTTCCACTAGTGGTTATCTTGAGAGCTTGTGATTCACCCACTTAATGTCATGAAGAGGCGAAAATAATTTTAGAATTAGCGTCAGCGACTTCCTTTACGTGAAAAAATGTTTACCACATTATTACGTATTACAAGTAGATGAAGGTGAAAAACGAACAAAGTTTTCTATGTTTGGGATGAGGCGAAAGAATCTTGAGAACGCAAGTCAAGGCATGAATTCGTTCGATTGAAGTTCAACTTAATAAAAAGCGCTGAAAATGTTCACCTTCACCTTTGCCAATTTTGCAAGGTACAGTCGTTGAAAAATGAATGTGTTCGGCAATGTATTGCATCAGCAATTTTCCTCATGAGGCACGCAAAAGAAAAATGTCCATGATTCTGAATTCAAATTTGCATGGTGTCTGTTGAAAAATTCCTTGTGAAACCCCCAGAATAGCGGTTCGAACAAAAAGGAGTCCAAAATGACGCAAAGTGGATTAGGAGCATTCTCGCGTAAAAATTGAAAATTTGAGAAACTTACGAAAAGTTCTTGTAGATACTGCTGATGAGTTGAATACATTTCTTGTTACTACCGTACATTTCTCATCGCCATCTGCCGGTGAGTGACTGACAATTTATCCTAGCACGGTACGCTATGAATTCACTCGATTGTTGTTCTTGTGAGCCGTCAGTGATTATTTTTGGTGACATGCGAAAGACTCCTGAGGAACCCCTTTTGCAAACGAGGTAGGAAAGTTGGATTATTCGATGAAGAATTTAGCAAAAATAAAGTACTGTAAAATGCGAATATATCAACTCAACACCAATTTCTCCTCCTCTTTACTTGATGGACCTAATTCTGCTTCCAATTACTGTAGTGACTGTGGGTAAAATACCTGTTCCGGATAGTAAAGTATTTCAAATGATGAAGCAATTTTTTTAATGCTTTTTCGATGAACAGTTTTTGGAAAGCTGTTTTTATCTATTTGCAGGAGAATTAACGCGGGAAATTTTGAGGATCTACACGGACTTCGTAGAGCCCGAGCCTGTCGGGGGTTTGAGGAGAAGTTTAGGAATATCTTTCGTCCGAGACGCCACAAGCACAATTATCAGCCACAATGCATTCCTTTCGGATGGAACCAGTATATCCACGTCTGTTCTCCCAACGGCAACGTACACGTGTAACCTGAATTCGGGTGTAATTTTCTACACAAGACGGTGTAAGTTGTGACAGGGCTCAAAAGAAAAGTTTACAGTTCCTAACTTCCTATACTGTATATATTTCTTTTAATGCAGTCCCTGGTGTCTCAAAGTGGTGTGCAGTGATCAATTTTCAATAATCCTTAAACTTGTGCTGTGAATGCTCGCATAAACATTTTAGCATACAATTTTTGTCATTGACAATAATTGGCTCAGTAATGATTTTTTTCCAAATAAAACTATTTTCCTGACGAAACGTTACTCAAAAAATTTATGTCGAATTACAGTATTTTCCAGAAAAAAAAAGAGGTACTTGTGTGACAATTTGTTCCAAGTACAAATCTCTTTCTGACAAAAAATTCATGAAAATAATTTGAGCTAGTTTTCATTTGAAACTTGACAAAAAAATTTTTTCAAAAGCGAAGAAAAGCGTTGTAAAAGAAAGAGGGTGAGTAACTTATTTACTCGCGTACCACGTGCCCCTTGATGGTAATTAATGTAGATTTTATGTTTTAAATGTCCATTAAAAGGGAAGATTAGCTCAAAGATTAAACAGTGCAGTCTGTTTTTCCTAGGTTATGTTCAGTATCTGCTTTAAATCTCTATTGTACCATAACGAAAGCATTTTTCATACAACTCTTCAAATGCAAGTGGGTAGAAAACCACAATAATGCAGTCTAAAAAGAAAGTAACAAAGCCTCATTTATCATATTAAAGCCTTTGAAGTTTCAATTTCTCACAGGTTGATTTAAACTCTGCAACATTCGGAGTGTGCAAAATTGTATTGTCTTGAGAAACGTTTACTCTTGCAGCAATTTTTAGAGTTGGGTTTTCTCATGACCGCACGAGAGAATTGTAGTTGAGGATATTGTGAAACAAACCCAAAGGGAAAGCAGGTGAATTATTTTCGATTTTAAAATGTCAACAGCTATTGTAGTTGGTGTTTTAAAAATTCAATTGTGTGATTTGAATACTCTTTAGCTTTATGCGCACAAAAATGTTTAAAAATTGGGGAAATGCGTGTCCTTATATCATTTTTAATCTTTTATAGTGTATATATATGATTAGAATTCTTTGGTTTGAATAAAATTCAAACTCATGCATCCTGTATGAAACATGCAATTAATTAACTCTAATATCGATCTATAGATGAGAAGGACGGATCATACAATACGTACAGTGATTTGAAAACAGCTCTAACGGCCGGGCATCAGATTCAAATGGTGACTTTCCCACGTTACTGCGAAGCCAATGTCCAGCCCCCGCTTCCTGACGTTGGAAACAAGGTACGTGTCTCACTCAAGAATTTTGCTTTGATTTCTGGTGTTTACGTATGACCCAATTTTTCAAGATTTCTAAATCTATGTGATCTTGTCTTGAAAATTGATTTCCTTGTCAAGATTTACAATGTCTACAGTTTGTGACTCAGAGGATCGAGAGACAAAGAAGTGGTTTTCTTAGAATCGGTATTCGGCAAACAACGTGTAATTGGAGAATTTGAAACGTAGGAATAAAAAAATACGATGAAATGTGAAGTCAGAATCCGGAAAAACACCATTAGTTTATGCCAGGGTTGTCCCAGTCCCGCGCGGGAAGATATACTTTATTTCTAAGGTTTTTGAAAATTGTTGTAAGGTTGTTTTCTTCAGATTTTAAAAGAAATTTTTTCAAGACTCTGCATGATGAGAAGTGGAAATTTTCTGGAGACAGCTTTAGTTTTTTACTCATTTCATAAATGCTGTGCTGAAAATTAGTCAACGGAGTCTAAAACTCAAATGCGGTATTTCTTTGTTCATAACATCACCTTTCTTCCATTTTTTGAAATTTTCTTAACTTTGGGTGATGGATTTTTCTGGTAATGAATAAAAAAAATGGGGGGAGGGGGTGGCAATGTTATGATGCTAATTTCTATTTTACTATATTGCAATTTGCTGTTGCCAATTGTTACATTTTTGTGCATTATTTTTGCATTAGTTTGTACTGTAGTACTGTACTCCTCAGTTTAAATTTGTTTAATTAGTTTACTGTAATACAGTATTTGAATTTTGCAATTTTACATTGGCTGAATGAAGATAGACAAGATTTGAATACCCCTGTGTGAAGTCCAATGATATTCCACCCCTCTGATGCACCGGCGGTCTTTCTGATGGGTGCTGATTGTGTGGTACCCAAAGGAACACTGCTGCTCCTGGCAAGCAGGAGGAATATTGTGCAGCCCACGGAATGATCAGAGGTGCATTGGAATGGGATTGGATCTCACAACTGGGTAGACATCCAAATGTGACAATACAGACGGACTCAACAAAATTCTGGGAACCAGAAGAAAAATTCTCGTAGTGAGAACTTTGTTGTAGATAAACCCTACAAGATTGGGTGAGAATGCTATGATGCGACCAAAATTGAATTTGTTATGCAGGGAAAATCATTGTAGTGACTTAGTCTACTTGTGTAAACTTTCTGGACTTGTTTTTGTTCTTCTGAAGTATTCAACGGCATAAAATAAAAATACCTAATTTTTTCTGAACGTTTGTGGTAAAATTGAACAAAATCCTCTTCCTTCAGATTGTGTCTCACATGTTCGACTCGTGGACATTGTACAATTCGACCAGCGATGAGTCAATTGCTTTCTTCGTTGATGGGCTACAAAGTGAGTATTGCATTTTTCTCCGCAATTTTTTCTTGGGGCGATGATAAATTTGTCATCCAGGTAATTGACGGTTGACATACGCTCCATAATAATAAGGTACTGCGTCATTGGGCAATTAGTAACCTTGCACGGTTATAGAGTTCTCAAAACTGGTGAACATTACATTTTGAAAAGCATCACTGACACACGCTAGGGAAACTACAATTATTGCATTTTTGCCCATAGCAGCTGTTGAACCATAATTTCCTATGGTTCAGGCAGAGAACGTCCATCTTCTGACTATGCGAAGAAATCTAAAAAATTACTCAATTCCTCCATTAGTGCTTATATTGTGCTCTGGATCTTATTTTCCAATGTTTTTTAATTCATTTTTTTGCGTTTCGATTCGCAGCCGATGGCATTTACAACATTTCTGAAGCCGTTGTGTATCCAGATGATTCCATGCACTATGGATTGGTTTCCCGGTTGGTTACTGACGACGAAAATCCCATTCTTGAAGGCACGTGGGTTTGCTTCGTGGGAAGTTCCACAATTTTCCACGCTAGTGTTGCTGACAAGTGAGTTGAACAGTTGATTCCTTTGAAAGTTTTGTCAATGTTTTGAGATTACTAAAGTGAAAAGCACCTTTAATGACAATTTTGTGTCGCACCCTTTCAACCTGAATTGGCTAAAGTTTGGAGAAGAATCTAAATATTTTAGAATGATGATCCAATTTAACCGACCTGATTTCAATAGCACAGGTTCTGTAAGTCTTCATGCACTAGTGACATCTATGATATGGAAACTATCATCAAGTCTCTGGATTAGTTTAGTTTTATTAGGAGTCTTTTCCTCCCAGGGGCTTGGCAGAAATGGAGTGCTGGAAAATAAGATGCAGTTTGTATTTAACTTTGATTAAAATTTTGCGTTTTGCTTACAGATCGCTTGTGACGAGTTATCCATCATTGGAGGATGCTTTTCGAGGTTCGGGTGCCATTTTTGAAGCTGTGCTGGACCTTTCCATGTGCAATGTCACCGGTGATGATAATTCTACCCATGTCGCTTTCATCATGTGGGAAAGTTTCCTTCTATCTGGAGAGAACCCAGGTGGGTTTATTTTAATCTCTTCGGCTTTTGCGATTCGATCAGAGGAAAGTAAACAATCTTCAAACACCGATATTCCTTGAATCAGTAAAAGCTATCGCTCGAGATGTGAAAATCATTTCAAAAATAGGTTCATGCTAAGATTTTGAGATTGTTCAATATTATGGCTTTCAGTAGACTCTTGGTGTGGCTAATGTGTCGGGACATTGGTTTTTGGCAAAGGGTTCTTGTAGGGCTTGTCCTATTTCTGCGTGCGTTCAAGATGGAAATTAATATTAATATTTGCCACCTGATCACTTCCGTTCTGTTGAGAAGGATTTTTTTATACCTCAAGTTTTTTTTTAATTAAATTTTCCGGAACTAAATGAGAGAGTTGTGGTATTCCATTTCTTTCTCTTCAACATCCTCAAAAACAAACCTTATTTTCAGTCAACTCTGAAAAGTTACTCTTGGCACAATAATATAATGGACTATCTGCAGCCTGTCGGCGTCTCTTAATAGATACGTGTAAATAGGACAACGTTCACTCAAACTCCTTCAATTCTTGTAAAAGAGCATATCGCAACTTCCTCTCTGATATTCTAATGTCATTCAAAATAAAGAGTAACACAGCTTTACCCAGGGTGCTGCTGGAACCCTGAATGTAGATGTGGATTGAAAGTGATTTCTTGTAGTTGTTTCCTGAGTGTATTTGCTGTTGTATCAACCCATTGATGTTCAATAATCATGGTTAACTGTTTGATTAATCATATTTTTTTGGTGAAGTGTAATGTATTTTTCATGTCTTTGGCAGCCTTTGAGGGATTTACTACGAGTTTCGCAGAAGACTTGACCGTAGAAGAAGTGCAAATAGATGACCTTGCTATTGCTGTCAGACATCTGCGAATCACGCCTGACGGTTCAGCCATTTACACTTTCAAGAAGTTTTCAGCTACGAGTTTTGTGGCAGAAACTGTTATTGAAGCTGTTTGCAACTGGGGATTCGGGATGAACATCTATCACTACTACTTTTGAATGAAGTTCTTCTATAATCTTTGAGTTTAGGGTGTACATCTATCATTACTGCCTTTAATTGAAGTGATCACTTAAATTATGAACATTAATGATAAATTCACACCCTGAACTTCAGGAGGAAGAATTGCCTTTCGGGTATTTATAAATGATGTTCCATCTGTGTTCTAAAGACAAAGAAAGCATGAGAGTGACATCTGAAAGATTTGGCTGGAATCACTTTTTTAGCTCTGTTCATTGTCAATCTCCTTTGAGGAACCTCACGGGATGCTTACTGTAGTAACTGATGCGACCAACCTAGTCTATTCCAATAATTACCGTTTCCAAACTTCATCACAATTATGTTCCATACCTGTATGAATTGTAAGGACTCAATATCTTCACTTCCAAGTACAGCACTAACCTTTGCACAGAGCAAAAACAAGTTCTTCCATATCATTTATACTTTTCAAGTGTGTCTCACAGAATGAAAAATGTTGAGTAACAGAAAAGAAAAAGCCATCAAAGCAATGCTTTTTTCAAACCCCTCTAAATGACATGAAAGGATCCTAAAAATAAGTCAATTATATTTTTATGCTATTAGAATTGCCGCTGTTCTCTTGTTATATAGTTGAAGTTCATGGGGGAGGTACTAAATACTGTAGTTTCTTTTCTAAGTATGAGATATTCTTGCCAAGTTTTCATGATCAACGTTACACCGTCACTTACTCCACATCTTGTACATTTTATTGTCCGATTAGCTGACTTGGATCACATCCCAAGTGCTGCACAGAACGTCTCGTACTTTTCCCGCTCAAAGTCAGAGCCCTCGAAGCAACCGTACATTCGGTTCAGCTTCATACAATCCAGTTTGCTCAGACCCAAGCGTTGTCCAATGACCACGTTCTTCTTCTTCGGCACCATCGTGGCTTTCTTGTTCTTGTCAATACTGGAGAAACACACAAACAACGACAACAAAAAATGGAAATGAACTTGATGAGCACAGGCTGCATTAAAAGCAAAAATGTGCCACTCAACTTGATAGCTGGTCACAAAAATGATATAATAGCCTATATACCGTGCTTAACAGTTTTCCATTTTTGTGTCAAAACACCTTTCAACATGTTTTTGAAAAGTCCAACACCTTCAAGTTGAACTTCAAGATACCAGAATAAATCGAATTAGGCAGGTTTTAATTTAGGGAAACTGGCACTTTTCTTGGGAAAAAGAATTAATAAATGCAGATGTTTGTAATTGGTGATATTCTGGGGCTTTTATTGCCTCCTGGATGAGCTGAAGGTATGCAGTATAGTTGAAGGCAATGATTTATTTACTCAGTTAGTCCTTAACTTTCTTTCAAAACGCATCAAAAGATCTCCAGAAGAATTGAATAATGGATGTTTGAGGGGAAAAGCATTCAAGTCAGGGAGGTTCTTGATGCATTTCCTCTACAGGAACTTGGAAAAATCATTTTCAAAATTCAACTTTTGATGCATTTTGTTTTTGAATTATTCCAATTTTTTAGTCACTGAAAATGAGTAGCTCATCTCACTTGAAGATCTGTGGTACTCTATACTCAAGTGAATGCAATACTCTTCCTGCAAGTTCATTATGTTCCTTTTTCAACATACAGTATTTTTTTCTCAAATCAGGGCCTCAATAAGTTCATACAGAGTACTATCTATTGAAAATATGAGTATGGACTTGATCAGTGTGACACATGAATGTTGGATGGGATTTGCATTAGATAAGACACATTATTAAAACAACTTTAATTCCTTGGGTTTTCAAGATTGTCCCGCCTATTAGAATGCCAACAGTGACATTGGCTGGTTGTCTGAGAATAACTGAAGCACATTTTAGGCCAAGCATCACATGACGAGTGGCACAAAAAGAAAGAAAACTAATGCCTTTCTTACCTGAAATATCTCATTCCATAATGCATTATGGAGTGGTAGTCATATCCATAATTGAAAGTCGCATTCCTTGGAGTTTCTCGCGCAAAATTATGCCGAAAATCTGAAACGATTCGATGGAATAGAGGAAAAAGGATCCAATCAAAACCAGAAAAACCAATGAATTCTCTGCAAAATGATTTGTTTCGCCGACCAATTTTGTCTCCAATACTATTTTCAATTCAAATGCTTCGGCTTCCGCGTGTTGAATCAAAATAAATCATTCGGTCCAGATCGAGTTTACGCAGCGTGTTTCGCATGCAATTTTATTACTCGACGTCTAAATCTTAACAAAAGAAAGTGAAAATTTTCATTGCTCCTGGAAAATTATCCAAAATATTGTATTCCCTTCGAGTAAACTTCAATCCATCTAGTAGAGTGTTAAGAGGGAAGAAAGTACAACGTTCAAAATCAACTCGAGTAAGAAAGTGATAAATTATGCTCTCAACAGAGTCAACCTACGCTGGAGACTATAAAAAACTCCTACACACTAACAAAAAAAAAAACCATGACATTGCAAATGATGTAATGATGTTCTGTGATTTTGGGATATGTTCCGGATTTTAAGAAGTTTTTCTTTTTACTGACATTGAGTGAAAACTTTCCAGTAAAAGCCAGAGTTCCCCATTACCCGTGCGTCACAAGGTACTAAAATTAGTAAAGTCACCAAAAAAATGAAAATATTTCGTCGTTTTACCCATTATCTTTTCTGAATTTTAGATAATGGTTAGAACAACAACTAATTCAATTTGTAGCTACATTGACAGAATTTTAGCTCCCTGTGACATGGGTAAATAACTGTGGCTGTAACTGGAAAGTTATAATTTGTCATCATGCAGTAAATTGAAAAAGTATCCTTAAAAATCCGGGAAAAAATCCGACAACCTTAGAACATCATGGGCTGTGTTCAGATTTTTTTTTAAATTAAAAATGTTAGTGTAGATGAAAGTTTTATAACCTCCAGCGCAGGTAGACCCTGTTGGGAGCATACAGAGTCCGGGTTATTGAGTGAACCGTTTTATAACAGGGCGACGTGTCACTGCTTGAATAGGGTGTCCGGCCGGCTTTGTTCATGGAACACCCCCAGGGCAACGTACTAAAGTACGTACCCAGAAGGTCCTGGGGGCTCCGTGAAGCCTGAGAACCGTCAACCAACGAGGTTCCTTTGTTAAACAACTGGCGGGACAAACGGTTACTTACTGGTCGTGGACCTTTTTTACAAAACAAAATCCATTAGTTTTCATTTGTTGAGAAAATTCCATCTTCAATTCAGCAAACCAAAGAATCTGTGGAAAAGGTGATTAACCTCTTGTTGACCATTGTGCAATTAACCAGGAAATTGTGCTTTCTTCACTAATCCAAGACAAAACAATATATACACAGCATATATACCGTTCTAACAAAGGGTTCTAACAAAAGTTCTCAGAGTAGCAATGAAAATGGCTTACAATTGAGCTGAAAAAATTTTATTCTGTAGCAAAAACATATTCTTTGGCACACAAAAAAAATATCAGCCCTGTTTGACAAATTTTTGTAAATTGTTTTCATAATTCACCCTGGCAGAGTTTTGCTCTCCACTCAAAAGATGAGGCACCCTTTTTTGTTGTAGCCCAGCTTTCCCCTAAGAATTTTTGAAATCAACTTGGCATTCTTTTTAAGTGTCGCCTCCAGGTCATCCAAGGCAATTCCGCCATTTTAATCAACAGTCGCCACATTGGCGCTGAGAACTTTTGTTAGAACCCTCGTATATACAGTAGAACCTTGATAAGTCAAACCACAACACCCCATCTGAATTCCCTTGGAAATGATGCATGAAAAACCTCTCCAACTGGAGGACTTTTCCTATTAAACCTCAGTAACTCAAATTTTTTAGGCCTTTTGGCTACTATTTTCTTGACACAGGAAAGATAAAAGCAATAAAAGGTACTGTTATGTGTTTTGAAAGGAAGTGAAAGAACTAATTGGGCAAATGAACACTTGCATCCAAGTCCACCATCCTCTCGACTCATATAAGAAGCATTTTAAGGCCCTGAATATCACCATATACAATATTTCCTGAAATTCTTCCATTTTCCAAAATAAAAATGCTTGTGTCCTCAACTCAAAACCTCTCCAAGTGCCAACCTCCATGAGTCAATTTTCTTGCTTGTCTTTTGAAATTCTACTAACAGAGGTTTGACTGCATATAGAAAAACTTATAAATTTGTGGTATTATATACCAGTGTTCCCCAACCCATGATCTGCAGACCGTATTTTGCCAATCTGAAGTATTTTGCCAGTCTGCAAGAGATTTTCAGCATAATAAATGCATCAGAAGTTGTAGTGAAGTCTGTTATTGTTATCTGATAGTTTGGGAAGACAATATGGCAGTTGAAATTATTTGATTAGAATAAAAGTTGGCTTTTCCCTTAATAGCACTCAATAATAATTTTCACTTGCTGAAATAAATCATTTCCAGTTTTACTTGTGGGAAACCAATTNCACATGAATGTTGGATGGGATTTGCATTAGATAAGACACATTATTAAAACAACTTTAATTCCTTGGGTTTTCAAGATTGTCCCGCCTATTAGAATGCCAACAGTGACATTGGCTGGTTGTCTGAGAATAACTGAAGCACATTTTAGGCCAAGCATCACATGACGAGTGGCACAAAAAGAAAGAAAACTAATGCCTTTCTTACCTGAAATATCTCATTCCATAATGCATTATGGAGTGGTAGTCATATCCATAATTGAAAGTCGCATTCCTTGGAGTTTCTCGCGCAAAATTATGCCGAAAATCTGAAACGATTCGATGGAATAGAGGAAAAAGGATCCAATCAAAACCAGAAAAACCAATGAATTCTCTGCAAAATGATTTGTTTCGCCGACCAATTTTGTCTCCAATACTATTTTCAATTCAAATGCTTCGGCTTCCGCGTGTTGAATCAAAATAAATCATTCGGTCCAGATCGAGTTTACGCAGCGTGTTTCGCATGCAATTTTATTACTCGACGTCTAAATCTTAACAAAAGAAAGTGAAAATTTTCATTGCTCCTGGAAAATTATCCAAAATATTGTATTCCCTTCGAGTAAACTTCAATCCAAGATCATCTCACAATTCTCCCTTCTTTCATGTTGCAAGTTTTAGTTGAGCTCATTCTTTCACTATTTAATACGAGAGTTGTCTCAGTTGGATGCGACCTCTGATATTTTTTGAGGATGTGTGATTGTTAAAAAAAAAACCATGACATTGCAAATGATGTAATGATGTTCTGAGATTTTGGGAT